GCGCTGGGTTGCGAAGCTGCCTGCAGCCTCTGCAGCGCCGGTTCTCGGTCCCTCGGCCACTGAAGGAGGTCCCACATGGCGCGCAGACCTCTCCTGCCGCCCGCTGCTCCCCTCAGCAGTGTACCTCGGTCTTCTGCCTGCTCTGCTCACTCACTCTGGCTCTGGTGAATTCCCTCACCTCCGCGCTTCTGTCTGACTACCAGTGCATGTATAAACAAACAAAACAAACAAATAAATAAATGAAAAACATGCCTCTATAAAAAAAAAAAAAAGAAAGAAAAGCATTCTGTTGTGGTTATGTAGCAGGGTGCTACCCAGGAAAGGGGGAGTTCCAGGTCTTGCCCCACCCAAGGGAGGGTGGAGCTGAGCAGAGAGGACAAAAGCTGGACAGGAGACTGGAGAAGAAAGGAAGTAGTGTGGAGAGCAAGATGGAGACCTGGAGGAGACACATGGAGCAAGGAGACATGTGAAGAAACTGTGCTTGCCTTTTGGTCGTGGACTAGGTGAAACAGATGTGGGTGAGAGACCCGTGGGGAGGTGACAATGGCGGTTTTTGTCTTGATTGTGATTTTTTTCTTTTCCTCCCAAACTTGTCTGGCTATTTCTGACCCTTTCCTATGGGTCCCCCTGGAAGGTGCTTTGTGGCAGCTTTGGGCCTTGCTCTGGGCCAATCCCATTTGGCTGGACTTTTGCCCAGAGGGGATGGGTAACTTTGGGTGAATTAATTTAGAAATTATATTCTTTGTCTTTTCTGTATTGTTTACTAATTGTATTAAAGTTCCTTTCCATTAAAAGTGTTATGTTTTGTCTTGATGTGGCAGATGGCAGAACCTGATTTAGAGCAGGCAGATTTTGGGGTTCTGGGGTGCCCCTCTCCCTGCCTGTAACAGTTATAAAAAATTTAAGGGTGAAAATATGGCATTCCTGATAGTAAAGCAGGGGTGGACAGAGCAGCTGCATGTCAGTTAATGTCAAGCTCACCTCGTTATTGTTTGTGTTTTGTTTTCTGTTTTATTACTGAGGGGTGATGGATTATTGGAATATAAAAACTTAGAAAGGAAGATACTGTAAGGACAATTTATAAATCTTTATTAACCCAAATACGGAAGGTTCCAGCAATCTAAGGTGGGGTCAGAAAAGATGATCAGCCAGAGGTGGGAGCAGAGAGGATTATCAAACTTAGAAGACCAATCCATTCTGACACCAAGGCAATAATTTCCACAATAATTCCATCAAGGGACCTTATGAAAGAACGCCCCTTACCCTGACAAAATGCAGCTTTTTTTTCTTTCAGAAGCCTGTGTCTATGCAGACGTCTCTCTTTGCTGTTCTCTTTTCCTCAATAAACTTGATGCGTGCTAATGAAAAGGAACATTACTCAATTATTTGTCAGAGGGATCCAAGAAGCCCCCCTATACTGAGCCCTATCACCTGAATTCCATCAAGGGGTTTTCAATTTTTAGTTTGAACTGAGGCTCCTAATCATTTGTTGGTCCAAATGAACACATTTTACCCTTTTTCAATTTTTAAAATATTTATTGTGCTTAGTCAACAAGCTTCATATAGTTATAGGTAAAAATTTAAAAATGGTGAAAATAATAAGGCACTAATTCAAAGTTCAGACCCTTCCAGCTTTCAATACAAGATGTCTGGGGCCTCTCTCATGGCGCAAGGGGGTAAGTCTCAGCACTATCAAGCTACTGGCAGCCACTGTGGCATGAGTTCCATGCCCAGCCTGGGAGCTGGCCCACATGGTGCAGTAGACCTCTCCAGTCTTGCCCACTGCTAACCTCAGCAGAGTACCTCTGCATCTCTGGCCTACAACCCCATCTTGTATGCATAAATAAATAAAAATTTTACAAAATAAGCAAGTACAAGAGGCCTGAAACTTGTACAAAATTATGGGAAGAAAAAGACAAAATTTTGAATGGAGCAATGACATTTCATAAAACAAAATTTGAAATAACTAATAAAACCTTCCTGTGACTAGTTCATTGCCTTTAGAAAAAGAAATATAGAACATAATAGAATGAAATTCCTGTGTTCCAAGTCAACTTGTCACAGATCGATATAAATCTAGTGCCCTACTGTAACAGGGTGGTCCCCAGGAAAGGGGGAGTTTCCAGGTTTCCTGTCCCACCCAAAGGAGGGTGGAGCTGAACAGGGAGTAAAGAAGCTGCACAGGAGACTGAGGAAAGAAGGAAGCAGGATGGAGCCAGAAGACCTGGAGGAGGCACAGGGAGCTGAAAGACACATGAAGAAACTGTATTTGCCTTTTGGTCGTGGACTGATTGACACACATGTGGGTGAGACCCATGGGTGGGGACAATGGCAGTTTTTGTCTTAATTTTGATTTTGCTCTTTTCCTCCTAGACGTGTCTGGTTGTTTCTGATACTTTTCTGTGGGTCCCCACTGGAAGATGCTTTAGACTTGTGGCAGCTTTAGGGCCATGCTCTAGGCCAATCCTGCTTGGGTTGACTTTTACCCACGAGGGAATGGGTAACTTTGGGTGCTTGATTTAGAAACTATAATCTTTGTCTCTCCTGTATTGTTTACTAAGTGTATTAAAGTTCCTTTTCATTAAAGTCTCATATGTTTTGTGTTGATGTGGTGGATGGCAGAACATATTTAGAGCAAGCAGGTTTGCAGGGTCTGGGGTGCCCCTCTCCCTGGAAGGTGACACTACCAAACAGAACACTTTCATTTTCTGTCTCATCCTAGAACTGAAAACCTGATTATTTCAGTGGAGGTTCCATAATAGACAAGAAATACGGTGATATCAAAATTCATATTGATTCATCTGTGGTAATTCAACAGTGAGCCTATTTCTGGGTAAGCTTGCAAACCATACAAGGTCAGAAGCATCATAAATGAAGAGGGTGCTAAGGCTCAAGGAAAAGAAAGAAAAAACACTGGGGGCCTCCCCAGTGGCTCAGCGGTTGAGTGCTGGGCTGCAAACCTGCCTGCAGCCTCTGCTGCACCAGTTCGATCCCCGGCCACCGGCGAGGGTCCCACATGGCACAGCAGACCTCTCCTGTCTCACCTGCTGTTCCACTCAGCAGTGTATTTCAGTCAGTCTGCCTGTTCTGTTCCCTGCTCTGGCTCTGGTGAATCCTCTCACCCTCCCGCACTTCTGACCATACTCAGTGCTTGCATAAATAAATAAATAAATCTTAAAAAAAAAAACAACACTGGGAATAGCAAGAGTCATATGAGGAACCAAAGAATGCCAACAATATTTAAATCCCATTTTTAAAAAGGGAATTTTATTATTTGCTAAAAAGCTACCCTATAAATGAATTTTGTCAACTGTCAATGAAAGTAAGTCACTAATACATAGCAGACAACTATTGCAATGTCTATCCATGACTTTTATTGTTTTAGACGGGGTGACTTTCAAAGTAGCAATGATAGCAACGAATGTTGTAGTCTCAACCCATTTGAGCAATGTTGAAATGGAATTGTGTACTGACCCACAAAATGGACATCCTCATCAACATTTCCACCCAAGACGTAAAGACACTTGAGTCTTCCCCATTTATCTTAAATTTTTAGATTGTCACCATCTTCAGAGGAAAAATGGGCTATTTACCTATATCTCACTTTGAATTTCCACACCATTATGATGCAGCAAGATCATCGGGTGGGTGTCGCCACCGTGAGTCCTGTCCTCCTTTGTCAGGACTCTCCTAAGAATTGGAGTGAAGTCCACCTGGGCCATGGGTACGTGAAGGTCTGATCACTGTTGTGCTTTGAGTGCTCTGAGCAGAGGACTCAATGGAACAAGGTAAAATGCACCATGGTCCACCCAGGAGCTCGCCCTGCAGCTGTGTCCATCACACTATGGGTCCCGCTGGAGCTGGTCGCTGCCTGTGACGGAAGCTGCACAGACTCTCTGAGCACGTTCATCCTCCCCGTAGCCAGAAGCTCTGCCCTGGGGGTGCAACAACCACACCATCTCCTCACTGGCCACGAGGGATTAGCGCCTGCCTGGCAGTGTCATTGCAGGCATCGAGGCCCCTGACAGTTGAAAGAGAGGTGGGTAGGGCTGCTCCAGCACTTCCCCCTGCCCAAGAAGATGCCAGGTCTGTGCTTCCACCTACACTGAATAAGGAGAGAGAGGAGCTGACTGGCAGGGGCACCAAGACTACCCCCTCTGCTGAAATGGAAGGTTCTAGGCTCAGGCAGGCCCAGGGGGTGTAGGTTTTTCTTTTTGTGACTCCAATACCTGAGCCACAGTTTCCTCATCTGTACGAAGGAAAGTATCTCCTCAACCCTAGAGGTGGACACGACCCCTTCACCTGTTGTTGCTGAGCGCCCACTGTCTGCTAGATGCCTAGGACACGAGCTGAGCCGAGCCCACAGCTCAGGACATCCTCACGAGCAATCAGGGACACAGGGAACTTCAACAGATACACAAGAATTGTGACGGGAAGTTTGAGATGCCACAATCTTCCCTGGAAGGGGCACCTGACACGCTCCTGGCCAAGGGGGCATCATGCAGGGCTCTAGCAGAATGACCCTTGAAGTGGACTTGGTCAGGTGAATGGGGTGGGGGAGAGAGAAGGAGGCTGTCAGAGAAGGGCCACGGGCCTGAGACAGCAGGAGCAGATGGCAAGACTCTCATAAGCTTGTCTGGAGGCTTGGACTTTAGCCTGAGTGAAGACATGGGAGTCACTGAAGAGCTCTTTGAGGCGGTAAATAAATGACATGATCCAACAGGTTTTGTTGTGAGGGCAGCGAGGACCAAGGGAAGGACTGCAGACAGCCCTTGGGAAACATCTGGTTCCTCCCTTTCCTCTCCCCAGCCAGGTAAAGATAGGAGGATGTGAACCAACCCACCCAGGACAACAGCGATGTGCCCTTGCTCTCCAGGTAAATTCAGACCCCAGGCCCAGCTTCAGAAAGGACCAGCCACGGATCAGTGGGTCTGGCCCTGCCTTGTCCAGGAGCAGGTGATCAGCCCACAATCAAGGATTGTGGATTTTACGGACACATGTGACCAGAGACATGGTTCTATCCTTATTAACAACTTCATGTTTTCCAGTTTCATGTTTTGAATTTCATGACTTAATTCCCGACCTTGATTCCCTTATAAAGCACACTGGCACTATCCTGCAATTAAGTCACTAGAGCGCAACGTTTTCTCAGGTGGCATCATGAAGCAGAAAGGTGGAAGAATATCCTAATATTATACTATCAATAACTTGTCGTCTATTATATGATAAAACACCTTTGCCTTTCAATCTGGAATATTCCTTCTTCATCTCTAGAGAACAGACCTACTTTGCTTTTTAGAAATTATAGAAAATAGGGCCTCCCCTGGTGGCGCAGTGGTTGAGCGCCGGGCTGCAAAGCTACCCGCAGCCTCTGCAGCACTGGTTCAATCTCAGCCGCTGGCGAGGGTCCCAGATGGCACGACAGACCTCTCCTGTCTCGCCCACTGCTCCCCTCGGCAGTGTATTTTTGTCAGTCTGCCTGTTCTGTTCCCCACTCTGGCTCTGGTGAATTCTCTCATCCTCCCGCACTTCTGACTGTACCCAGTGCTTGTATAAATAAATAAATAAATCATTTTTAAAAAACAAAAAAAGAAATTATAGAAATGACACCTATGTTTTTTATTAATACTCTGTTTTATGAATGTTCCATAATTGGAAAAGAGTAGCATACCTAGGTGGGACTTCCTATTTGTATGCAATTGGCAGATTCAATCCAATTCCAATAAAAATTACAATGGTGTTCTTCAATGAAATGGAGCCAATACTGTTCAAATTCATATGGGATCACAAAACCTCTAGTAGTGAACATTCTTCTGACTAAAAGGGGGGAAGAATGGAGGTATTACACTCACAGACATCAAACAATACTGTTAGGGGGAAAGGATGTCCTGAGCAAACTCCATACAGGTTTTGTGGACTCCACCCCCACTCCAGACCAAAGCCATCAAGATGCTGGGAATGAAAAATCCCATCATCACCAGAGGGCGGATTGCTGGGACCTGAGAGTGGAGTTAAGCAGCCAGGTTTGGTATAAAACCAGACATGTGGGCCTTGGCTCTCTCTCTCTTAGCCTCATAGGTCTTGGCTTTTCACTAGCTCTCAGTGTGCCATTGGGATTCCAGGTCAATGGAACTGGTAGGACACATTCACGAATTTTCTCTCTCTTTTTGTAAATAAGCCTTTTATTAACCTTGTGTGTGTGCCTGCAGTTGAGTATTAATAAGTCCATTTTAAGCACGCAGGTGAGGAACCACAGGCAACCCATTTCATGTTGGGGTTGCCAGTAACAATATTACAAAGCTATTATAATAACAACATTATTGGAACAAAAACAGACACAGAGACCAATGGAATCTAATTTAAAGCCCAGAAATAAAACCACACTTCCATGACACAGGAGCAAGGAATAAACATTGGAACAAGAATAGCCTCTTCAATAAATGGTGCCGGAAAACTGGATTGCAACATGCAAAATAATGAAACTAGACCACTATCTCACACCATGCACAAACCAACTCAAGTCGATGAAAGACTTGAATGTGAAACCTGGCATCATAGACTATATAGAAGGGGACATAGGCAAACACTCAATGACACAATCCTCAGAAACATCTTTGAGGATTCTTCTCCAGAAGCAAGGAAAACAAAGGAGAATGTAAACAGTTAGGGACACATAAACTTAAAGATCTTCAGAACAGCAAGAGACAGTGATCAAAACAAAGAGACACCCCACTGAATGGGAGAAAATATTTGCAAACCATATGACATATAAGGGACTGATATCAAAGATTTACAAAGAGCTTACACAACTCAAAACAAACAAACAACCCAGTCCAAAAAGGGGCAGAAGTCAAAAGACACTTCTCCAAAGAAGAAATGCAAATGACCAACAGGCACAGAAAAAAGGTTCAGCATCACTAATATCAAGGAAATGCCTATCAAAACCACATAGATGCCATCTCACTCCAGCAAGAATGCTCTACATTAAAAAAAAAACTGGAAACAACAAATGCTGAAGAAGCAGTGGAGAAAAAGGAGCCTCTGACACTGCCGGTGGGCGCGCAAACTGGTCCAGCCACTATGGGCAGCTGTGTGGAGGGTCCTCAGAACACTGAAAATGGGTCTACACATGTCAGGGCCCAGACCTGAACATCCGGGTTCTTGCCTGAAGCAGGTTCTGAATGTTAGCTCGAGTGAAGGTTTCAAGTTTCCTATTGTGACGACTGAACCTTTCCCCCTGCTTGCTACTTGTGGCTTCTTTGCATTGGTGGTCTCTCCTTGTTAGAGATAACGAGAGACCTCCTCCTCTGAACCCTATATAACATTGTACACATTCCTGAATAAATGAGACTGGCGATGATCCTGGCTTTGTCTCCACTCCTCGCGTACCCCTATCCTATACCAAGCCCCTGCTTCCTCCCCCAGGTGCTGCGTTGATCTGCCCAGCTGGCCCGGACATACACATGATCCGGTGTTCCACTCCTAGGAATCCACCAAAGGGACAAAAAAAAACCCAGGAAACCCGAACTGCTGTGTTCATTGCATCCCTATTTATAATAGCCGTGACATGGAAACAACTCAAATGCCAGAAAACGGATGAATGGATCAAAACGTTGTGGTACAGTTACACCACGGAATATTGCTCAGCAATCAAAAAAGACACATTCATGCCACTGGTGGCGATATAGATGGAGCTGCAAGGGATGATGCTACCACAATAAGGCAGGAGAAAGATAAATATCAGGTGGTTTCACTTACATGCGAAAATAGAGAAACTGAAAAAAAGTAGAGAAAAAGACAACCCTAGCAGGATGACCAAGACCCGAGGCACCCAGCGGGGAGGGGGAGGGAGGGGGGTGAACAGAGGGTAGGGAAGGGCACAAGGGATTATGGTGATGGGGCACGGGGGCTATTTTGGTGGGAGCACCATGGGGACCACCCCTGAGGGGAGACACCAATAACTAAAAAAATGAACAACGATGCAAGAAAAGAAAAAAAAAAGAGAGATGGTCTTTAAGGACAGGGAAGACCCTAAGACAATATAAATCAATAAATGCTCTAAAGGGGGTCTCACCTGAGCACTGCTGGAGGCACTGCTGAGGCATCCCCTCATCAGTTGTTCTAGATCTCAAGGAATTGTCTCTGGCCTGTGCAGCAAGTCAGCCTGCTGTGTGTGAATAATTAGAAAAATGCTATTTTTATTTTTAAAGATTTATTTATTTATACAAGAACCGGGGTACCGGCCAGAGGTGCGGGGGTGAGAGGAGTCACCAGAGACAGAGTGGGGAGCAGAACTGGCGGATGGATTGAAATCCAGGGCTGAGGGGGGCAGCGGAGAGACGGGGGGTCTGCTGCCCCCTGAGGGCTGCTCCTGACCTGCGGGGGTGGACTCGTCTCCTGCAGGGGCTGGCCAGAGCTGGGGATCTCCATCTGTACCCCCCTGCCCCCCAGGAAGCCCATGAATATGACCTGAAATGGTCCCCAGTTCTCACCCGGAAGCTGAGCACGATCTGAGCTGTAGGAGAGACGGCCATGGGGATCACGATGGCGAGACCTCGCTCAGGGCAGCGACCTCCTGCCCCAGGATGGTGCGGGGGCTCCTGACCCCAGCTACCCCTGCACGGGCAGCAGCTGCCGGCACCGTCCCGGTGCCCCCGGGCGCCCCCCACCCCCAGCCAGGGCCTCTCTACCCGCCGACCCTCAGCAGAGGCAGTGCCGCTCAAGGCCCCGCCCCTCCCGGAACCCTGGATATCCAGTTGCTTCATCTCCAGAACTACCCAAACCCTCTGAGCACGCCCTGGTCCTGGCCACACTCGCCGGGGGCTAGGGGGTCACTTGCACCCTCCGCTCGCAATAACACCCACAGAAGCAGCTTGGGCGAGGGCGAGGTCACTTGTCAGGGAGGCTACCCCAATCTAGCCACCGGCAGTGACCGCGCCCACAGCCAGGAAATGCAAATAGGCCCCCCGCAGTCACCTCAACGCACCCAAGCCCCGGACAACCCGCATCCCTGATGGGGAAAAGCCCGCACCTGCCCCAGCTGACCTGAGAAACCCCAGGTTCAGCCTCCAGGTGAGCCAGGCCCCACCCACCCACTGTGAAGGCACAAAAGTGACAATTTCAGAACCATGGGTAGGGGCCGCCAGAAACCCCCTAGACCCTCTACTCCCTGTCTTCTCAGTATGTGCTTCACAACATGTCATTATTCCCCAGATGTTTCTCAACACTCCTTACTGCAAGTAATACTGCAGTATTTCTCCTCAGATTTTTCTCCACAGAGGCCTGTCTTCTCGCCAGAATCTGCTTCCAAGGGTGTCACTTCTCAGATATTTCTCCTCAACACTCCTTACTACAGTATTTGCTCTCAGATTTTCTCTCAGAGGTGTGTCTTCTCAGAACCTGCTTCCCAACGGGTCATTTCTCCTCAGATATTTCTCCTCAACACTCCTTACTGCAGTATTACGACTCAGATTTTCTCCTCAGAGGCCTGTCTTCTTCTCAGAATCTGCTTCCCAACATGTCATTTATCGTCCGATATCTCCTCTACACTCCTAACTACAGTGTTTCTCCTCAGTTTTTTTCTCCTCAGAGACCTGTCTCTGTCTTCGCAGTATTTGCTTCACAACGTGTTATTACTCCTCAGACACTTCTCCTCAATAATCACTGCAGTATTTCTCGCCAGATTTTTCTCCACTAGGCCTGTCTTCTCCTCAGAATCTGCTTCCCAGGGGCTAATTTCTCCTCAGATATTCTCCTCAACACGCCTTACTGCAGTAGTTCTCCTCAGATTTGTCTCCTCAGAGGCCTGTCTTCTCCTCAGAATCTGCTTCCCAGGGGGTCATTTCTCCTCAGATACTTCTCAACAAGAATTACTACAATACTTCTCCTCAAATTTTTCTCCTCAGAGGCCTGTCTTCTCCACAGAATCTGCTTCCCAGGGGCTCATTACTCCTCAGATATTCTCCTCAACATGCCTTACTGCAGTATATCTCCTCAGATTTTTCTCCTCAGAGGCCTGTCTTCTCCTCAGAATCTGCTTCCCAGGGGGTCATTTCTCCTCAGATATTTCTCCTCAACAAGAATTACTGCAGTAGTGCTCCTCAGATTTGTCTCCTCAGAGGCCTGTCTTCTCCTAGAATCTGCTTCCCAGGGGGTCATTTCTCCTCAGATATTTCTCCTCAACAAGAATTACTCAGTACTTCTCCTCAAATTTTTCTCCTCAGAGGCCTGTCTTCTCCGCAGAATCTGCTTCCCAGGGGGTCATTTCTCCTCAGATATTTCTCCTCAACACGCTTTACTGCAGTAGTTCTCCTCAGATTTGTCTCCTCAGAGGCCTGTCTTCTCCTCAGAATCTGCTTCCCAGGGGGTCATTTCTCCTCAGATATTTCTCAACAAGAATTACTACAGTACTTCTCCTCAAATTTTTCTCCTCAGAGGCCTGTCTTCTCCTCAGAATCTGCTTCCCAGGGGCTCATTTCTCCTCAGATATTCTCCTCAACACGCCTTACTGCAGTATATCTCCTCAGATTTGTCTCCTCAGAGGCCTCTCTTCTCCTCAGAATCTGCTTCCCCCGGGGTCATTTCTCCTCAGATATTTCTCCTCAACAAGAATTACTGCAGTAGTTCTCAAATTTTTATCCTTGGAGGCCTGTCTTCTCCTCAGAATCTGCTTCCCAGGGCTCATTTCTCCTCAGATAGTTCTCCTCAACACGCCTTACTGCAGTAGTTCTCCTCAGATTTTTCTCCTCAGAGGCCTGTCTTCTCCTCAGAATCTGCTTCCCAGGGGCTCATTTCTCCTCAGATATATCTCCTCAACATGCCTTACTGCAGTAGTTCTCCTCAGATTTTTCTCCTCAGAGGCCTGTCTTCTCCTAGAATATGCTTGCCAGGGGGTCATTTCTCCTCAGATATTTCTCCTCAACAAGAATTACTACAGTACTTCTCCTCAAATTTTTCTCCTCGGAGGCCTTTCTTCTCCTCAGAATCTGCTTCCCAGGGGGTCATTTCTACTCAGATATTTCTCCTCTACAAAAATTACTGCAGTAGTTCTACTCAGATTTTTCTCCTCAATAAAAATTACTGCAGTATTTCTCCTCAGATTTTTCTCCTCAGAGGCCTGTCTTCTCCTCAGAATCTGCTTCCCAGGGGGTCATTTCTCCTCAGATATTTCTCCTCAACAAGAATTACTACAGTACTTCTCCTCAAATTTTTCTCCTCGGAGGCCTGTCTTCTCCTCAGAATCTGCTTCCCAGGGGGTCATTTCTCCTCAGATATTTCTCCTCAACACGCCTTACTGCAGTAGTTCTCCTCAGATTTGTCTCCTCAGAGGCCTGTCTTCTCCTCAGAATCTGCTTCCCAGGGGCTCATTTCTCCTCAGATATTTCTCCTCAACAAGAATTACTGCAGTAGTTCTCCTCAGATTTGTCTCCTCAGAGGCCTGTCTTCTCCTCAGAATCTGCTTCCCAGGGGGTCATTTCTCCTCAGATATTTCCCCTCAACAAGAATTACTGCAGTAGTTCTCCTCAGATTTGTCTCCTCAGAGGCCTGTCTTCTCCTCAGAATCTGCTTCCCAGGGCGTCATTTCTCCTCAGATATTTCTCCTCAACACTCCTTACTGCAGTAGTTCTTCTCAGATTTTCTCCTCAGAGGCCTGTCTTCTCCTCAGAATCTGCTTCCCAGGGGGTCATTTCTACTCAGATATTTCTCCTCTACAAAAATTACTGTAGTTCTACTCAGATTTTTCTCCTCAATAAAAATTACTGCAGTATTTCTCCTCAGATTTTTCTCCTCAGAGGCCTGTCTTCCCCTTAGAATCTGCTTCCCAGGGGGTCATTTCTCCTCAGATATTTCTCCTCAACAAGAATTACTTCAGTAGTTCTCCTCAGATTTGTCTCCTCAGAGGCCTGTCTTCTCCTCAGAATCTGCTTCCCAGGGGGTCATTTCTCCTCAGATATTTCTCCTCAACACGCCTTACTGCAGTAGTTCTCCTCAGATTTGTCTCCTCAGAGGCCTGTCTTCTCCTCAGAATCTGCTTCCCAGGGGGTCATTTTTCCTCAGATATTTCTCAACAAGAATTACTACAGTACTTCTCAAATTTTTCTCCTCAGAGGCCTGTCTTCTCCTCAGAATCTGCTTCCCAGGGGCTCATTTCTCCTCAGATATTCTCCTCAACACGACTTACTGCAGTATATCTCCTCAGATTTGTCTCCTCAGAGGCCTGTCTTCTCCTCAGAATCTGCTTCCCCCGGGGTCATTTCTCCTCAGATATTTCTCCTCAACACTCCTTACTGCAGTAGTTCTCCTCAAATTTTTATCCTTGGAGGCCTGTCTTCTCCTCAGAATCTGCTTCCCAGGGCTCATTTCTCCTCAGATATTTCTCCTCAACACGCCTTACTGCAGTAGTTCTCCTCAGATTTGTCTCCTCAGAGGCCTGTCTTCTCCTCAGAATCTGCTTCCCAGGGGGTCATTTCTCCTCAGATATTTCTCAACAAGAATTACTACAGTACTTCTCCTCAAATTTTTCTCATCAGAGGCCTGTCTTCTCCTCAGAATCTGCTTCCCAGGGGCTCATTTCTCCTCAGATATTTCTCCTCAACAAGAATTACTACAGTACTTCTCAAATTTTTCTCCTCAAAGGCCTGTCTTCTCCTCAGAATCTGCTTCCCAGGGGCTCATTTCTCCTCAGATATATCTCCTCAACATGCCTTACTGCAGTAGTTCTCCTCAGATTTTTCTCCTCAGAGGCCTGTCTTCTCCTAGAATATGCTTCCCAGGGGGTCATTTCTCCTCAGATATTTCTCCTCAACAAGAATTACTACAGTACTTCTCCTCAAATTTTTCTCCTCAAAGGCCTGTCTTCTCCTCAGAATCTGCTTCCCAGGGGGTCATTTCTACTCAGATATTTCTCCTCAACAAGATTTACTGCAGTACTTCTCCTCAAATTTTTCTCCTCAGAGGCCTGTCTTCTCCTCAGCTCCTCTCCTTAGATCCTCCCATCGGCTCCTCCCCTCAGATCCTCCCCTCAGATCCTCCCTCGGCCCCTCCCTCGGCTCCTCCCTTCAGATCCTCCCCTCGGATCCTCCCCTCGGATCCTCCCCGGCCCCTCCCCTCGGCCCCTCCCTCGGATCCTCCCCTGGCCCCTCCCCTCGGATCCTCCCCTCGGCCCCTCCCCTCGGCCCCTCCCCTCAGATCCTCCCCTCGGATCCTCCCCTCGGCCCCTCCCCTCAGATCCTCCCTCGGATCCTCCCCTCGGCCCCTCCCCTCGGCTCCTCCCCTCAGATCCTCCCCTCGGCCCCTCCCCTCGGATCCTCCCCTCGGATCCTCCCCTGGCCCTCCCCTCGGATCCTCCCCTCGGCCCCTCCCTCGGCCCTCCCCTCGGCTCCTTCCCTCGGCCCCCCCTCGGCTCCTCTCCTTAGATCCTCCCATCGGCTCCTCCCCTCGGATCCTCCCTCAGATCCTCCCCTCGGCCCCTCCCCTCGGCCCCTCCCCTCGGATCCTCCCCTCGACTACTCCCCTCCTTCCCTCCCCCTCAGCTCCTCCCCTCAGATCCTCCCCTCAGATCCTCCCCTCGGCCCCTCCCCTCGGCTCCTCCCTTCAGATCCTCCCCTCGGATCCTCCCCTCGGATCCTCCCCTCGGCCCCTCCCCTCGGCCCCTCCCCTCGGCTCCTTCCCTCGGCCCCTCCCCTGGCCCTCGGATCCTCTCCTAAGATCCTCCCGTCGGCTCCTCCCCTCAGCTCCTCCCTCGGCCCCTCCCCTCGGATCCTCCCCTCAGCTCCTCCCCTCGGCTCCTCCCTCGGCCCCTCCCCTCAGATCCTCCCCTCAGATCCTCCCCTCGGCCCCTCCCCTCGGCCCCTCCCCTCGGATCCTCCCCTCGGCCCCTCCCCTCGGATCCTCCCCTCAGCTCCTCCCCTCGGCCCTCCCCTCGGCCCCTCCCCTCGGATCCTCCCCTCGGCCCTCCCCTCGGATCCTCCCCTCGGCTCCTCCCCTCGGCTCCTCCCTCAGCTCCTCCCCTCGGATCCTCCCCTCGGCCCACCTCGGATCCTCTCCTAAGATCCTCCCGTCGGCTCCTCCCCTCAGCTCCTCCCCTCAGCTCCTCCCCTCGGCCCTCCCCTCGGATCCTCCCTCAGCTCCTCCCCTCGCCCCTCCCCTCGGATCCTCCCCTCAGCTCCCCTCGGCCCTCCCCTCGGCCCCTCCCCTCAGATCCTCCCTCGGCCCCTCCCCTCGGATCTTCCCCTCGGCCCCTCCCCTCGGCCCTCCCCTCGGCCCCTCCCCTCGGATCCTCCCCTCAGCTCCTCCCCTCGGCCCCTCCCCTCGGATCCTCCCTCAGATCCTCCCCTCGGCCCCTCCCCTCGGATCCTCCCCTTGGCCCTCCCCTCGGCCCTCCCCTCAGATCCCCCCTCCGCCCCTCCCTCAGATCCTCCCCTCGGCTCCTCCCTCAGATCCTCCCCTCGGCTCCCCCCTCCGCCCCTGCTCGGGCGCCGCGGGAGACGGCGGGGAGGCGGGGAGGCCGGGGAGGACTCCGGGAGGGAGGGGCTGCCGTGCGCGGGGAGGGGCCCCTGCGCGCGGCGGACGGGCCTCCCGCCGGGGGCTGCGCGGCGGCGCCGGGGCCCGCGGGACGAGGCGCCCGCGGACGAGGGGAGGAGATGTTTTGCTTTGCTAATTAACGCGCCGCGAAGGAAACGCCTGGCGAGCGTGAGCGGCGAAGGCGCGTGAACGCGTCACTGCCCGAAGCGCGGCGCGGGGGACGCGCCAGGGAGACGCGCCGTCGCGGCCGGGGCGCAGCCGAGCCCGGACCAGACGGGCCGAGACGCCGGGGCCGCGAGGGCGGGGCTGGCGCGCGGCGGCTCCTCCGCGCCCGCAGAGCCGGACGAGCGGCCGGGGAGCGGCCCGCGGGAGGCGCCGCCGGTGGCCGGAGCTTTGCGGGCAGCGCAGAGGCGGGCCGGGGAGCCCCGTGCCGGCCCCTCCTTCCCGGGCCTCAGGGGGCGCGGGGCGCTTCGCGGCGCCCGGGGCAGCCCGCAGGCCTCGGACACCGCGGGGGGCAGCGCCCGCCCCGCCGCGCCCCCCCCGCCCTCGGGCCGCCCCGCCCCCCGCCGCCGCCAGGGGGCGCCGCGCCCCGCGACGGGCCTTTCCTCGCCCCGACTCCCCCGGGGCGGCCCCGGCCCGCGCGGCCTCGCGGGACTTCTCGCCTCGGGGACCAGCGGGGCGAGAAGCGCAGGAGGCCGCACGGGCGGAGCCGGCGGGGGCGGAGCGTCCCGCTGCCGGGGTCGGGCCACAGCGGGCAGGAGCGGCTGGGGGAGCGGGAGGCCGCCCTCGCCCGCCCCGCCCGGCCCCCCGGCCCCCCAAGCCGCGGGAGGAGGAGGGGAACCCACGAGGGGAACCCACGAGGGGAACCCACGAGGGGAACCCACGAGGGCCGGAGGGCGGCGATGAGCCGGGAGGCTCTGGGCGGCCCAGAGCGAGGCAGGGGGCGCGGAGCAGGGCGGGCCGGCCGGGGGTCGGCGTGCGGAGGCCCGAGGACCGCGGAGGAGCGGCACCCCGGACCCCGCGCTGCGCCCCGGCACCGCGTCTGTCCCCACCGCCTCCTGCGGCGCCGGGAGCCGAGAACGCGCGCCACGGAGAGCGTCGCTCGGTGTTTGGGAAATGACTTTGAAACGAAGAAAACGCTGCGCTTGCGAAGACGCCCCGGCCCTGCATTACTTACAGGAACAGACGCCGGGAAACCATCTCCGTGGAAACCCAGAGGACCGGCCAGTGCCGTCCCAGACACGCAAACGGCCACCGCGATCGGGGGAGTAACGGGCGCGCGCAGCTCCTGAGGCCGTGCTCTTCCAGCTCCAACAGACACATGCATGAAATGATCTCGCGGCCCTACCAGAGAAGGTCCAATGACCGGGCACCGGTGGAATACTACACGGCAGAGAAAACACGCGCCTCTGGCTACAGCCAACCCTGTGGATCGCCTCGCCCGCGCGTTGCTGGGTGAAAGAGCCTAGATAGAAAATGAACATATGAATTATTTAAATTTTAAACACCAGACAAAATAAAAAGCGTGTTTTTACTATACATTCAATAATACATGATCGTGTGGGGATGTGTCTTGGGGAGCAAGGGAAACGGTGATTGAGGGGGTCCCCTATCGGTGCAGACTCAGAGAATCGGAGGACGGTATGGGATTTTATGTTTCTTCATCCAGGGAAGGGGAGTTCATTTTGTGATTCTTAAACTGTACATGTATCCTACCTGCCCTGATACACGGGTGGTGCAGTTCACGATTCAAGGTATTGGAAATGACGAGGGTGAAAGTCAGCAAACTCATAAAAGCATTTCTCTTTGGATGAAAAATCATAGCTGACCCTTGATCACTTTGGTTTTTTGCTACCGCTCATGTTTTCTAGAAGGTACACAGCTCTCTCTTAGGATCGGAACCAGTCCACTACAGCGGACGAACACATCATCAGCGCACTCACTTCCCCATCCTTGGCAGGGGGAAAGGAACCGGTAACACGATTTTTAAACTAAATCATTCCATTGTGGTCATACAAGAACTTTGAATAAGGATGAAAATGTGGCCTCCCTGCTAGTCAGGCAGGCGTGGGCAGAGCGGCTTCATTTGGAGAGAGTGTCAAGCTCACCTCAATTACTTTGGTGAAAGGGTTTGTGTTTCTGGCCTGAACCTAGACTCCTGCTCGTCTGTAAATACCAATAAACACATTTTGCCATTTTTTTAATTTCTAAAATTTTAAGTTTATTCTGTTTTATGCAGAAGTTTCATACTGATTTGATTTGTTTAAAAAAAGTAAAATAAGACACTCATCCAAAGTCTACACCCATTCAGCTTTCGAATACAAGAGTTCTGAAAGTTGTACACGTACATGCTGGAGCCATGATATTTCATAACACAAAATTTGAAATGACTGAAAGATCCTTGCTCTGACTAGTTCATTGCCTTTACCAAAACACAAACCACAAAAAAGAATAGGACAGAATATGGGCCTCCCTGCTGGCACAAGGGATTAAGCACGGAGCTAGGAAGCTGTCCCCAGCCTCTGCAGCACGAGCTCGATCCCTGGCCGGCCAGGGAGCAACCCACAAGGCGCAGCAGACCTCTCCTGTCTTGCCCACTGCTCCCCTCAGCAGTGTAGTTCAGTCAGTCTGCGTGTTCTGCTCCCCACTCTCTGGTGAATCCTCTCACCCCCTGCATTGCTGGCCTGTACCCCAGCTTCAGTATGCATAAATAAATAAATAAATAAATAAATAAATAAATAAATAAATAAATAGGCAATTTTATTTTGGGCTCAAATATTTCAGTCTCAATGAATTTATGTCAATTGTCAGTGAGCAGAGGTCACTAATGTACTGCAGTTGCCTTTTGCAATGTCTATCCTGGCCCTTTTATTTTTACAGCGTCATTTTCAACATAGTAATGTGGACAACATCGTTATAGTCAAAAGCTCAACACATTTTAGCAACTTTGAAATTGGATTGTGTACAAACCACATAAAATTGACGCCCCAACATGTCTGCCAAGGCCTATGGGGGCGTTGAGCCTTCCGCTTTGTACTCAGGCTTCTTAGGTGGACACTATTGATGGAGCAGGTTCCGGGCATTTTTTGATGTGGGTGTGGGGCCCCATCCTCCCCAGCGGGCCCTCCTGGACCTGGAGTGACATCCGTGCTGGTGGGAACCTGGTCCCTCCCTCGGGACCCAGCAGGGCAGCGCCCTCTGCACTTTGAACTGGGGAGAAGGGGTGCCCTGAGGGAGGGGAAGGTGAGGAGCATCTCCCTGTGGGCAGCGGCTGCCTGTGGAGGGGCGTCCAGAGGGAGGACGCACTGGAGGGAAGGCTGGGTGTGAATGCTGTCAGGTTTGAGGTTCTTTTTGTGCCTGGAGAACACAGGTATCCGGTTTCATTCCTGAGCAGCCGACTGGGTCAGAACCTGCCCTGGGAGGGATCCCCAGGAGACCTGCGCTGTGCTGAGCACTCTGAAGACAGAAATCAATGGAACAAGGTAATAACACACCATGCCACTCCCAGGAGCCTTGCCCTGCAGCTCCGTGCACAGCCATGGGTCCCGCCGGGAAGGGGGCCGGCTGCTCACTGACTCAGGTCTCAGTTGTCACCCGAGACCATCCGCATTCGCCTGACCGGAACTCCACCCCCGGAGGAGGCTGACCCCACACCGGTTGCCACAGAGCCCAGGAGGAACGCAGGGTCAGTCCGGCCAGCATGAGGGAGGCCTCCGACGGCCCTGACGTGGGGAGGGCAGCTCCAAGTACTCGTCCCTCCAGAAGGCAGAGCCCTAACTCTCCTGCCTCACCCACTGCTCCCCTCAGCAGTGAGTTTCAGTACTTCTGCCTGTTCTGCTCCCCACTCTGTCTCTGCTAAATCCTCTCACCCCCCGCACCTCTGGCCTGCACCTCAGCTCTTGTGTGCATAAACAAATAAACCATTAAAAAAAGGATTTTAAAAAAGCTCCCACTCTGAGCTTACCTGTGGGCATCTGGCCTCTGGGTGACTAGTGGTGGTGGTTTGGGGACGTGATTCAGTGGCCTGGTGGTGGCCACGGGATTTGGCTGTGCACTTGCACCCCCACGGGGGGGGGTGCTCCTGTGCTCGGGAAGGGTCAGAACACCAGGCGTCACAGGGCCCATGGCACGAGGGGCGGCACATGACCTGCTCCTCTCCTGCAGACAGGGCTTCGGACACTGTCTCTGTATCTTACGGGCTGACGGCACCGGGGCCACGAGCAAAGTGCTGATGACAGACACTCAGACACAGGCCCAAGTGTGACACACTGGGGCTCTCGGGGCACATAGCGTTTTGGCGTCAGGCGCATGGCCGTCGGTGCCCACGGCAGCGGGTGGAGCCCGCAGGCGTGCCTGTGTGCCGAGGGCCCAGAGACGTGGCTTCAGTGTCCCTGGACCTGTTGGAGGCTCCAGCGCCATAGTCCATCTGGGCTCAGGACCATGGTCTGTGCCCAGAATGGTTTGGGCTCAGGTTCCTGATGCAGGTGTTCATTTGTCAGAGTAGGGGGTGCAGGTGGCCGGGGGTGCAAACACACAGGCTGCAACATGGATGGTGCGTTTCCCCTGCGGCCTTTACTCACAAGACAGTGTCTGCAGCAGCTGAGTTATCTTTTGATTTCACACTTAGTTCAATTCCACTTCTTTAACTGGGGGGCTGTTACCCCAGCCTCCGATACGCAAGCCACCTGCAGGTGTTCTGGCATTCTGTCCCACCTTTGAGGATTTTCATGAAATGCTCCAACAACGTTCTTGCTTGTCAGCAGGGGCTCCGAGCAGTGAGGTGTCTGCTGGTTGCAGCCGTCACTGCAGACGGGGGCCTGTGCTGGAGACCCAAGGCCCCGGTCTCCGTGGCCGTGGTAGGACCGGAATGCACCCAGGGACCACCTTCGTACCTCGGCCACGGCACAGGCCTCAGGTACTTTGTCTCATCATTCCTTGTTCCCTTTTCATCCGCCTTTACTTTTCAAATCAAATTTTATTTAAATATCGCTCCATGGCTTTAGAGGACAGCGGCACCCCCAAGGTGGCAGCTACATCCCTCGCCGAACCCACTCCCTGCCAGAAGCCTGAGCCCGGCAGGAGTCTGAGCCCCCGCGGGACCCCTCGCCCAGCGGAGCCGCCGGCCCCGGTGACACGCGTTTCTCCAGTGCCCCGATCCCTGCCGCTTGGCTCACGTGCCTGGTCGGTGCGTTTCCTCCACAGATGCCGACACCATCCTTAACTGATTTCTTTCTTTCAGAGTGACCACCTCCACCCCATCTGAACTGCTACAAAGGCTTGACTCCATCTTTTTAACAGCTGGACGGTGCGCACGCCACGTCCCCGGGGCGGGCGCTCGGGGCTCCGCGTCTGCAGTCACGCCTTTCGTGGTTCAAACGGAGTCTGCAGCGGCTTCATGTTGTTCCACTGAAACCCCTGACCTCCTCACTGGCTGCCTCGCTGGCCGGGGCCAGGGGCGGAGGGCGTTCTGCACACAGCCAGTGCGGGCGAGAAGCCCTGGGCGGTCCAGCAGCCCGTCAGGGAGGCCCAAGGGGCAGAGGGCAGGAACACGCCTCGCGATCCCGCACCGACACGCAGACCCGGGCGACCGGGGAGCGCCTCCATCATGGCCAGGGCAGGCGGACGGGGTCCCCTGTCCGCCCTTATGAGATGCGTTGTCCTTGGTCAGCCCAGGGATCCGCCCATCACCGCTTGGGCTCAGCTCACTGGAGTAAGTTCGGGGAGTACCTTCCCTCTGCCGACGACGGTCTCCCTGTGTGAGCTTCCTGGACTCCTCTTTCTTGTTCTTTAGCCTTAGGAGGGGCCGTGGGGCAGGCCGGTGGGAGCCCAGGAGCTGTCCGGGCCATGGTGCCTTTACCAACCGCCTTCTTCCGTAGCCATGGACACAGGGTTGGCCAGGAGAGCGCAGGGCCGCAGGCCCAGGGCTGTGTGGCTCTTTGTGATGCCGGCAGTCTCTGCTGCTGAGGTATGTCCCTGGTCGCTGCCGCTGCCGTCTGCTCTGCGCATCCCCGAGTGTCTGCCTGTGGGGGCTGAGCCTCCGAAGCAGGGCTGGGGTGGGCTGCTACTCGGCCTGGGGCTGTAAGTTCCATGAGAAACGCCCTTTGAGGGACTGTAGTGAGCACACGACGGGACGGCTAGTCTCAGAAAGCGACTCTACCGAGCTGACCGTGGCCTGTGCAGGAGCGAGGGCAGAGGCAGGCAGACCGGCGAGGGGCCGCGAAGTCCCTGGACTGTCCCGACTGTCCTGCTGTTGAGCTCAAGACAGCTGGGAGTGCGGCTAGAGCAGAGGAGTGTGGCGCAGCAGCTGGAGTCCAGGCGGCTTTGGGCTGTGGAGCCAACAGTGTCCCCACAGGGCGCGATGCATGCGAGGAGGCAGCAGGAGGACTGCGGCCCCCGCCCCCACCCCCGGCCCCAGGGAGACACGAGCTACAGAAGTGAGGTCTTGTGTTTCTAGGGAGCGCCGTCCGGGGAAAGCAGACATCAGGAGGACAGGGCAGGCGGGGCGCGAGGAGCAAGAGCAGGCAGGAGGGGTCTGCTCTGACCAGGCTGGGGGCAGCGGGAGGACAGCACCCCCGGCCGTGGCTCCCCCGCTGCAGGCAGAAGCGCGTGGCGCTGGCAGGGGTGAGCAGGCACAGCCCCAGGTCCCGCCTGGAGCCTGGCTGGGCGCACCCTGAGACCCGGAGGCCTCCTCGCAGACTCACGCCTTTGTCTCGGGAGGTGGGTCCTTCCTGACACCTGCCCTTCCCGCTGAGCGGAGTGGTCCTGGCGCCGGCAGGAAGCCTTCCAGTCACGGTGCCCCGGCTTCCTTCCAGAGCTTCTGGCTCCCGGTGATGCTTCTCCCAGTGTCCGCGCCGCCCCACCCGCCGCGCCTCGGGTCGTGACAGGCCGCGCGACATACTGACAGGCCAGCATCTTATTTTAAGGTTAAACCTGACTGTTTTTTATTTGGGGGTTACACTTTTGCTCTTCCACGTGTGCACTTTACACTCACGCTCGACCCACCGCCCACACCCGCGCCCCACGTGCCTCCCTCCCTGCCCCTTGTTCGCGGTGGTAACCAAGCTATTTTTCCACTGAATTCCCGATTGCTCCCGACTGTACTCGGCCTGTGGATGTTTCTGGTTATTTGGACTCCACAGACGAGTGAAGCCTTCCGCTATCTTTCTTTTGCTTTTTGACTTATTTAACACAATCACCGCAAAATTCCATCCACTTTCTCCCAAACGCCCTTTGCCCTCTTTCGAACGACTGTGTGGTGCTCCACTGAACATACGCTCCCCGATTTCTTCATCCACCCATCTGGGGAAGGGCACGTGGGATGGTCCCATGACTTGGCCATTCTGGACGGTGCTGCTGTGAACACAGGCACGGGGGACCCATATTCGCTTTATTATTTGGATAAATACCTAATAGAGGGATTGCCAATTGTAGAATTTTCATTCTTATTTTCTTAAGAAATCTCCATGCCACTTTCCATGGGGGCTGCCCCAATTTGCACTCCCAACAAAAGGGGATGCGAATTCCTCTTTCACCACCACCTCACCAACCTGTAATGGTTCTGTTCCTTTTTCCGCAAGCCATCTCCCAGCGGTGAGGCGGCATCCGAAGAGCTTTTGATTGGCCTTCCCCTTCTAAGAGGAGAGGTTGGACAGTTCGTCATATGCTTGGAGGCCATCTGGATGTCTTCTTTAGCAAAGTATCTATTTAGGTCCTCTATTTTTCAGTCAGGTTATTTGTTTCTTTGTTGTTGGGTTATGTAAGCAGTTCGTAGATTTTGGCAATTAGCCCTCTGTTAGATGTCTGATGTAAAAGTATTTTTGCCCATTCTTTAGGTTGCCTTTTGTTTCTGTGATTTTTTTTAAGATTGATTTATTTATGCCCACAAGAACTGGGGTACAGGCCAGAGGTGGGGGGGAGGTAAGAGGATTCACCAGAGACAGAGTGGGGAGCAGAACAGGCAGAAACACACTGCTGAGGGGGCAGCGGGAGACAGGAGAGGTCTGCTGCGCCATGTGGGTAGCTCCCTGGGTGGGGACTGAACTCCTGCTGCGGTGGCTTGGGACAGCCTCCGAGTGCTGACACTTAACCCCTTGTATCACCAGAGAGGCCCCTGTATGGTTTCCTTTGAGCTACAAAAGTTAAACATCCTCCCACTTGTTTGTATTTGCTTTTGTTTCCCTTGCTATTGGGGTTAAGTCCCGAAATGCATCTTTGTGGTAGATATCCTGGGGTGTCCCCCATATTTTTTTCAAGCACTTTATGGTTTGGGTTCTTATATTCAAACCTTTAATCCATTTTGAATTAACTTTTGTGCATGCAGTTAAGTATGGGTCCTGTCTTGCTGGGTTTTTGTTTGTTTTTGAAAGCGGCCATCCGTGTTTCCCAGAACCACTGATCTAAGAGGCTGGCTTTTTCCCATGGTCTGGCCGTAGCGCCTCTGCCAGAAATGTGCTGTGTGGGTTTATCTGTGGGCTTTCGATTCCCTTCCGTTTGCTTGAGTTCATCTGCCTGTCTGTCTGTCTGTCTGTGTCCCAGAGCCACAGTTTTCATTACTACTGCTGTGTGACACGGTTCAAGTCAGCAAGTGTGATGCCTCCTGGACCTGGTTCTTGGCAGTTCCTGGACCCAGAACGCTAGAAGTAATCCACCGGAAGTGGAATCTTGCCGCGAACCACCCAGAACTGCTCAGAAAGCGGACCCTGCACTTGACCCGCCCGCCCTTCTCCAGTAATGTCACCTTATGACATCGCCGTCCGCGGCGCGAGCACGCCGGTGAGCCTCTCGCATGAAAGAAGACGACGTCTCCAGACCAAACACCACCTTTGTGACAGCGAACAGCACCCCTTCTGGTAAATCGCAGCTGTCACGGTCACCCAGGAACTTACTTGTTGCACACACGCCGCTTGGCTTCAGGCCTTGCTGCAGCCCTCAGGGAGGCTGGGGCTTGGGACCTTGCAGGGTCACCCCCTCCACCCTGGGAGGCAGGAGGAAGGTCATGTGGGAGCAAGCTGCTTTATGAAGGAAGAAGATGATGCATTTTGTGATGCAAAATCCATCTAATAACGAGCAAACCAAATGTGTTCAACAGTTTCACTGAGAAACTGGTTTCACAATGCTGGCAGTTTCCAGCATACTTTTTAGTTTTGAAGAAAATGCAGTTGGCCCAAATCAACTACGTTCCTTTCTTAAATGACCTTTGCAGATGCAAGTATCTTTCTAGCTGCTAATAACTATCAACTGTGATCACAGCCTTCCAAGCTGGAATAACGTATCTATATATATACCACCTATACCATACCAGCTAACCGAGCTTCCCACACATGGACTGGCAAGATGCAGGCGGCAGATACCAGCTACGGCGGCGGCAGCATTCCTACCTAAGGTATCACCGCACCTTACAGCACCTGGCCCTTGATTATGTGCTCCTTATTGGTCTTCTTGTCGTGCTAGAGGCTCCCCAAAGGCAAGGGCCGTGTCCCCAGAAGTTTTCAGTGTGTAGCGTGCTGTGTAGCCTCTCAAGTATTAAAACAATACGATTTTTAGATTAATCAAGCTTAAAAACTGCTAATATACTGACTTCTCTTATCAAACTGTAATTAGCTATCGAGATCAGAGTAAGAACAACTTCACAGACAAGGGCTTTCCATCTTCAGGGCCTGACTTCCCTGAGCCACACCCCCAGTTCACAGACACCTCAGCCTCCCTGTGGGGGGCCAGCTCTGACACCAGCTGCATGTCCGGCAATGCGGCTCAGCCCAGACACCAGCCTGGAGACCGTGCCCTGCGGCTCGGCGCCCCTGCCACCGCTGCTCTCCTCACCCACCTGTGCTCAGGGGCCAGGGCAAGTGCAGGATGTCGCCTGCCCGCGGGCTACAGGCCAGAGGGCCCAACCCCCTTTCAGCTCAGTCACTTTGCCAGAGGGGCTCTCGGGACTCTGGAAACACACTCCCAGTTCAAATGAAGAGATTCAGGGACGAAGGGGCCTGGGCAGGGGTGTCTGTCCCCAGAGGTGGGGACTCCTCCCTGGGGTGCATCACCCTCGGTTGTCGACGCATCTGTTGGCCTGGAAGCCCCGAGAACCCTGCACTTCCGGGGTTCCCGGGGCTTCCTCACTAGGCCAGACCAGCTGTTAACTCTGGGCGGGGGGGGGGGGGCTCCCTTCTCTGGAGAATGGGGGCAAGGGAAGGGCAGAATCTTCCAAGCTGGCCAGCATGTCGGTCTTCTGGCCCAGCCCCCTCAGGGGCCACCAGGAGCTGCCTCAGTGGAGCAAGAGCCGTCCCTGCGCCCGCCTGTCAAAGCACTTCAGGAGCCCTGTCAGGGGAGAGTAGAGGCTCCCGCGCTCTTCTGAGCTGAGGGGGGCTTGGGGGTTGTGCCCTACAAGCAGAGCAGAGGCCCGAGCTGCCTCCCATTATTTCACTGATGCAAATGTGGGCACCGGTATGGGGGCCGGCAAGCAGCCCCATTGCATCCGCTTTGATATCAAGGAGCTCAGGCTTACGGGGTGCCCCTGCCCCCAGAGACACTTCCCAGAGCGACCAGGCAGGCCAGAGGCAGGGCCACCCACAGGGAAGGCGAGGCTCAGGCCCGCCCCCGGGGGGAGGACGGTCAGCCTGGCCCTCCCAGCCTCCCCCGCCTGGGCCCAGCACGGCCTGTCCCTGCCCCTTCCTGGCGGCTGCGGCACTCACCAGCCGCGTCCTCTCTGCAGCGTCCCCGCCCAGCAGGGTGGTCGGGGCCGGCAGGCGGCAGCCAAGACCGCCATGGCCGGGGCCCGGGGCTGGCTGTGCCTGGGCTTGTGCTTGGCGGTGCTGGCGGCCTTCCTGGCCGGGGTCCTGGCGGGTAAGTGCGCACTGGGTCTGCCTTGGGGCGCGGGCGGGGCGGGCGGGCTGGCTGGGGTGGCCTTGACAACCCCTCCCCCAGGCTGGATGGCGAAGCTGCTGGAGGGAGCAGCCCGGGCGCCGGGCCGGCACCAGAGCGTCCGCGGGAAGCTGGTCTCGGGGATGGACGCCGGGAGCATCAGGTCCTTCCTCCGGTGAGTCCCGCGGGGCCTGACGGCCACCTTCTCCCCGCTTCCCGCAGCGCCAGCGGGGCCATCGCAGACACGCCCGGCCCTTGCTTTGAGCAGTTTTCACTCTGGCTTCATTACTCCAGCTGGATAGTGGTGGGGCTCGGCTGGCCCTCCCTGGCCACCCATGTCCCCCCAGTCCAGCGGCCAACTCTGGTGGTGCTGGCGGTGCCTGTGACCCGCGCCCCCCCCATGCCAGTTCTCGTCCTGCGCCCTGCGGCCTGGGCTCCACGGGCATCTTGTCAGACAGGGTGACTTGCCATCCATTTCAGTCAGGCCTGAGGGACTGGTCCTCCCTGCCAGGGGTCACGCTTAGGGCTCAGGTTAAGAGCTCCTCAGCCTCACATGCCTCCTCCCTACACTGTCCTGACTTCACCGTCTACACTCTACTCTCTGCCTCGCGTCCAGTTACTCTCGGGGTGCACGTCTGCGGAGAAGCTTTCTCTGCCTCTGGCTGTGTAGTTGCTCAGCAGCATGCGCTGACACGTTTCTCCTTTCATTTCACTGCTTTTGTGCCTTTATTAAGAACACGGGCATAGCTGTGCGCGCCTCTGGGCTCTCTGATCTGCTGAGTCCCCGATGTCCTGCTCCGCCTCGAGCGTTCACGGTCCACAGGGAGCCTCAGCAGCGTGTGGGGTGATTCCCACCACTGTACTCTTCTCAACGATTGCTCCGCTTATTCCCTATAACACGCACAATGAGTGTGGCTGTCCGCGAATCCCTGCTGGGAACGTGGCAGTGAGGCTTGGCCACCGAAGAGCCCCCGGGGCACCAGGCTCTCAGGAGGCGTGTGCGAGGCGGCCGTCCGAGTTTGACGTGTCTTTAGGTCAAGTATAAATCCACTGTGAGTCACTTCATGCTTTCATGTTTGCTATTAATACGTAGAAACACTGTTGGGTTCTGTGCGCTGTCTTGCATCTTGTGGCCTGTCTAAGCTCTCGTTAGGTCTAGAAGCTATTTCTTCGTTTGTTAGGGCTCTGCATCTTTGAGCAGGGAGTTTTTATTTCTCTTTCCAAACTGTGGGTCTTTTATGATTTTGTGTACTTGTGCTGAACAGAACCCCGGCACTGTCCCGGGGAAGACTGAGGAGAGCAAACATCCCGCCTCTTGGCACCTCAGGGGAAAGGATTCCGTTTCGCCATGAAGTCACGGCAGCTGCCCTCTCCTCCAGGATGGCCGAAGGTGCCACAGCTCTAAACTTATGAATGGACAGTCTAGCAAACTGCTTTCCTGCATCAGCTGATATGGTCGCATGATTTTTCTTCTGAAGCTGACTGGCATCGTGATTCGCATTTCTTTAGTTTCTGAGTTGTGGGGTGACCAGATTCTACCAAGATGACGGTTAACAGTCTCCTCCAGGCTGTGAAATTGTCTGTTTTTCCCGCTGACTCTGGAAATTGTTGCCAAGTATGTTGAGGCCTGTTTGTTGTTCCCACAGTGATGGCGTCATGTTGCTCTTTATCTCGAGAATGTCCTTTTCTGTGTCTGGCAGGCCCGTCAGTCCGCCTCCCTTGGTGTAAACGGGCCTTTCCAGCTGTTACGGGCTGTGCGCTGTCTCTTCTTCCCTCCGCTTCCTGTCAACCTGTTGTTTTCTTTACAATTACAATTGACCTTCCGTAGAGAGGTGCCAGTGTTCCGTCTCTTCTCCCTTCCGAGGTTCCGGCTAGACCACGGAAGCAGGTGCGTGGAGTGAGGGACCGCGGTACAGCCCGCCACGTGTCTGTGGTTGGGCAGGGGTCACGAAGTTCCACTTTAAGTGTCCACAAGTGAACTGGAGCAAGTGAAAACACTCGACCAACGTGACACTTGTGTCTCATCTCCACTGGGGCTGCGCGCAAAAGCGCAGGGGCGGTGTCCTGTGTGAGCAGCTGGATTGCAGCCTGTCACCTCGCTGGGGTCGGCCTTTCCTTCCTCCACACCCGCCTCGACATAGGTATTGCTCACCAAGGACGACGCCCAGAGTGAAGTGCCTTAAATGAAGAGCCCGAGACTTTAGGGACCAAAGAGGCGTGGCCCTCAGTCTTGCCAGCACCTAGGAGGAGGAGTAGGTGGGGGCTTTTGGTAGGCGTTTCAAGTGTTCTGTTATTTTTGAAAGAAAGAAAAATATGTGAGAGGGCCAGTGGAGGGTGTGGCCTCCTAGCCGAGACACCTGCGGGCACAGAAAGCAAAGCTGTGTGCAGGTACATGGGGTGCTCAATGCACCGGCAGGCCGGGAGGAGGTTCGGACAACGTGGAAGGGCCGGAGTCGACTGGCCACAGGCCGGGTGGCGGGAGGCAGGAGGGAGCAAGGCTCAGCTACAGGGGCTAATGCCATAGAGCTGGTCTGGCTTCTCCAAGCTGTGCAGCGCTTGCCCCACTCTCTCCAGCCCAGGAGGCCTGAACGGCCCATTACCCATCGCTGTGATTCCCTTCTGGCAATTCTGCTTTGATAATGTGCTACGTTGTTATTCCCGACAATAAACACAAAGTTTTCTTCTGTTAAACACAGACAGAGACTAGCGAACAACCAGGCAAAAGTTCAGGGTTACTCTTCCATCTCAAGGAAGGCTGTTACTCTTCCATCTCACTTTCCTCTAATCATGCAACTCCCTGCTCACCGCAGAGTGCGCCTTCCGGGCCGGGGCGCGGGCCTGCACCCGCCAGTGCAGCTTCCACCTGGGGTGGACGCGGCACCGCCACGCCTGCAGGAGAGTGTGCACTCGGCCTGGTGTCCGGACGGCGGCTGTCACCCAGCTTCTATCTCATTTTCATTCTAGTTCGTTTACAAAGCTCCCTCACCTGGCCGGAACAGAACAGAACTTCCTGCTTGCCAAGAAAATCCAAAGCCAGTGGGAGGAATTTGGACTGGATGCAGTCAAGCTGGTTCATTACGACGTTCTCCTGTCTTACCCCAACGAGACGAACCCCAACTACGTGTCGGCCGTGGACGCACAGGGGCTGGAGGTGACAGAGCACCGCTGACACCGTTCGTGCTTTTACGTGTCCACCGTTTTCTGTGAAATGGGACGTGGGCACAGTCCAAATGGACACTTGCCAGGCCGCAGCGGGCTCCTGAGCTTAGGAGCCCATGGGCTGTGGGCTGATGCCGCGGGGCCCAGTGCTGGCCCCCACGGCACTAGGTCGTGAGTCAGAGCGAACCCGAGGACGTGGCTCCTCTGCATAGGTAAAGTGAGGCAGGTGCAGGACATGCCGCAAGTGAGTGGGGTGAGCACGGGACAGGGCCAGCTCTTCACACAGGAGGGTCACTCAGCGCAGCCCAGGAGTCAAGGGACCCTTCCTGAAAGTATTAATGTCCCCAGGGGCTGATGACACGAAAAAGCAAACAAAAAGCTTACTTCTGGGCAGGAAAATTGTATCGGCAAAGGCTGGGAAACACAGTGGCTCCGTGAGCGGGAGAATAAGCTCTTCTCTATTTAACAGTCAGGTGCAAAGTGGCCGCGGAGAGCGCCCAACAGTGTGTCCTCAGGCTTCTGTGCTGTCCGAGGGGCTGAGGCCCCACTCAGACCGCAGGAGCCACTGGCAGCCCTGAGCCCGCAGGTGTGGCCGGCGCTCACAGCCCGGGCAGGGGGCACGTCAGGCTGGACAAGGCGAGGGGCTGGGTGCGGAGTCCTGCCGAGAGGTGGCACAGCCCGTGGGGCAGGGCAGGGGGAGGCTGGGATCAAGGAGCAGGCGGGACGGGGCAGTGGCTCCCTGGAGGGAGGGGGCAAGGGCCTCCGATGACACTGGGGTCAGAGGGCACCAGACACAGGCCCGGGGTGCAACAAGTCCAGGCTTTGGCGTGTTGAGCTCGGTCGTCCACGGGCCCATCATAAGCATCCAGGTGAAATGTTGAGTCATTTCAGCCTCGCGGGCAGGGCTGGAGGCGGCAGGCAGGGGCTGGGGCGACTCGTTTGGGGCAGACAAAGGGGCCACGCATGGCGGGAGGTGGAGGGGCGGGTGCCGCCTCTGGAGCCCCCTTGGCTCCTGAGCACCCAGCTGCCAGAGGCCCAGGCACTTCTAGAAGCTGCTGCTTTGAAGACAGGACAGAGCTCTCTCTCGCCGCTGTCTGGGAGGGTGGCCTGTGCAAGGGTAGGCCCTGTTTTCAGGAAGCATAACTTTAAGTGGATAGTTGGGGGCAAAATGCATTATTCTTCAACAGCAATCTGGAATGTTCCTGTCCAACTTCGTGTGTTTCTTGTTAGATTTTCAAGACCTCAGGCCTCGAGGCAGCACCAGGCGGCTATGAGAACGTCACAAATATCGTCCCGCCATATAACGCCTTCTCAGCTCAGGGCACGCCAGAGGTGAAGACACTCAGCCCCTCACACCTGCCTGTTTTATAAACCTGCGTGGTAGGCAGGCCAAGGCAGTGGGTGGGCCATGCACGCCCCAGCATGGGTGCCCGGGGAGTCCTGGACGTGCCTGCACCGCGCCCTGCGACGGCTAGTCCCCTGCCTGTGATCCTGGGGCAGGGACCCTGCACTGGTCCTGCTGCGGCCTGGCTGGCGCCGAGTCATGGGGTGGAGTTCACCGACTCACCACGAGGCCAAGGCCAAGGGTGGAAACTGAGCAGCTGGGGTGTGGCCGTTATTTTATTCCCGTTCTCCTCGGCAGCTCCTGCCACTCGGGCCGGCCCAGGCTGTCTTACACGCTGCCCCTTTTTAGCTTCGCAGGGCTACGCGTGCCCCCGCCAGCCGCACAGAGCCCGCCCGCACCGGCTCAGGCCCGAGCTGGGCGCTGGTCTGGCCGGGGTCCAGGCCTGACGCAGCTATCGCCCACAGGGGGACCTCGTGTACGTGAACTACGGGCGCACCGAGGACTTCCTGCGGCTGGAGAGGGAGATGGGCATCAGCTGCGCCGGGAGGATCGTCCTCGCCAGATACGGGAAGGTCTTCAGAGGAAACAAGGTGCCTGTGCCCCGGGCCGCCCCGCCTAACCCTAACCCTAGTCTGCCCTGTGTTGTCCTGGAGAAAGTTGCCTTTTGCTGCCTGAGACCCCTGGAAATTGCATTTACTGGTTGGCAGGTTTTAGGGGTGCAGGCTGACAGCTCCACAGATGCCGTCACCACCCCCTCCTCCCCCCAAGGCACCCACAATTCTCCATCAGCCGGTGCCCCACCCTGCCCCAAGGGCTCCGCACGGCACCCCCTCCCAGCCTGCTTCGCACCCGGGCACCCCAGGCCAGCCAGCATCCCCTGCTCCCCCCGCTCTCCCCTCAGGTCAAGAACGCCGCAGCGGCGGGGGCCTCAGGAGTCATCTTGTTCTCAGACCCGGCCGACTACTCTGCGCCTGGGGTGCAGCCGTACCCCGAAGGGTGGAGCCTGCCTGGGACCGCTGTCCAGAGAGGCAACGTGTTGAACCTGGACGGCGCGGGGGACCCGCTCACCCCGGGCTACCCAGCCAAAGGTACCCCAGCCCACGCCCCATCCTGCAGGACGCGCGACACGGCCCGGCCCCTCCGCGTCGTGCCTGGGAAGCCAGGAGGGGGTCCTGGCCCAGCGCCGCCCGGGCTCGGCATGTCCTGCTCTCGGCCGCACGCATCTTATGACGACACCGAGGCTTCCCCTGGGAGCGACACGGGACACACGATGTCGCCTCTGCCGTCACCCAGAGTGTCGCCGCCCCATCCTGGCACCCGCGCCAGCCCCTCCCCGCTGAGCGGCTTCCTGCAGGCGGGCCCTGGGTCTGCTGCCCACTTGGCGCTGGACAGCCAGACGCCCGCGCTGCCTCTGTCCCAGCAGCTACCACTCGAAGGCTGCCGTGCAGGGTTTCGGGAAAGTGTTCGTGGGCTTCTCTCTCTCGGGCAAACACAGAAACGGGTTCGCAGGAAACAGGCCCAGGGGGTGCCTGGCTTCCTAAGAATCCCAACTGCTTTGAGGGGGCCCTACGCCCAGAGGCCGGCCGCAGGCACCAGCCACAGCCACCTTTGAACTTTATTCCAGCGGGGCCGCACACCCTCCAACCTGCGCTGCCTTTTTCCTCTTCAGAGCCCGTAGCGCTAGTCCAGATGCTTCCGCGCGGCGTTTGGAATCAGTGGTGAAAGAAGCCCCTTGTTTCCACAGGGTGGTTTATAGACCAGCTTGGAGGAAACTGACATCTTAAAACATGTTAAATCTTGGGGTGCAGGAATGAGTGCCGGGGGCCTCCCCAGCTGTCAAGGTGCCCCAAAAGGCTTCCCAGCACCTGTGGCTTCCCCACACCCGGGGAGCCGTCTCCAGCTCACCCGGCGCCGCACACGCTCACGCCGGCCCAGCTTCACTCCCCAGCGCCACAGTCGGTGCGACGGCCTTGGGCCCTGCAGCCAGGGGTCGCCAGCTGGTGGGGTCTCCGTGGGTCGTGTCAGGGCTCTCCGAGCAGGTCAGCCGTGTGCAGACTCAGCTTTGTCTCTTTCAAGTTCTTTCTTGCCTCACCATCGGCTGATGCTTCCGATGCATGCTGAAAACGGCCGTGAGAGGAGATTGCTGGCTTGTTCCTGCCCCAAGAGAGAAAACGCAGCTTTTCTCTGTTCAGGAGGACATTAGCTACAGGTTTTCTTGGACTCTCTTGTCGGTCCGCGGAAGTTCACGCCCCTCCTGGATGGGGGGGCAGCACCGGGTGCGGCACCAGGAGCTGTCCTCCAGGGGCTCTGCTGCGCCGCCGTGTGCCTGCACCATGACTGCTGCTCTCAGGTCACGCTGACTGACCAACCTGCCTCCTGGGCAGACCAGACCCTGGTCACCACATACCCCCTTTGACCCGTCATCAGTGCATTGCGGACTTGTGTTGACATTCCGAGAATCCTTGTCTGTCACCGTGAGCCCATTCCTGCCGCCAGGAGGGCTGTCCTCGTGGCATCTTCCCCCATGGACCTGGTCCTCACAGCCCTGCCTGCCGCGCCTGCCTGCCGGAAAATCCGCCTGGGCCTGCAGTCCCGTTTGCATGGAAAGTCTCTGCTGCATGCTCAAGCTCCTCGCTCGCGGACGGCCGCTCAGGCACGCTGTCTGTCCTGCCGTTTGGTAGCTTGTGTCTTTCAAGAATCTTGTCTATTTCATCTGAGCTGTCGGATTTGCGGACACGGAGCTGCTCAGAATCTCGTTTTTCTTTCTTGGGGGCCGCAAGCAGGGGGGCGACGTTCTCTTCTTGCTGCTGGCCCTGGCCACTTCGCGGCTCCTTAGGCTCGGTCTTGCTAGAGATGTGTCAGTTTTACTGACCTCAAGTAGCCAGGGTTGGGTTTCGTTAATAGTGTGTTTCCCGTCTCTTACATTCCTGCTCTGACCCATGTTGTGGGCTCTTTTACTATTTTTTTTTTTTTACTCATTAACTCTTTTTCCTAGTTTCTTTAACTGGAAGCCGGTGTTGTTTGTTTGCAAATTTCCTTGTTTTCCTAAATTCTGGGCTGAGAGCGGAAGTCCCAGGGAGGTCCTGGGCCGCCTTCGCCCCCCCTTCCAGGCAGGCTGTGTGGCTGCTGGACAGGCCTCCATCAGGGTCCCCCGAGCTCCCGGCCTCCCCTGACTTCTTCACTGGCTTCTTGTTTCAAAATCCTGGATACATTTTCCAGACATCTGGTAACTTCTGCAAGAATCACACATATCCTTGAGGAAACCTTATAAAATTAACCAAGAGAACTGAGCGAGGTGGCAAAACCAACTTGAAAATCTCAGTAACTAACATGTTCCATTAAAACCTGAATGATTTCATGTCTTACTGCTGAATCAGGCCCTCGTAGAACAACCACTGGCTTTGGGGACACTTGATGTATTTTTAGTATCATTTCAAATACTTGGCAAATATGGAATAGTAATAAAATCAAGTCCTTTTCACCAGTTGTCTTGTTTTCATGTGATTTTTGCAGAGTATGCCTTCAGACTTGATGCAGAAGAAGGAGTGGGGATCCCCCAAATCCCGGTACATCCCATCGGGTATCATGATGCAGAAATACTATTACGGTATAGTTTTTAATGGATATAAGAGATTTTGCACTAATATGTCATTTTCCAACTAAAACGAATACACATCAGCTCTGCTGTCGCTTCTGAATAAGCAGGCCTGTTTTGCTCCTCTCCCAAATAAACATGTCCTTTTAAAATGTAAAACAGGGGCCTCCCCGGTGGCGCAACGGTTGAGCGCTGGGTTGTGAAGCTGCCCGCAGCCTCTGCAACACTGGTTCAATCCCCGGCTGCTCCCCGGCCACCGGAGGAGGGTCCCGCATGGCGCGCAGACCTCTCCTGCCGCCCGCTGCTCCCCTCAGCAGTGTCCTTCGGTCCTTCTGCCTGCTCTGCTCCCCGCTCTGGCTCTGGCGAATTCTCTCACCCTCCCGCGCTTCTGACTGTACCCAGTGCTTGTATAAATAAATAAATCTTAAAAAAAAAATGTAAAACACATACACACATACACACACTGATGTAACCTAAATATGTTAAGTCAAGGCTTGTATGAAAATAGTACCTGAAGCAAGAATAAGAGCAGCCTTTTATTCAAGAAGAGCAGTTGCTTCAGTAACTCAGACATAAAACATGACTCTTTATGGGCCTCCCTGGTGGCGGAGGGGTTAAGACGCAACCTATGAGGCTGTCCGCAGCCCCTGCAGCACGAGTCCGATCCCCAGCCAGAGAGCTGACCCACATGGCGCAGCAGACCTGTCCTGCCTCCCCCGCTGCCCCTCTCAGCAGTGGATTTCAGTCAGTCTGCCTGTTCTGCTCCCTGCTCTATCTCTGATGGATCCTCTTACCCCCCGCCCCGCACCTCTGGCCTGCACCCTGGTTCTTGTATGCATTAAGTAAATAACTCTTTAAAAAAAAAAAAAAATCTTTGCTACAGATGGAAAAATCTCAAAAGCAAAACTCTGTCCAGAGATAAAAATACTGATATTTCAGGCCACTGGGTTTCTTGACATCCGTGGGGTGCTTGCACGTTCCTGCATTTTGAAAACATACTGCCCCCCGATCGCTAAACGGGCTGCCTTCAACCAGCCAGACAGCCTTTCTGCTGCGGTTCTCCTCCGACTTAGCTTCCTTGTCTGCAAATGAGGAGAGAAGTCAGTTCCCTGAGGGGCGGGCGTGCAGACCGTGTCTGTGACACGTCGGGGACAGGTGCGCACTTGGCTGCTGTGTGCCTCTTTGCAGTCAGCGGCCGGCGTCCTCACAGACCCGTTCCTCGTCACCAGATGGATCGACACAGTCGTGTTTTGAGTCTCTTAGGTGACCAGCAGCTTCTCTAACCGGATCTCTTCTGACACGTATTTCCCGTCTGCAGAATTCCTGGCTGACTCTCCTCGCGTGCCTCGGCCTTGCCCGCTCCCCTCCCCCTGGGCACATATCGCGGCCACATTAAGTGTCACTTTCTCGCCTCTGTGGCCGCCAGAGTGGAGGCCCGTAGGACAGGCACCTGGACAGGACCTGGTGCTCCGCCGAAACGCTCGATGACAAACCCCCATCACGTGGGGGAGCCGCACGGCCTCGGAGGAGGCTCAGTGCCCTCTCCTTCCTCTCTCTGGCAGCCACATGGGGGGCGCGGCCCCGCCGGACACGAGCTGGAAGGGGCGCCTGGATGTGGCCTACAACATCGGGCCGGGCTTCTCAGGGGAGGCTTCTTTCAGGTAATTCTCGTCACGCACGGTCTGCGCATTTGGTGGGGAAAGGCCGAGGCGACTCCTGCGTCAGGGGCACGCTACTTGTTTTTTCCTCACTTTCCACAGCCAAAAATTGATCTTCTCTCACTTAGGAAATACATTTAGGACATTTCACGGTCTCAAAAATGACCGCATTTGCACTATAGGTTAACATCTTCCCCGTTCACCGGCAGGTGGGCAGCTCTCAACATGCTACACACGCCAAGCAGCAGGCTTCCTCCGGGAGGACAAGAGGCGAGCAGGGGCCAAGTTACCGACTCCCCCGTGCTGGCCCAGTGCCCAGCAGCGCTGCCTAACCAAGGATGCGAGGCAGCCGCAGAGATGAGCTGGCCACAAGCTTGCCCACCCCGGATGGCCACAGCCACCATCCTTCTTTGGGGCTGAGGGCATAGCGGAAGTCTTTAGGCCGCCCAAGACATTTTGAAAGGAAATGTTTTGGATTTTAAAATCCCAGCAATTATGAGGGGAGGCAGGATGCAGGAGAGCGGCTCCCGTTTTAAGATCTGATGACCAGGTGTGCACTCGGCGGGTGGGAGCGAAGGGTCTCACCCGTGGCCGGCAGTGGCTGGTGGTGCCAGACACAGGATCCAGGAGGCTGACGGCTATGGAGTCATCATCCTGTTGGCTTCCTGTGCTTCTGAGATTTTTCGTAATAAAATATGAAAGACAACTTACACATAACACTCTGAAGTAATCTACTTCCTTTGAAATTCCAGGAAGGTTAGAATGCATGTTCACAATACCAATAAAATCACAAGAATTTACAATGTCATCGGAACTATCAGAGGAGCTGTGGAACCTGGTGAGTCAGTCCTTTTTTTAAACCTTTCTTTACAAGAATTGAGATTAAGAGTAGATAGACCTTTGTCAGCTATCAGTCTTATTCAGGCAGATGTGAAATAACCAAATCTGAAAAACTGTACAACTCTGAAAAAAACTATAGTGTTGATTTCCCCGATGAAGAAAACTCAGGAGGGAGTTTGACTTAGGCACAAACCGCAGGTGTTCCTACCGCGCCCCCAGTGTATGTGTCCCTTCCAGACAGGTACGTCATCCTGGGAGGCCATCGGGACTCCTGGGTGTTCGGCGCAATCGACCCGACCAGTGGGGCTGCGGCCCTGCAGGAGATTGTGCGGAGTTTTGGGAAACTGATGAGCGGAGGTGAGTGTGGTCTCCTGCAGGTGATCACAGAAAGGGGCGACTTGTGCCTTTAGAGGACTGCCCCTAACCTGGCTCCACATGATTCCAGGCTGGAGGCCGAGGAGAACGCTCATCTTCGCCAGCTGGGATGCAGAAGAATTTGGACTTCTGGGTTCCACAGAATGGGCTGAGGTAAGGAAGACAGAGCGTGCCCTTTCCTGGCCACCAGGGAGAGGCATCTCAGGGGGCTCCAGACAGACCCTAACAGTCCCTAATGTGGATTCAATGTGGAGAAACGTGCAAGAGAATTTTAAAAACAGCTTGTTTTCACTTTCACATCAGTTTGGCAAACAGAAAAACCTCTTTGTTCCAGGGCTACAAGCAGATTTATTCATTGCTTTCAAAATATTTTAGTTTCTATTTGTTTTGTGAAAAATAAGTAAACTCTGCGTGGTTAGAAAATAACCCTAACTAGCAAGACACTTCTGACAAGTGAATGAATGTGTCTAATTTTCAAGTTTCTGAGATGTCCTTGCATTTCGTCCAGGAAAACTTAAGCTGTTCTAGTAAGATGACTGTACACTTGGTTAAATTTCACAGGTATGTTTTATCCTTCACACACGTAAGTCTGCATCACTAGGCATAAGATGTTGATTTTGTGAACTGCGAATCTACTTTAGTAAATTGACTTACTCTATGATTTTGTGATTTATCGTTTTCTTCGGAGATTGTCACAGGTTACCGGCTCTAAGCGCTCTTCTCCACGTGTCCCTGCCAGGCCCTTCCTGCATCGCCCCCGAGCCTCTCTGTCCACAGCGCTAATGCACAATGCAGGTGCAGGACACAGTCACTCTCCCTGTACCATACCCTTAAGTTCAGATTTCACAGAACTGCTTCAAAGCAGGGCATCCATGTCTTGTCATTGTGTCTAGCTTTTTTTTTTTTCCAAAGATTAATTTATTTATTTACACAAGCACTGGGTACAGTCAGAAGTGCGGGGGGGTGAGAGAATTCACCAGAGCCAGAGTGGGGAGCGGAACAGGCAGACTGACGAAGTACACTGCTGAGGGGAGCAGTGGGCGCGGCAGGAGAGGCCTGTGGCACCATGTGGGACCCTCGCTGGCGGCCGGGGATCGAAACGGCGCTGCAGAGGCTGCGGGCAGCTTCACAGCCCAGCGCTCAACCGCTGCGCCACTAGGGGAGGCTCATTGTGTTTAGCTTTTAAAATGCTTTCCTCTGAGACTAATTAAAACAATAAACCAGTTCAGTGAAGTAGGAGGTTACAATATGAACACACAAAAATCAGTGGCCTTCCTGTATACAAACAATCGGTATAAAGAGGAAGAAATTAAGAAAACCATCCCATTTGCAATTGTACCCAAACAAATTAAATACCTGAGAATGAACCTAGCAAAGGAGGTGAAAGACCTATACAAGGAAAACTACAAAAGCAATTTACAGGATGCAATTCCAGTAAAAATCTCAATGGCATTCCTCAAAGATGTCCGGAGCCACCTGGAGCATGCGCCGTGTTGCGCATGCATGCCATAAGTTAAGTTTCAATTTACCGTTTCACCTTCTGAGAAACCACTGGGTTTTCCTGTAAATCACGCGGGGCTGGGAGGTACGATGGGAGGAGCTACGAGGGTATAAGAAGGGAACCACGGGAGAGAGTAGAAGAGACTGCGTAGAGGACAAGGAGAAGAGACTGCGTAGAGGATAGGAGAAGAGACTGCGTAGAGGATAAGGCGAGGAGACTTCGAGAAGGAGACTGCGGAAAGGATACTGCATAGAGACTTCGAGAGAGAAACTTCGAGAGAAGATATTGAGAGAGGTTACTGCGAGAGGAGCAGGGAGAAGGCCAGGGAAGGTAGAAAGACGGGGAAAAGAAAAACATGTAAAAGTAAGAGAAGGTAAAGGAAAAATAAAGAAGCAACCGCTAGCGGCAAGTCGTCTCAAGCCCCTCATTTCAATCTTCAGCCCTTCTCTTTTCGTGCCTCTGAATCCCGCGGGTCGGGACAAAAGAAATACAACAAATACTGCTGAAATTCATATAGGATCAGGAAAAAAAAAAACAAACTCAAAGAGCCAAATCACTCCTGACTAACAGGAAAATGGAGGAATTACACTCCCAGACTTCAAACTATACTGCAAAACCCTAATAACAAAACAGCATGGTACTGGAACAAAAACAGACACACAGACCAATGGAATCGAATTGAAAACCCAAAAATATAGCTACACGTAATGTTGGTCAACTAACGTATGACAAAGGAGTGGAGAATATACGCTGGAACAAGGACAGTCTGAAAAAAATGGTGCTGGGGAAACTGGACTGCAGAATGCAAAAGAATGGAACTAGACCACTGTCTCTCACCACATACAGAAGTCAACTCACAACGCTAGAAGACAGGACTGTAAGACCTGACACCGTAACACACAGACGAGGACACAGGCAGGACACTCCATGACATGAATCTCAGAGACGCCTTTGAGGACTCGTGCCCAGAAGCAAAGAAAATGAAGGAAAAGACAAACAGCTGGGACTACATCGAATGAAAAAGCTTCTGTCCAGCAGAAGAGACAGTAAGCTAACTAGATACACCCCGTGGAATGGGAGAAAGAATTTGCACACCATGTGACAGAAAAGGGACTGATATCGAAGATCTACAAAGAGCTCACACAGCTCAGCAAAACAACGCAAATAGCCCAGTCAGAAAGTGGGCAGAAGAACTAAAAAGAAACTTCTCCAAAGAAGAATGGCAAATGGCCAAGTATAGGGAAAAACCCTCGGCAGCACTAGTTTCCAGGGGATGCAAGTCAAAACGCAGCGAGATGCCCCTCGTCCCAGCGCATCAGCCCACATTACAGAGACTGGCATCACCAAGTACCGGCGCGGGTGGAGAGCCAGGGTCTGGGCAGTCCCGGCCGGGTGACCAGTTAGCCTCTGTCTTCCTTGAGTCTGTCTGGAGGGGGCGGGGGGACGCGGCGCATGAGACCAGTCTTTGTCCTGACAGCCTTTCTCTCCTTCTTGTTCAGTCTCTGTCCTCTTCTTTCTTTTTCTCCAGATCTTCTCTTTCAAAAAATAAACACTGTATTTCACTTTTAAAATGGTCAGCTGACTTGGGAGGCTGATCTGAGACTCCACCTTCATCGCCTGCAAGGGTCCCCAGAGACAGGAGGGGCCTCGCCCGCCATGGTCCCCACAGGGACCGAGCCCACGTGGAGAAGAGGCCTCCCGGGCCTGCTAGTGCTGCACACTGCAGTGAAGCACCATAGAGTCTTTCCTGTTGGCATCACATTAACACTGCCGCCAGCCGGTTATCGCGGCCATCCCAGAAACTTGGCGGAGGCATAGGGATTCCACTCAGAAAGGCTTGTGCCTGCCGCTTTCCCACTGGTTTCTTACTGTGCTTATGTGTCGGCTGCTCGTGACTGCGAATCAATTACCCACTTTGTTCCCAACGCAGGAGAACGCGAAGACACTGCAGGCGAGAAGCGTCGCCTACATCAACTCAGACTCCTCCATAGAAGGTGGGCCTCTCCCGACACTGTCAGCCGTGGCCAGGCCGGCTCTCTGGGGCTGCCCTCCCGATTGTCTCCCTGATGCTTTCACCTTCCAGTTTAGCAGAGAGGGACCCCGGGCTGGAGCCGAGGTCGGGTATCCCTGCAGGGGCTGCCTGGGGCAAGTGAGGGTCACCATACGTGCGAGCCCGTCTACCTTCTGCCTGTTTGGCACTTGCTGTCTGCCGCCTGGGCCTCGACTCCATCGTGGGAACAGCCACGGTGGGCCGAGGCCAGGGCCTGGCCATGACACCCGTCTGGGCGCCCACCGAGCGGGCCCAGCCCAGCATCCTCAGCCCACTGGTGGGCACCCGGGGCTGACGTCCAGACACACAGCTGGCTACGAACGAGCCAGGTGGGCACTGTAGCTGGGTCACCCCCGGCCAAGCACCCATGCTGCTGCCCTGGGCCAGCCCCTCCAGGATGACGGGCACTGCCCATGGCCAGGCCTCGCCCCTCGCCCAGTGTGCTCTGGGGCCTCTTGCTCCAACAGCCGCCACCACCCCATGTCACATTCCCCGGACCAGCTGCCTTCATCTGATCCGTGACGTCTTGCTCTAAGTCTTTAAAAGTTGCACTTTCTTAACTGCGGTGACATTGGCCTCCAGCCATGATGACCTGGGGGCAGTGCACCCTCCTCCGCCTCCAGTCCACAGGTCTCTCCCCTCCGGCCCCCACCTCCCAGTACCTCAGCTCTGCACAGTTAACATCAGAATGGGTCGGGCCCTCACTCAGGGGATGAGGCAGTGACATGTGTTCTTTTTCAGGCAATTACACGCTCAGAGTGGACTGCACGCCCCTTCTCCACCAGCTGGTATACAAGCTGACAAAGGAGGTATGACGTGAACTGCCTGAATGTTTCTGGTCAGTGGATAAGTGAACGCTGCTTGTTTTCCTAGTTAGTGGCGCTTACTTTCAAGACAGTGACAGATGATGGGCCTCCCCGGTGGCGCAGCGGTTGAGCGCTGGGTTGCGAAGCTGCCCGCGGCCTCTGCGGCGCCGGTTCGATCCCCGGCTGCCCCCGGCCACCAGAGGAGGGTCCTGCATGGCGCGCAGACCTCTCCTGCCGCCCGCTGCTCCCCTCAGCAGTGTACCTCGGTCCTTCTGCCTGCTCTGCTCCCCGCTCTGGCTCTGGTGAATTCTCTCACCCTCCCGCGCTTCTGACTGTACCCAGTGCTTGTATAAACAGAACAAACAAATAAATAAATAAAACATGCCTCTTAAAAAAAAAAAAGACAGTGACAGACGGAGCTTATCTGCACAAACAAGCTGGACGCATGCACGCCAGCCACGAAGGCAGTGGGCTGGACTGTCCTGGACATTCGTATTGATAATTATTTTAGCAATTTTTTTAAGTAGACGAAATATTCCACACAATCCACAATTTTCTACCACATGGCATGGCCTGCTTTTCTGAGTCTCAAGAGAGAAGAGTTAATTAGTATACTTTTTTTAAAAAGATTTATTTATGCATCAAGAACTGGGGTACAGGCCAGAGGTGTGGGTGGTGGGAGGATTCACCAGAGACAGAGTGGGGAGCACAACAGGTGGATCCACTGAAACACACGGCTGAGGGGAGCAGCGGGGAGACAGGAGAGGTCTGCTGAGCCATGTGGGTAGCTCCCTGGCAGGGGATCGCACTCATGCTGCAGAGGCTGCAGACAGCTTCAAAGGTTGCGTCTTAACTCCTTACGCCACTAGGGAGGCCCAATTAGTATACTTTTTTAACGAGGATAGTAAAACCTGTATTTACACACGCAGAAGCTGTCAAAATACCCAGACTGAAATCTGAGTTTATATAGATTTTTTTGAACTGATCAAATTCCAGCTGTGTTTAAATATGACTAGAACATGTGAAATACTAGTGCCTGCGCCACAGACCCAGGACTCACAGGGTCAGGCTCAGCTTCTTACACCTGCGGCCTTGAGGGCTCTCGGTGGACTTGGACAGAGCAGTGCACCGAAGCACACATCGTATCCACAGCTTTCCTTCAACGACGCCCACTAAAAGAGGTCTCAGCTTCCAAACACCCAAGCCATTATGCTTGTTTAAAATCCAAATGAGGGGGGTGGGGGGCAGGAGGGGAAGGATTGGGGTCAGAATGGGGCGTTTGCAATTGTATGGGGGAATATAAAAATAAAATTTAATATTTAAAAAAAAAAAAAAAAAGAAAATAAAAGCACAATATCACTTTTGAAAAAAAAAAAAAAAAAAAAAGAATCCTGCTGTATATATTGCTCAATGGCTGAAAATAGCTGTTTTATCCTCACCCCACCCTAGTATTCTTGTTATTTGGAAAAGTAAATCAAATCTTTGCTGATTCCCCATGACTAGAAATAAAACATCTTTTCAAATAAAAAAAAAAATAAATAAAAAAAAAAAATAAAATCCAAATGAAAGGAAATCTCGTCGGGGTTCGGGCAGAGTCTCCAGCAGGCAGACACCACCAGGAGGGCGAGGCTGTGGGGGCAGCGGAGCCTTGGCCCCCGCCCAGCATTCAATGTCTTTCAGATTTCCAGCCCCGACGACGGCTTTGAGAGCAGGTCACTCTATGAAAGCTGGCTGGAAAAGGACCCGTCGCCAGAAGATGGACGTGTCCCCAGGTGAGCTACTGGCAGATGTGTTTCCTGCCCAGGCCCCCTGTGTGGCCTTTCTGACCTGCCAGAGCAGTGACGAGCCTCCCCTCACGGCAGAGAGCTCTGGTCTTGCCAACTCTTAGTCAGTTATTTGGCCTTGTTGTTCAGCATTATTTTCCGTTTCTGCGTAAGACTGCATTCAGGTGTGTGAGACACACTAGCAGGTAACGGAGAGGCAAAGAAATAAAGGATGGATTCTTGCTTCTGGGCTTGACAAGGGGCTGGGACCCGTGGGCTGGGTCCTGTCTGGGTCATGTCCTCCTGACTCACAACATGTGTGCCTCTTGCTGGGACGCTCGCGCCAGCGGGTGGTGGCCTGTGGCACACCTCTCGTCCCCAGTACGTGCTGCGGTGGCTTAAATGTTTCTAATTAAAAAGTTACACATGCTCTTCCAGAGAAAGCGCTAGACTAGAAAGATTCTGCAAACACTCAGGGTCTTGGTCTCAAAAACGTGCCCTGTGTCCTGCGAGTGGACAGCTCCGCGCTGGACACGGGCCCCTTCCGTCCTGCCTCTCCGCCTGGCCTGCCCCCTGGGCTTCCTATGCCACAACTCGGCATGTGAATAAAGTGGTTCAACCACCTGCGAATAAACATGTGGCAGGTTTATTTCTGAAATGAGACGCATGCAGCCCTCGCCACATTCGAGGCACTTCCTCTACACAAACACCGGGACAGGGACAGGCATGGCCGCCAGGCCAGCTCTGGGTCAGCGGACACAGGGGCATGGGGCTGCCATGTGGCGTCCAGCCTCAGCCTCCGGTCCCGGGGGCGGGGGCACAGCGCAGACGTCTGACTTGGCCTCACTCTCTCTTTTCTCTCCGTGCACGGCTCGTCTGCTGCACCAGGATCAACAAGCTTGGGTCCGGCAGTGACTTTGAGACTTATTTTCAGAGACTCGGAATCGCGTCGGGCAGGGCCCGCTACACCAAGAACAGGGTGAGTGGCTGTGCTGGGCTGGACACGCAGTGCCCACTCTGTCAGCAGCCGGCACCAGGGCGGGGCGGGGCCTGGCAAGAGCTGCAGGCGCAGTGATGTCCTCTCTCCTCGGGTAGGCGAGGAGAGAGCTGGGCCTTCTTCTGGGCTCCCGCTGCCAGGGCGGGGGAAGACATGGCAGCTGACCATGTATGGCCGGGCGGCTGGCGGGATGACGGGCGGCCCTCACCGTGCCCTTTGCGATGTCGCCTGGAAAGCCTCTAGGGCCCGTGGAGACCGCCCCATCCGGGGAGCGCCCGGCTGAGGAGCTCTGCTTGCAGCTGACCCCGGCTCTTGGGTGGGGCATACAGCAAATCCAGTGACCGGTTATGACGTGTCAGCACGGGCTGAATCCACCCAGGTGCCCTAAACCAGGTGCAGTCACATCAGTAAGCCCCGCCGTCTCGCAGGTGTACCCCGCGCTCGCTCGCCCCCAGTACAGCCTGCCGACGGCCGCCCCCTGGTGCCGGGCACGCCGCTCTCCCAGTCGGCTCCCTTCCCTCCTGTGAGCAGCCGGAACCCCTGCCTGGCTCCAGGCTCTGGGAAGCAGCGAACAAAGAAAGGCTGAAGGCAGGAGTCGGGAGCCCTCGGCCGCCCAAGCGCTGTGGCCTGCTGCCGCGCTGTCTCTCGGGGCCTCCTGGGGATGCAGGGGGGCAGCCGCAGACACAGCTCCCCCCGCCCGCACCCCGTCGGCTGGCCGTCCGCGCGGTCCCCACGCGGCCCGGAGCGCACCCAGATTTTAGTCACCACAAGCACAGTGTGGGGAGTCCCCAAAAAGCGGTCTTTCTAGTGAGGCGCTCCTGGGCTGTAAGCGGGTGGTGGCGACACTGGCCTCGAGCACAGCTGGCGGGGTCTGCTGCCTTAGAGCTCAGCCCTCCTCCCTTCACGGCGACACCCTCGGGCGCCAGGCGTCGGCATCCTTCCTGCCAGCCCGCCTGCGTCCACTGGGATGGTCCGCTCAGCCCTCCCACCGTGTGTTTCCAGAAAACAGACACCTACAGCAGCTACCCGGTCTACCACACGGCCTACGAGACGTTCGAGCTGGTGGAGCAGTTTTACGACCCCACGTTTAGGAAGCAGCTCGCCGTGGCCCAGCTGCGCGGGGCCCTGGTCTACGAGCTGGCGGACTCCGCGGTCATCCCTTTCGACGCGCGCGACTACGCGGCGGCGCTGAGGGGCTACGCGACCAGCATCTACAGCCTGGCCCGGAGGCACGCCCCGCAGCTGGCCGCGCACGGGGTGTCCTTCGGTGAGAGGGCGCCGACCCCTCGCTCCCGGGCCTCTGCCCCTCCCGCCCTACAGCGTGCGCGCCCGGGGCTCCCCGCCGCGGGCTCTCCCCTGCGGTCACAGGGCGGCCGTGGGAAGCTCCTCAGCCCTGGTGTCAGCTTCCTGAGCGCGCCTGGGCTGGGGGGGTTCCCACAAGGGGCAGCACTTACTGATCTCGCCTCCATTTTTCTATTTTTAAAAGATTCCTTGTTTTCTGCCGTGAGCAACTTCTCAGAGGCTGCTTCCGAGTTTCACCGGAGACTCCTGCAAGTGGATCTCGATAAGTGAGTCTCACGCGTGCAGCCCCCACCGCCTTGGAACGCGGCCTGGTTCCCAAATGGCGCTGTGGGCCGAAAGCCCGCCCAGGACGAGGGCCACAAAGACCCGTCCCGGGGTCTGCAGGGTCGGGGCTCTGCCCGGCTGGGGCTTCACAGCTCTGCGGGGTGACGGGCAGCGGCCATTTGTCACCCCCTCCCCCCTCCCCGCTCTCAGGGCTCCCGTGGCCAGTCCAGAGACTTGTTTTATTGATGCTTTTTTTGCATTTCATTTGGCGTCTTGCCTGTTTTGGGGTGATAACTCACACCTCACACAAAGCAGGACGTTAACAAGCACAAACTGCCCCCCACGCCCACAGTGGCGGAAAGCTCCACGTGTCATTTGGAGGGGCCCTGCCCCTGGGTTGTAGCAGAGCTGGAGGACTTGAGCAGCTCCACCGAGAGAGCCGGCCCACTCCGGAGCACAAGGGGCTCCCGCCCCACCCGGCAGCGCTGCGGCTCCTGGGGAACGCCCAGGCACCGTTGGGAGGGGGAGGCTGTCTCAGATGTCTGACCGGTCCGGGCTCTCGGAAATCCACAAATCCGCTCCCCGAGGGCGTCTCCACAGGCGGGGCCTCACGTGGCGCCCGACTCCGCGAGTGACTGTCCATCTCTCAGCCCCCTGGCGCTGCGGGCCGCGAACGACCAGCTCATGCTCCTGGAGAGGGCGTTCGTCGACCCCCTGGGCCTGCCCGGGCGGCGCTTCTACAGGTGAGCGCGCACAAGGCACCTCACGCCAGAGCCCAGTGCGGCCCATCTGCGCGGCCGAGAGCTCACCCAAAAGGGGCCTCCGGCACCCGCTGACCTCACTACGAGCTCTTGGGGAGGCCCTGGGTGGGGCTGGCAGAGGGGCGATGGGTGGGGGTCCCGGACGGGCCAGCGGAGGGGCCAGCAGGGGGGCGGCGGAGGGGCCGGCGAGGGGCCAGTGGAGGGGCCCCGGATGGGCCAGCGGACGGGCCAGCGGAGGGGACGGGGGGGGGCCAGCGGGGGGACTCACTGCACGTGAGCAGATCGAGGTCCCTCCGTCTACAAAAACGGCCAGATTTTCTTCCTACAGACCTATATTGTAACTGTCTCCCACCCTGTGCTGCTTCCCCAGTCTGCTGGGCCTGCACCTGCCCCCACAGGACGTCCAGGTCTGGGGGGACGGCAGCCGTGCTCCCGGAAACCCCCTCTTCCTGCCTGTGCCTGCCACGCTCCCTCTCCCGTCCCAGCCGCGTGGACGGTCTCGCTGGCCACCGTGCTCCCCGTGCCGGCGCCCCTGGGCCCGCGTGGCTCCATGGTGGGCTCGGGGGTCACTGCCCCCCCCACTCCTCGCCCGCGGCAGTCCCGGGGCCTCCTGTCCCCGGAGCCTTGCTCTCCATGGGCGCTTCCTGGCAGCTGCCTCCCCGCGCCGCGTCCTCGTGGGCCTCCACCCTGGGGCGGCATTTCTGCCGCGTCCCCCCACTCGACCTGCCTGGTCCCTGCCCCGCGCCTGCGTGTCCCCCGGGCGAGGCCGCTCTCCCTCCAGGAGCGGGTGCTGTCCCCGCGGACCTGTGTGGGGCGCCGGGGGACGGGAGAGTGTAGGAGGGAACCCGCCCAGGCCGTCAGGCTGGGGGAGGCCGGCACAGAGCCAGGCCCTTGTTTCCTGGCTCAGCGGCGGGTATTAGCGGCAGCGACTCTGCTCGGCCTCCTTGGCTCCCGGGGCAGGGGGGTGGGGTGACCCGGTGCTCCTGCAGTGGGCAGGGAGGACAGTGGGAGGGGTGACGGCGAGGCCGGCAATGCCAGGAAAGGCCGGGCTGGCCTGGCCTGAGCAGCACCTCCTGGCAAGGAGACAGGGCGCCGCGGGCAGCCTGACCCCGGGCGTGACCACTGAGGGGCGGCTGCTCTCTGAGGCGAAGCCAGAGGCCCGGAGAGCATCTCCTGCCCCGCAGAGGCAGCGCCCGTCCTGTCCTTATCACGCGCTGCCCTGGACGTGAGGGGCTGAACCCGCCCACCAAATGCGGTGACTGGGTGGACCAAGAAGCCGAGAGGGGCAGACGCTGCCATGGCGGGCTGGAGCCGAGGCCGGCAGGCCGCAGGGAGGGCGGTGCCCGGCAGCAGTTGCCGCAGGAGCTGCAGGCGCAGCCGCACCCATGGGGCGACCTCGGTCCAGCTGCGCTGAGACAGGAGCGCGGTTACAGGCAATGGGACGGGGCCTCCACGGCAGGGAGATGCCGTCTCGCCGGGCCGGGCCCTGGGGCTCATGTTGGCACCGGCTGCGCGTCGGGCGAGAGCGGCCCGGGAGGTGCCAGAGACCGTCACAGCGGGGCGGCCCCCGGGACGGAGCAGACGGGAGCCACAGCCCAGTCTTCACAGAGGCAAGGCCAAAGCCGTCCCCGGGAAGGACGAGGCCTGCGAGGTGTGAACTGACCGCTGCTGGGGGAGAGGGAATCAAAAAGGAAATGAAAAGTCAAGTGGAAACAGAAAAACGCGCCCCATTGTGGGATGCAGCAAAGGGACCCACGCGGGGACAGCTCGCAGCGGCACATGCAGAACCACCACGCGCTCCCGCCACGCTCCACAGCAGGGCCTGCGGCACAGCAGCCAGCGCTCAAGCACGACCGCGTCCCAGAATCAAAACACGTCCCACACGAGACTCAAGGACTAGAACAGACCCCCAGACACGTGCAGAAAACTGGACGCCAGTCCTCCTGGGCACTTCCGGCGCCGAGAGGGCAGGGCTGTCCCGACCGGCCCTGGCGAAACCAGAGAGGCCACGAGAGAGCCGCAGACAGGCGTCTCGTGGAGAGATGCGGAGGTTCTCGGCAAAGTAACGGCAAACCAGAGTCAGGAACGCGGCTCAAGGCCCACGCGTGGTGACTACGTGGGGCTCGCCCCGGAGCAAGGGTGGCCCAGCGCACGACCCAGCAGCATCGCTCGCTAACGAAACGGAGGGAAAGGCTACGTGGTCACCCCAGCAGACACAGGGGCACGTTCCACGGAGCAAAACCCCTTTTGCGACAGATGCCGACAGCCTGGGGTGAGCAGGGACAGTCCTCGACCCCGTCCACAGAGGGCAGGGCGGGGGGGGCGGGGCGGGCCCACCCGACACAGGACAGAGACCCTGAAAGCCCCCACAGCCAGAAGTGGGCACCCGCGCCCCACTGCTCCCAGCACAGCACAGCACGGAGACCCCCGTGCATGGGGCCTGAGACCCCGCACAGGACTGACGGGCAGCCAGCGCCTGACCCTGCCAGCACCAGCAGTAGTGGACTCATGGCGGACGCAGCGAGGGGCGGCCGGAGCCAGGAAGCACGTCATGATGCGCGAGTCTGAGTTGCTGACCGTGGCGCCCTCAGACACTGCCCGGGTGCCTGTGGCCCGAGATGACCAGCTCCTGTGTGACGTGGGCAGTGATGTGAGCGTCGGCGGCATGGTGATCAGGCTGGCGGTTACTGACCGTGTGCCAAAGGCAGCCAGAGGCCAGCGGTGGACAGTACCGGTGGCTGGCCCGACAGTTGGCTTTTGTTGGTTTGGGTTTTGGGTTTTTTCCCAAATCTCTTGTCATCAGAAGTTTTTCCTTCCAGCTCACCAGAGCGTTGGTTCAGAGGTTGCAACCCAACATGGGCGGTGATGTGGCCTCATGCAGCCTCCCCCAGGCGTCTCGGCGGTCCTGTCCTCAGTGTGGACGATCTGAGCCACTGGCCAGCCCGCGCCACATCCTCGGGGAGTGGCCCCAGCTCCGCCCACACCGGCTGGTGCGACCCCGTGGCCCTCAGCTCGCTCCGCCTCAGCACCGCGCATGTTGGCAAGTCCCTCCCCGCCCGCCTGCCTCACTGTCGCGTCGCCCCGGGAGCCCCCACTGTCAGTTCTCACTGAGGCGGCTCGCGTGGGCCTGCAAGGCCCAGAGCTCGAGCGCACACGGGCCGCGTTCCCCACGTGGGCCCATCCTGGAGAACCAAGTTCCCCGGGGCGCGGCTTCTGACACGCTGCTTTGCCTCCTTGACTGGGAGCTCATTTGCTTCTGTCGACTTAATAAGATACATCAAAGTCACAGTGATTAATAAAAACCAGAAACTAAATGCCTCCAGGGAGAGCTTCTGGACTGAAGCTGTAACTTTAAGGCCCGCCTGAGGGCTTGCTGAGACTCACCGCGAGAATGGACTCTGAGGCGATGGACTGTGAGCGAGCCCCGCGTAGTCACCACGCGTGGGCCTTGAGCCGCGAGGCGCTCTGGGAACCGAAAAGGCAACACGGCCGTCTCTTGGCGCATGCGGCTGGCTGGGGCCCCGTGGTGCTCCGCGCGCTGGCCGGGCATGTTAAAGCCGCTCTGGCTCATTCTGATAAGCGTCTAAAAAAACACGTCTGCTTTTAAGGCAGAACTCCACACACTGCGGAGGGAGCAGCTCAAGCCTCGAGCTGTCACGAGGCGGGGAATCAACGCAACATTCATTTTCCTCCTGGGTCAGAAAGTAAGCATGTCCTTGTGCGGGCCCGACACGGCCACACTTGGCCTTTGGAGAAGTTTGGGAACTCAGCTTCTTCCGTCACTGCCTGTTCGCGCGTGACTGCTCCAGCAAAGGCAGCTCACAGACGGCCGTGTCTCCGGCCCCGCGGCGGCCCCATTCCAAACGTGCGGCGTGAACTGGCACCGCCACTGCACCTTGGCCACTGGACACCGCCAGCTCTCCCTGCTGGGCACCGCCAGGGCGCGGGTGTCTCGGCCGTGGCCTGGTCAGGGCTTGAGAGTAACAGAGGTGGCCGCGGGAGGCGACGCAGAGGGCGGGGTGAGAGGGGCGGACCGGGAGCAGGACGCGCTGACCGCTCTGTCCTCCCTGCAGGCACGTCATCTCTGCGCCCAGCAGCCACAACAAGTACGCCGGGGAGTCCTTTCCCGGCATCTACGACGCCCTGTTTGACATTGAGCGCAAGGCCGACCCCCGCGCAGCCTGGAAGGAGGTGAAGAGGCACATCGCCGTGGCAGCCTTCACGGTGCAGGCGGCCGCGGGGACCCTGGCGGAGGGGCTGTAGGGGCCGGGAGGCCGCGTGGGACGTGGCACCGTGTCTGAGGACCCTTTGTCCTTCTTTTCGATGACTCAGACCTCCTGAAAAGCAAGCGTCCGTGTCATCTTCTTACTTTAGACTGCACCTTGTTCACCTGCAAAGGGAGTGTTTTGGCTCTTTAACAGTTGCTAGCTTCATCACAAAAGTGTACTTAATAAAACAAAAAAGCTCCAATCAAATAGCAAAAGCTTAAAGTAACTGAAAGTTCGCCCAGAACATGGCGCGGACGTGAAGCCTGACTCTGCTGGCGGCATGTGAAGGGTGTGAACCGCTAAGGAAAACGGCAGCTCGCGTAACACGGAGCACGCTAGTGGGTGCGCCGGCGGCTTCTGGACCTTTCCCCAAGGGAAGCCGATGCCTGCGCCGTTAGCAGACGTGACCCGCGGCCCGGCCACCGCTCGGCCGCAGACGCCCGCGGGGGGACACGCCTGCAGCAAGAGGCAGAGCTGGCTGCGCCAGGGTGGGGCAGGGCAGGAGACACAGCTGGGCCCGGGGCTGCGGCGGGGGCTCCCTGCGCTTGGCCTGGTGGCGACTAGGCAGGCTGCCCACTGGCCAGATGGCAGCGAGGCTGAGGCCTGCGCAGCGCACGCCGTGTTGAGGGCGGGCGCTGGACCGTGAGGCGAGGCTGGCGGGCGCGCCGGCGGGAGGAGTGTCCAACGAGAGCTGTATCCGCGTCCTCACGAGCAACGATTTTTAAGGTTCCTTCCAATGCCATCATTCTAGAGGACACAGTCACGGAGGCCGCCAGGCATGGGGCAGAATGCTGAGCCCTTGCGTAACCATAACTGCTGTCGGGCAGGCGCCTACCGTCTGCCTGCCCAAGCGGCTGCACAAAGAAGGCGCCCCCCAAAGCAGAGATCTAGAGCCGGGAAACAGCAGGAAGGGAGCGGCCCAGAAACTCCACAGGGAGACACCCAGGGCGGCTGCGCCCAAACTCAGCCCCAGCAGGAGGAGCTGGAAGGACCGACCACAAGGCCCAGCCACCCATGGCCTGCTCGGGGGTGCAGCCGCTGCCGGGAGAGGAAAGCGGCAGGAGACCCCATGGGGCGGAGGGCAAAGCGGGAGGAGGCCGGGAAGGCCCCAGGGCGCGGACCATGCGGGAGACATGGCCACCTGGGCGCGCTGCGCGGCATGGCCAGCGGGAGGCGCCAGAACCCCGTGGAGCAGCAGCAAGGCCGTCCCAGCGCAGGGAAGCTCCACCCTGAGGGAGGGCCCGCCAGAGGCCTCAGCAGCCCGGCCAGTCACCCCGGGGCTGCCCCCGCCCGCCATGGTGCACGCGCGCGTATCCAGGAGTTGGGGTCCCGCTGGGCTGACGCCCCACAGGAGCTGGGAGGCGGCAGCACAGGGGAGGGCCGCTGTGTACAGCCGGCGGGACAGAGACACGCAGGGAACAGGACGAGTCAGGTGCGGGACCGACACCCAACCACAGAAAACCTCGGACCACACTCCCCACGCCTGGCATGACTTCTCAGAAGTGACATCAAACAGCCAAAGAAAGGGGGGGCTGGGAGGTAACACCTGGGGGCGGGCGGGGCCTGCGCCGGGGAGCCTGGGGTGCACAGAGGGGCCAGCCCTGCACAGCCCGGAACCCCACTGCTCCCTCCCGCGAGCCAGGAGCGGACTCTGCAGCAACAGCAACCTCGTCATGACACACAGATGTGCCAGTGGCATTTCACACACGCACGTCGAGTCTCTCTCAGTCACAGCGGACGCCCCCAGGAGCGCGTTGCTCGTCGGCACAGAGCAGAGGACACGCATCAGAGCATCAGACCCCAGCGCGCCTCGCCCGGGTCCACATGTCACCCCTCAAAATGACTTAAGGTCAGCATTAAGCTGCTGATCGTCAGGTCCTCAGGCGCCTGGGCAGGGAGCGGCTCAGTCAGCGCGTTGCCGCATCATCACTGAGCTTCAGAATCAAACGTAAATGAGACACAAGCCCCTGTCCTAACGCGATGACTCTCATTCCACAAAGCCGCACATGGCGCTTGGTCTAACAGAATAGAAGCGGGGGGACAAAAAGCAGCGAAGGACATTTGGAAAACCTCTAATCAGGTCTAACACGCCGGACATCGCTGGAGAGAACCCCGACGGGCCGGGGTGGGCACCATGTCTCTCCTACTAATACCCCCGAGAGCTGCTGACGCCCACACAGGGCCCCAAGGAGCCGCGCGATAGCAGGCTCCAGCCAGGTCCGCCGCCCAGCCTGGCCACGGGTTCCAGGCACGTCCCATTCCTTCATTTCTGTGCTGCTCGGCTTTTTCCCCCAGAATACATTCCACGCACAATGGAAAGCTATAATAAGATCGGGCTGTTCCTGCAGCACAGAGAGAGGACACAGAGTCCTGGGCTGCAAGAACATTCCCAAATAGAAACGTCTTTGCGTCTCGGCCGCTTGCTGGTTCTATTCTGAGAACACAAAGGACGCTCGTCCGCAGACACGGGGCCCGGGCGTCTTCTACCGCCAGCCCGGACCCGCTCCACCCGAGGTGCGAGCGCCGAGGTGGGGCGCGGCAGCTCCAGCGAGTCTGCACAACACGACCGCAAGGCGAGGGCCCGTCACAGGGTCTTCGCAGCTCCGGCGCTGGCTTCCCGTCTCCCCAGCACTCGTCCACCTCACGGCGGGCCGTGAAGACAGGCCCGCGGTGCCTCCCCTGCAGGGATGTGGCCAAGGCCCCCTCAGGTCAGCCTCTCGGCCCCTGCACGCCCCAGCCGGGCCGCCCCACCGTCTCCGCTGCCGCCAGGAGACCATCTGGTCGCACAGCCCGGACAGCGGGTCACTGCGAAGTGCTTTCAGGGCACTGAGGACCGTGGGAGCAGCAGGACTGGAGGTGCTGGCCCCTTGGAGCTGGGCCCCGAGAGCGGGGGGCACTGGATGGTCACAGCCCGAGGCGGCGGCCAGCTCTGCAAGCAGGGTACGGGCAGCCGCGCGGGCCCAGGCGCCAGCGCCAGAGTCAGCAGAGCCTCCGGGCACGGGGTGAGGCCGCCATGCTGGCCTGGAGAGAAGCCCCAAGCCAAGCCGGCCTGCGCGGGGGACGAGGTGTGGGGAGGCGGGGGGAGCTCAGCGAACACACCGAGGGTCTCAACAGCTGCTGCCGCCTCGCGTGCCAGCCTCCCCGCCGGCGTTTCTCACGGCCCAGGAGCTGCCCCTCCAGAAAGCCCGGCCGCTCCTTAGGTTTTCCCTTGAGCACGGTTTCTGCCCTCGCGTCCTTGCTGCAGGCGTCCCAGGGCGCAGAGGCCTGGCTGCTGGGTCAGCGCACGGGAGATGACTGAACACAGAACGGAACAAACAAGCAAGAGGACAACTGCGGCATCGAAGATGGTCACAAACTTCGTTTCGTCAGGAGCATCGGCAGAGCCCGTGAACGTCACAGCTGTCCGCGCTGAACAGCCCCTGGGGGGAGCACCGTCAGGAGATGTGGGATCGGCCCCCCGCCCCGAGACGCGCCCCCCACTCCAGACTCCACGCGCGGCTGGCACCGCGGCGGGACGCGCCGACTCAGGGCTTGGGAATGCCATCTGCTGGGATCCCCGGCCGGCGGCCCTCGTCGCCACCAGCGAGGCCCAGCCGCTCCGTGTGCCTGGACTAAGGGTGCCTGCTGCTGCCCCACGCCCTGGCCTCCTCAGGTGTCCCCTCAGGTGTCCCCTCAGGTGCCCTCCTCAGGTGCCCTCCTCAGGTGCCGTCGGCGGAGCACCTGGCCTGCCCGCCTCCAAGCACAGGAGCGGATGGCTGTTCTGGGCCCAAGGATGCGGGCCCCGGCCGCGGACGTGCACAGACCCCGGGGACCCGGGTGGCCCTAAAGCTCTACCCCTGTTGTGAACTGCCCGCTGGCCATGCAGAGCCCCCAGCCGCTGCCGTGACTAGGCAAAAGCCAGAAACCGCACCCTGAGGCCTTGGCTCTGAGGAGGGGCGGCTCCCTGACACGAGGCGGCTCGCCTGCAGGCCTCGCCCAGAGACGGCGGGGGCCTCGGCCTCGCGGTGAGGGAGTCGCGATTCCGGCGGGAAAGCCCCTCAGTCACCGTCACGCCTGTTCCCGCGCGCGGGGAGCGGCCTCGCCTGGGCCTCGCCAGGGAGCAGCGCGCAGCCCAGAAGCCCGCGAGCCGGCGTCGCGGTGGCCCCTGCTCGCCGAGCTGCCGAGCGGCCCTCACCCGCACCCACCCCGAGCCCCGCCGCCACGCCAGCCCCGCCGCCCCGCGCCCGAGGGTGAGGCCCGAGGAGGGCGGGCGCTCGGCTCCGCGCCGTCGCGAGCATGGCCAGCGGCGCCTCCACCTCCACCCAACCCCCCCCCGCCCCGCCCGAGGCGGGCAGGTGCGTCCACGGCTCCGGATCTCAGACGGCGGGAGCTGCCGCCCGAGTCGCCTCCCCGCTCTCCCACGAGCGTCGCCGGGTCCGGGAAAGTCGGGGCGCCGCGCGGCGCTGCTGTGGACCCCGCCGCCCTCGCCCGCCGTGCGGCAGCGGGTTTGGGGCCACCGGGGTGGCCCGAGAGCGCCGCGGGGGGCGGGGACGGGCGCGCCCCAGCACCCCGAGCGCGCCCCGGCCCCGGTTCCCCGCGGCCCCGCCGCACCCCGCTCCGGCGCCCCCGCCCCGCCCCCTCAGGTGCCTCACAGCTCGGCCGGCCCCGCCACACACGCGCCCCAAAGCCCGCCCGCCCCGGCCCCCCCGGGCCCCCCCGGCTCCCCCGGGCCCCGCCGGCCCGGCCCGCGCTCACCTCGTCCTCCCCGCGGCCGGGAGCCCGAGCGCTGACTGGACCCAGCTCCGCGCTGACCCCGCTGACCCCGCTGACCCGCGCCTCACGGCCGGCGGGGGCGGGACGCGCATGCGCGGGGCGGGGCCGTCTGCGCCCGAAAGCCACGTCGGGAGGAACCCGGAGCCCGCGCGCCCGTCCCGTCCGGGCCACCCCCCCACCGCCCTCCCCCTCCCCTTTCCCCCTCCCCCCCTCCCCCCCTTTCCCCCCCCCCCCCCCCCGCAGGGCCGGTGGAGGCGTCCTGAGCTGAGGCGGGCGCGCTTGGGGTTCGGGGCCAGCCGAGGGCGGACGCCGCGCGGGGACGGCCCCACCGGACCCCCCAGCGCGAGGCCGCCCCCCCCAGCCCGGCAGAGCGACCCCCAGACGGGCCGCGCCTGCCCGTCCTCCCGGAGCCTCGGGCGTCCTGGCCTCGGGAGAGGCGGGCGCGGGGCGAGGTGCTGCCTCTGGGCCTGCGCGCCGGTCCCCCCGACCCGCGGACACCCCCGACCCGCGGCCGCCCCGACCCGCGGCCGCCCCCGACCCGCGGCCGTCCCCGACCCGCGGCCGCCCCCCGACCCGCGGACACCCCCGACCCGCGGCCCCGCCCCCTCGGCCGCGCCAGGCCGGGCCACGGGACGCGGGCTGCGGACACGCGCGGCTCCCGGGCGGCTCCTCCCCGGGCTGGTCCCGGCGCCTCGCGGCGTCTGCAGGCCGGGCCGGGCTCTGCTGGCGGGCGGCGAGGGGCGTCCCCCCCGCCCCCCGCCCCGGCGTCCCCCCCCGCCCCCCCCTCGTCCCGGCGTCCCCCCCCCCGCCCCCCGTCCCCCGCCCCGGCGTCCCCCAAAGCCGCGAGCGCGCAGGGAGGCCGGGCCCGCCGGGCCGAGGCCGTGACGCGGGCGCGGGGCGACCCCGAAGGGCCGAGGAGGCCCGACCACGGAAGGGGCGCGGGACGGGCTGCGGCTCGCGCGACCTCGCGCAGCGGCCAGTGTGGAGCAGGCGGCTGTCCCGGGAGGGGCCTCCTGACCGGCCCTGCGGCGCTGCCGCCTCCCCGCCGGACGGTGCCTCCCGTGCCCGGCCCTGCGCACGGCGGCCTGCCCCGGGCCGGCCCGGCCTGCCAGCGCCGCAGCACGTGGGGGGCGGAAATCCAGGGCCCAGCGCCACCTGCGACGCGGTCCCCTGGCCAGTCCCGGCCCCCCTGGAGGCCACAGAGGGCGGAGGGGGGCCGGCCAGCCGCGCTCCGTGCCCCGCGCCCTCACCTCACCCCAGAACCCCAGCCCGCGGGATCAGTCTCCCAGGAAGGCTTCCCCCTGTGTCCCTTCCATCAGGGGTGGGGCAGCGGGCCCTGGAGGCCCGGGGTGCTTCCAACCCCCGCACCCCCCTCACACCCCGGCCCATCCTACTGCATGTCTGTCCAGTCCCTGGGCACCTCAGCCTCACCGGTGGCCCACAGGCCCCGCCCACGACCCTGCGCGCTCACCTGCCGCCCGCCTGGCAGCGTCTCAGCCCTCACAATCACCAGCAACAGGTGAGGTTCGGCTTTTGATTTTTTGCTAAGTTTTATTTTAATCCAAGGACTTTGCTTCATACAAAATGTCATTGTAGAAACAAGAGCGGAATCCAAAGTTTGGCTGATAAATATCACTCAGGCAGCAAACTAGTCAATCACAGAATCTGTTAAAGCGAGTCCCAGTTTGCATGGTTGGGACATCTTTTTTAACACTGTTCTTAAATATAAAGTTTTGCAACAAACCTTTGATTTATATCAAATATAATTAAAAATTAACAAATGAATACATTGTATCAAAAAGTACGAATAGCCGTTTCCATGCACATACCTGTATATATGTATATATGTATATATTTTACATGCACACATAACTTGTTCAAACTACAGCCACGTCTTGACCGGTTCCAGATGCAGACAACTGGTGGATGCATTTCAGATTTGGCAACTCACTATGAGATTTCAGGAGACACGTGACAGTCAGAAAAGACAGTACAGAAATAAAAACCCAAAGTTGAGAGTCCAGGCGGCGTCGCCTCCCCTGCCCGCGCCCCTTGGCAGAGCCGCCCGGACCACCCCAGGGCGCGCCCGGGGCACCGGAGGCCGCGGGGAGAGGACACGCCGTCCGGGCCGCCCGCCGAGGCGAGGGGCTCTGCGGTGGGAAAGTTTCAGAGTGTTGTGCCTTCGAGTGAGGAAATTCTATAAAAGGTTTGGTCACAATCGTGCTGAAACTTAGAACAGGCCGCGGTCTGCTGTGCTGTGTCCAGACACGGTGTCTGTGTTGCATAGCCCTGTGGTTGACGGCATCCAGTCCCGGGCACGCCTCCACGCACGCACACGCACTCGCACACACGCACCACACGCACCTGCTTCCCGCGGGAGGGGTGCCGCCGGCCGCGGGACCCCACGGGCACTCCCCGCCGGCCTGTCCTCCCCAGCCCTCGCCACTCCCGCCTGGCGGGCGCGCGTCCCTGAGAATCCCACGGGGACAGACTGGAAACGCCCTGGCAGCCACGCTCCCCTGGGGGAGGGGACCAGACGTCCCCGGTCCCCATACCCCGCCCGAGGGGTGCTCCCCGAGCGCCGCCCGCGCCACCGCCTCCCTACCTGGCTGCCGCCAGCTCCGGCTCCACACGACCACCCTGGACAGTCGCACGGGCCTCCCTCGCGCCCCAGGAGCCAGCGCGAGGGCCCGGAGGTCAGGCACTTGGTCAAGAGCAGCGGGAACCAGGGCCGTCCGGAGCCCTGGGCGGGCGCGAGCACCCCGTCAGCACCCCTGTGGAGGCGCTGCCGCAGCGGGCACCCTGAAGCAGGCCGGCTTCTCCTCCCCCCTTTCCTGGTTTTGTTTTCTTCTGGATCAAAATACAGAATCGACAAGAGTGAAGGGTGTTGCAACGAAAACCAAAATCCACCGTAAGCCCGACGTCCAGATTTGGTCCCTGTCGAGTTGACGGCATCTGGGGGCGCAGAGATGGGCATGCGCGTCCCACATCCGCTGGCCCCTCGGTCCGGCTCCTCCGGACATGGGTCCGGACCCCCACGCCGCCACCCAGAGCCCCAGGGTCCCGGGGCCCCGCTCCTCTGCACCGGGCGCCCCCCGCGGCCCCAGGCCCCGCCGGCAGCTGGCGCTGGGCCTTGGGGCAGGCTGCGCGCCAAGGGCCAGCCGTGCCGAGCGCGCCGGGCACCAGGGCTGCGGGGGCAGCTAGCACCAGTGGTCCTGGTCGGGGTGGTGGTAGCTGTGCCGCGCCCGGCCGCCCGCGCCGAGCCCCAGCGTGCAGTGGAAGCCGTTGGGCACACGGCGCAGCGGGTGCGGCTGGGACGTCAGGGAGGACACGTAGGAAGTCCGGGAGGAGCGCCCCGAGTTGGTGGCCACCGCCTCCTCGAAGGTGAGCGTGTCCTCGGGCTGGGTGCGGGCAGCGGCCTCGCCGTCCAGCCGCTGCCCCAGGTAAGGGTCGGAGCCAATCCGGGAGCTGGGGGCCAGGGGCTGGCCCAGGGGGTCCCTCTGGAGCAGGGCGTTGTGTTCGGAAAGGCCGCGGCTGAGCCGGCCGGGGGAGAAGGCGGGGAGGCTGCTCTGCGCCCCCGAGAAGTGGACGGGCGAGGAGTTGGCCGTCTTGTAGGTGATGCTGGGGCGGGGGGTCAGGGGGGTCTGGGGAGCTGCCGCCTCCCACCGCGACCTGGAGTGCTAGCACCAGATGTTGACAGCAAGGGGCTCCCATTAACTGAGCCGCTACCCTGCAAGGAAACGGAAAAGGGACGGTCACCCCGCTGGCGGGCCAGGGCCCCAGGGGACCACGGCTGGGGGCTGGGGGCGGGCCGGGCCTGGTGGGAGTGGGCTGTGATGGGGGCAGGGCCGCGCAGGACTCCGCAGCCTGGAGGGGTGTCTGGAGGGGGCGTAGAGGGGGTTGGGGGGCCTGGAGGGGGACCTGGAGGAGGGTCTGGGGGGCAGGGGGAGGGGGCCTGGAGGGGGTCTGGGGGGGCCTGGAGGGGGACCTGGAGGGGCCTGGAGGGGGGCCTGGAGGGGGACCGGAAGGGACTTGGAGGGGGTGGGAGGGGCCGGAGGGGGCCTGGAGGGGGGTCTGGAGGGAACCTGAAGGAGGGTCTGGGAGGGCCTGGAGGGGGTCTGGAGGGGCTGGAGGAGACCTGGAGGGGGTCTGAAGGGGGCCTGGAAGGGGTCTGGGAGGGCCTGGAGGGGGTCTGGAGGGGGACTGGAGGGGACTGGAGGGGAGCCTGGAGGGGGCCTGGAGGGGGGCCTGGAGGGGGCCTGGAGGGGGTCTGGGAGGGCCTGGAGGGGGTCTGGAGGAGGCCTGGAGGGGGACCTGGAGGGGCCTGGAGGAGGGTCTGGGGGCAGGGGGGAGGGGAGGACTGGAGGGGACCTGGAGGGGGCCTGGAGGGGGCCTGGAGGGAGGGGGGGGGCCTGGAGGGGGACCTGGGGGTGCCTGGAGGGGGTCTGGAGGGGACCTGGAGGGGTGTCTGGGAGGGCCTGGAGGGGGTCTGGAGGGGCCTGAGGAGGCCTGGAGGGGGTCTGGGAGGGCCTGGAGGGGGCCTGGGGGGGTCTGGAGGAGGCCTGGAGGGGGGTCTGGAGGGGGGTCTGGAGGGGTCCTGGAGGGGGCCTGGAGGCAGCCTGGAGGGGGCCTGGAAGGGGTCGGGAGGGGGATCTGGAGGGGCCTGGAGAGGGCCTGGAGGAGGTCTGGTGGGCAGGGGGCCTGGAGGGGTCCTGGGGGGGCTGGGGGGCGGAGGGAGCCTGGAGGGGCCTGGAGGAGGGTCTGGGGGCAGGGGGGAGGGGAGGACTGGAGGAGGCCTGGAGGGGGGCCTGGAGGGGGCCTGGAGGGAGTCTGGGGGTGCCTGGAGGGGATCTGGAGGGGACCTGGAGGGGTGTCTGGGAGGGCCTGAAGGGGGTCTGGAGGGGCCTGAGGAGGCCTGGAGGGGGTCTGGGAGGGCCTGGAGGGGGCCTGGGGGGGTCTGGAGGAGGCCTGGAGGGGGGTCTGGAGGGGGGTCTGGAGGGGGTCCTGGAGGCGGCCTGGAGGGGCCTGGAGGGGTCGGGAGGGGGATCTGGAGGGACCTGGAGGGGGCTGGAGGAGGTCTGGTGGGCAGGGGGGCCTGGAGGGGTCCTGGGGGGGCTGGGGGGCGGAGGGAGCCTGGAGGGGGCCTGGAGGAGGGTCTGGGGCAGGGGGAGGGGAGGACTGGAGGAGGCCTGGAGGGGGGCCTGGAGGGGGCCTGGAGGGAGTCTGGGGGTGCCTGGAGGGGATCTGGAGGGGACCTGGAGGGGTGTCTGGGAGGGCCTGAAGGGGTCTGGAGGGCCTGAGGAGGCCTGGAGGGGGTCTGGGAGGGCCTGGAGGGGGCCTGGGGGGTCTGGAGGAGGCCTGGAGGGGGGTCTGGAGGGGGGTCTGGAGGGGGTCCTGGAGGCGGCCTGGAGGGGGCCTGGAGGGGGTCGGGAGGGGGATCTGGAGGGACCTGGAGGGGGCCTGGAGGAGGTCTGGTGGGCAGGGGGGCCTGGAGGGGTCCTGGGGGGGCTGGGGGGCGGAGGGGGCCTGGAGGAGGTCTGGGGGGCGGAGAGGGCCTGGGGGGCCTGGACGAGGTCTGGGGGGCGGAGGGGGCCGCACCTGTTGGGGCGGGCCCGGCTCCGGCCCGGCCGTGGGCGACGTGGGGTGGCTGCTGAGGCCGGGCTTGGGCGGCGGGGCTCGCGGCCCCCGAAGCGGTCGCAGGAGTAGAAGCGCTGCTTGTCGGAGGACGAGGACGACGGCTGCCTGCGCTCCTGGGAGCGGCCGCGCTCCTGCCTGCGCTCGCGCCGGCCTCCTCCGGCGGGCCCCTGGGCGGGGGCGGCCCGGGCCCCGCGGCGCCGGCGCCAGCGGGGCTGCGCGGGGAGGGCAGGTCAGCGGGCGCGCGGGGGCCTGGGGCGCCCCCCCCCGCCCAGGTCCCCGCACGCACCGTCGGCGTCGGCCGGGCCCGGGCCCCGGTCCAGCGGCCGCTGCTTGCGCTCGCGGCGGCGGTGGCAGCGGTGGTGGTGGTGCGGGGCGGCCGCGCCGGGCGCGCGCTCGGGGGCGCCGCAGGGGGGGGGCGCGCGCGGCCGCGGGGGCGCCAGCGTGGACACCGAGCGCTTCATGGGGCTGGCGTCGGGCGCCGGCTGCGGGCACAGGGGCGCGGGCTGGGCGGGGCCTGTCCGGCGAGGACCCGGCCCTGCGCCGAGACCCTCCCGCGGGCCCCGCGCCCCGCTGCCCGGGAAGGCCGCCCAGGGCGGGGACGGGCGACGCCCGGGGCGGGGCCCCAGGAGCACGGGCGCTGCCCCTCAGGCCCGCGGTGGGGCCGCGGGTGCCCGGCGTGGCGGCAGCGGCGGGGGGAGTCCGGGGCGGCCCAGGCGGACACCAGCCCCTCCGCGGGCCCCCCGCCCCGCCCTCCCGCCGCACCCACCTGCGTCTCCGCGGCCAAGCGGGGCATGGAGGCCGCCCGGCCCTGGCTCTCCAGGCCGGGGTGGGGCTCCCCATCAGCGTCTCTCAGGGCCACACTCTGCATCTGGACCTCCCCAGCCTGGGGGTACAGCGGCGGTCACACGGGCCCCACCCCTCCCCCTCCTCCCCGCACCCCTCTGGCGTGGCCAGGAGCCTCACTTGTTTCCCCGGCTGCGCCACTGGGATCTCGGTGGAGTGGCCGCGGCCCAGGGGCGCCTTGGCCTCGCAGGCCGGCTCCTGCGTCCGCTGGGTGCCCCAGGAAGCAGACTCCTTGATGCCGCCCTCCTGGCTCTGTCTGTGGGGACAGGAGCTGCTTGGAGGCTGCTGGCTGCAGAGGCCCCCTGCCCGGCCCCCTGCCAGAGCCTCAGCCAGGCCCGGGACAGCAGGAGCACAGGGTGGGGCCTCCCCGGAGGGACACGGACCGGTGCCAGGCTCCAGAGGGGCGGCGGAGACCCCGGCCCCCAGCAGGAGCGGCGGCCCCCCAGCCCGCGCACGAGCAGGCCCCTGCGCGGCTGGCAAGCCCTCGTCCCCACAGTGGGCGAGCGGGGCCTGGGACGGAAAGGCCATGCACGCCATCGCTGCCCCGGAAAGCGGGCAGCAGAGAGCACACGCTGCTCCCCCGAGGCCCGCGCGCCAGAGAGCCCACGGCGCCCGCCCACCTCACTCCACGCTCCACATCGGCACTCCGCGCCCTGCCCCAGCCAGGCCTTTGCATGCGCAGGCCCAGGCTCCATCCTGGGGCACCCGCCTCTCCCACCAGTGTCCTCCTTACGCACTGCCCTCAACTGCACCATGTTCACCCGGGCAGAGGCGCCCACCACACTCAGCCTGGCCCCCACAGGCGGGCCTGGGGTTCCCAGGGCACCCTGTCCCCAGGCTTGCAGACTGTCCCCACCATGTGCCACTGCAGCCGTGGTGGCTCGGCAGAGGAACAGCGTGGGCTAGTGGGCCTGAGGCAGCGCCGTGTGAGAACAGGCGTGCTCGCACACTGTCCACTGCCCAGCCAGATGGGCACACATGACCCCCGCCCAAGGGTAGCAACTGATCACACAGAGACATCGCTGAGGAATAATCAACACTTTCCTGAGCTAAGAGCCAGCTCAGGTCAGCCCAGAGACCCCCCCACGCCCCTGACCGGTCACACTCTCTGGACCCAGTGCTCCCTGGGGGCACCAGCACCAGCACGGGGGTAGTTCGTGAGAACAGGGCCTTGGGGCTCAATGGCCAGTCCGGGCCTGTGGTCAGCGCCCACTCGGGTTCCAGTCAGGCCCTCCGGCCATCTGTGATGCCCCCTACCTGAGCTCTTAGCCGGGTGCTGAGGCCCAGGGAGGGCCTGAGCCTGGCCATTAGGCAGCCACTCCAGGAGCACCAGGCAGGTGGGTGAGGAGCTGGGCGTTCTTAACATCAGGCCATGCCCCGGCAGAAGGCGGCCACTCCAGTCACCAACAGGGAGCGGCAAGAGCCACGCGACACACCTGCCGGGGCCAGCTCCCGCCCACGCCCGCTCTAGAAACCGGGTGGAGCAGAGGCCTGGGGCAGTGCCGCCGGGGTGGGGACAGCAGGCCGCGCCGGGTGCAGGTGAGGACGACCCGTGGGACCCCGTCGGTGTTGCCGAGGCTCCTGTCGGACTTCATCACACACTGCTCACCCATCCCTGGCCCCGCCTGCCCGCCCGCCAGTACCCCGGCACTCACACGGCGCCTCCGTTGCTGAGGGAGGCCGAGCTCTTCTGCCGAAGGAAAACCCTGGCTCCCCGGAGCACGGCCGGCTGCGTCTGCTCCAGCGTGGCCTTCAGCGGGTGGAACAGGGACGCAGGGCCCATCTGCAGCTGGCAGGGGCGGCGGCTCTGAGGGCGGGGCCCAGGCACCTGCCCCGCTCCACCCCGCCCCTCGAGGCGGCCTCTCCGTCCTGGCTGCAGGGACTCAGGACAGCCACATCGCCTCCGTCTCCCTATCCACTCATGGAGGGGGAGACCTCGTCAGCGCGGGCTGGCGGGCAGAGGCTGCTGGGTCTGGCGGGTGGGCACCAAGGAGGCCCAGGAGTGTCTCGCTCCAGGGGGTGGCTGGCCACATCACTGCAGACGCCCGTGAAGGCCTTGGCAACGGCCAGCACTGCCCTGCACAGTCCGAGACCCACTCGCAGCCTGGGCAGGGGCGAGGGCCAGGCCAGCCTGTGTGTGCTGTGGGCAGCTGCTAAAAGGGAGGGACCGAGGCCTGCACAGCCTGCCCAGAGCCAGCAGGCTCTGAGTCGGAGCCCTGGGGAGCTGCAGCCCCTCCCGTTCTTAATATCAAAGACTCACAGTTCCCATCTCCGTGAGCTAACCCACTCCTGGGGCTGCTTCCCGGGGCCCAGCCCTCGCCTGGGCATTCGACAGAGTCTGACTAACGGTCATCAGGACCGTGTCCAGTGGAAAGCCTGGAGTGAAGCACACCCGAGGTCTCCCTAGGGCCACAGCAGGTCTCCCTGGGAAGGGTGGGCACGACCATCCCGTCAGCACCCGGCACCCCCATCCCACCCCAAGCCAGGCATAGAGGGTCTCCAGGCACAGAGGATGTCCGGGCACAGAGGATGTCCGGGTACAGAGGGCGTCCGGGCATGCTCCACAGCTCCCCACTCAGAGACGTGGCCTCACCCAGGCCCCAGCCTCCTGCGGCCCCCAGAGGAAGCCGGGCTGGGCCAGGGAGGGGTGGCGCCTTCTCCCAGAGGGTGTGGTTTTGCTGCCCAGCACCCAAAGTAGCCGCCGAGAAAGGTCCAGGGCTTGTAGACCCAGTACCTGGGACAGGCCTCCGGGCGCCTGGTGACTCTGGTCTTTGGTGCTCTTGTTCTGCTTGTAGAAATCGAAGATCATCAGGGCGGCGTAGACCTTCCCCACTGTCATCTCGTCGGCTGCAGGGGAGCAGGCAGGTGGACTGAGCACGCAGGGGCAGAAGCACAGGTGGGTGCAGCAGGGGCTGTGGCTGGGCAGGGGCTGGGCAGGGGTGCTTGCACGGCGGCAGCTGGCCTGGCTCACGGCTCGGCCGCCAGCCCCCGGCCATTTCTCTGGCTCATGGCAGCGGTTTCCCGCACAGGCTTGCACAGGCGGCCAGGAGACCCAAGCCAGGCCCCCCCGCACCCCGCGCCCCGCCCCGCCAGCAGCTCACGCCTCCGGAGGCTGGACTTGGACCCGCCACGCCCGCGGCCAGCACAGCGGCCTGGGCTGACATACGTTTGTGGGGCGGCACCAGCAGGTCCAGCGTCTTCTGGGGCAGGCTGGCCCACACACACGCAATCTCCTTCCTCAGCTCCGCGTCGCACTGCTGCTGCTTAGTGCCAGCTGGGGGCGGGAGACAGGGTTAGAGCCCCACGCCGCCGGGAGGCAGTGACGGGCCGGGCTCGGGAGCCAGGGCCGTGCCCGGCACTCGCGCCACACCCAGTGGCATCCAGCGCCGTCTGTCGGACTCCCCGACGGCCAGGAGCTGTCGTGGACGGGGACAGAAGCACAAACCCTGCCCTCTGGACGTGCTGGGCTTGCTCCCCCAGGCGGGGTGTAAGCGCAATATCCCTCAAGCTGGGCGGGGGCGGGGCAGGTCTCTGGGGAGGCCTGGCGCCGGCGTGTGGAGGCTGGACACCCAGGCCATGGCGTGCACCAGCCAGTGCGCGCTCAGCACAGCCGCACCCTTGGCCCCGAGTCCAGAACCTGCCCCTGGGCCCTGTCCAGGGCCGGCTGTCCAGGCCCATGGCCGTGTGGCCTCCTCTGCACCTTCTGCAGATGTGCACGGCTCTGGGTGACTTCCAGTCCCAGCACAATGGCTTGCGGTCCACCCACGCGGCGGAGACGTCTGCCTCGCAGCCAAGCGCCAGCCACGTGTGGACATGGACACAGCGGCCAGTGTCCACCCGCCGATAGCTGTTGGAGTCGCTCTCAGTTTGGGGCAATGGTGAAGGACACGGGAGATGCTAGCATTTAGGCCTTTGTGAGTGCGTTTCCTCTCACCCATCCCCACCGCCAGGGGAGGTGAACGCAATCTGAGGGGCGCCTGGGGGTCTCCCTCATGGCCCGCGTGGACGCTGGGCACATGCTGCCTGCCACCCACTAACTCCTCTAGGGCCCTGGCTGTGGAGCCACCAGCCGTGTACGCGGTGGTTCTCGCTGACTTGTGCAGCTCTGGATGCCGGTCAGACGCAGGCTTTGGAAATGTGTCCAGCCCCTGGTCTGTGTTCTCGTTTTCTTAAAAGTCTTTTGTAGAGCGAATGTGTTTAATGTTGACAAAGCTCAGTTTACAAGTTTTCTTATTTGATGGCTCACGCTTCCTGTGTCTTAACCCTCGCCTGACCCAGGCGGCCACAGCCTTCCTCTGCTGCCCTGGCCCGGAGGGCCCCGGGACGACAGTCTGGCTCCGCAGGAGCATGACGGCTGCCACCGAGCCCCCCTTCACTCAAGCCCAGCAGTCACTCGTCAACAGCCTCCATCGTGAGCCTCTCTTCGGCTCCTCCTGTGCTTCTCGTTCTGCTTCAGCGCAGCCAGCGGTTTATTGACTTCGCTGCTTTTACCTGGAACACGACCGCTCAGGCTGCCGTGCCGGAAGCAGACAGACCAGCCGGGCGTGTCACTTGCCGAGCGCACGCCGCCTGGCCAGCGGCAGCAGAGGCACAGGACACGTGAGACCCGACGTGGAGCAGAAGTGGGTGAGAGAGGAGGAGGGAAGAGCGAGCCCCAGCGCTTGGGCCTGAGCAGCTGGAGAAGCAGTTTCCGCTGCGGGGTGCAGGGTGGGTGCTGGGAACGGCTGAAGCCCAAGTTGGGGCCAGTGAACTCTGGCGGGCGCCAAGGTGGGCGCCAGGCAGAGACACGAACAACCCGCGCCGGACGCTCGTCTGCAGCCCGGCAGGAACCCTGGTCTGGACACAAGACCGGCTAGTTAGAGCCACGGAATTCGGGGAGCTGAGAACACTCCCTGCATCCAGAGCCTGAGCCGTCTTGAAGGCACACGAGGGGGTTCGGGATGGAGGGGGCGGCAGCGGGGGGGGGGGGCCGCAGCCGCAGGGAACAGGGCGGCGCTGGGGCGGGCAGAGCAGCGAGGAGCCGCAGGGCCAGAGGCTGGGGGCAGGCGGGGCTGGGCAGTCTGCGGGGAAGCGGCTGCCAGCAGGGAGAAGCAAGCAGGGACGCGGTGAGCGGGGAAGCGACACCGGCTGAAGGAGGGGGAGCCGCACACAGTGTTCCGTACCGAAACCAACGGTCCAGTAAAGAGCGAGAACCCTGAGACCGTAAATTTCTGGAGCGAAGCGCAGCCCCACAGCGAGGGCAGGGGCTGGCCGCCCAGAGGTGGGGGTGGGCCGGCGTCCATCACAGGGGAGGGGGTGAGTGGGGCGCGGGGCTGCCATCTGCCCTGCACCCGGCAAGGCGAGCTCCAGGGCCCACTGGCCAGCCAGGAGCGGCCCTGGAGGGCACAGGGCAGCAGATTCGGGCCCCGGTGGGCCCGGGAGCCGGGCCCAGGTGGGATCTGGCCCGGTAGCTCTGGGCCACCTGGGCGAGTCCTTAATCCTCCGTGCCTCAGTTTCCCTATCTGAAAACAGGACTGCTGTGGTGCTCGCCTGCGGGATGGTCACCAGGGGCAGTCAGGCCCCACAGAGATGCCCTGGGCAGCCGTCCTCAGGCGCAGCCCTCCCAGCACACCCACCTGGGTGGCCCCTGAGGGCGGCGGCCAGCCCCAGCTCCACACACTCCCTGGAGACAGCCTCTCACCTGGGGCCAGCTTGATGTCCAGCGCAGTCCGAATGAGGGCCATCAGGGTGGATGTGAAGTGGACGGTCATGTCCTCACTGGAGATGGGCATGTTCATGCGCACCAGGCGCTGGGGACAAGGGGCGGTCAGGCCCAGTGGCACCCACCACCCCATGCTCAAGGTCCCGGGGCTGCTGGCCACGGCCGGGCCCAGCAAAGGTTGCAGACAGGAGCTTTGCCAGCTGCCCCGTCCCGCTCCGGCCCCTCCCCGGGCAGAGGACCCTCCTGGCTTCAGAACAACAGGTACCCGGCCAGGGGCCTGGGGCCCTCAGGGAATCAGCACGTCCTCAGCCCCACAACCTCCCCTCTGGGGCGGGGCTGGAGCTGAGCAGGAGGCTGGGGTCTGGCTGCAGACCCCAGATGGGAGGGGAGACCCCGGCCTCAAGGCCCAGGTGCAGCCTCTGCCTCTCGCCATCCGGCCAGGTCCGGCCGAAGATGGCAGGGGGAGCTGAGACCAGCCCATCCCCTGGAGGCCCAGAGCAGATGGGCCATGGGGACCGGCAGGCCAGGGGCTCCCGAGACCCCGCCCGGTCCAGGGGTCTGCACTGGTGAGCCAGGCGGCCAGGCAGAGGGCAGGTAGCCCCGCCACAGCAGGGGCTGGGACGGAGCAGGAATGGCTCTTGTCCCAAAAGGGGTGTCACTGCCTCCAGGAAAGAGAAGGGGGAGGTAGGGCAGCTGGACAGGTAGGGAGCGCAGTGGGGAGACGGCCAGCCCCGGAGTCTGAGGCAGGTGGGGTCAGGGAGGGAAGCAGACGGGGTGGGGCGCAGGGGGCGGGCAGGCGGGGTACCTTGTAGGCCACGCGCGCCGGGCACTTCTTCCCCAGCCCCAGGGGCGGCGACATGTGCTTCAGCATCTCGAACATGTCGTCGTAGCTGATGCGCCCGCTGGGCAGGCGGGTCCGAGAGCGGCGGGAGGAAGCAGAAAAGAGACCCGCGTCACCCGGGGCTGGGCGGCCTCGACGGCTTCTCAGGTCACCCCATCGCCCAGCTCACCCCTGACCGGAAGTGGCGCGTTCCGGGGCCGGAGAGGGCAGCGAAACCTGCGCAGGACCCCAGCAGGCAGGACCCCAGCAGGGCTGCACGAGGGGCAGCGTTGGGGGCCGCACAGGTGGGGTGCGCTGGGGGCTGCCCTGGAGGGGAGCCACACTGGGGGCTGGGCTGGGGGGACAGTGCTGGAGGGGGCTGTGCTGGGCGGGGGTGCACTGGGCGCCTCTGGGGGGCTGCTCAGGGGGGCAGGGCTGGGGGCATGGAGCTTGTGGGGGTCAGTTGGGTGTGACTGGAGCGGTGCCGCTCTTGCCCCCTCCTGGGTTGGGGGGCACACATGAGATCAGGCTCCAGGCTCAGGGGGGCACCTGACGTCCAGGCCCGCCTCTTCCCAGGGCCCCAGGCCTCACCAGGCATCCCAGAGGCTCGGTGGGTACCGGCTGCCCACAGAAGGGGCAGCTCTGTCCGGGCCTGGCCCTCTTGAGGCCCAGCTCAGCTGAACGGGTGGTCCACAGGAGAGGGCGGGGCGCCCTGGGGCGGGGGGGGGGGGCCGCTGGCACGAGCCTGCACTTTGCTGTGACGTTTTCACATCGCCTGACTGCCCACGCCTGGCAGGGTCCAGCTCTGGACTCACCTCGTCGGGCGTGGTCTACGCAAGGCCACAAGGCCGTGTCCAGCTGTGTCCACCTCCAGGGAGGTGACCGGGAAGTCCCGGGTCTGCAGGTCACAGAGACCAGACGCCCCGCAGCCCCACACAGCCCTGCTGCCCCCAGCACACCCTCGGCCGCACCCCAGGAGGGGCCTCTGCTGGGGTGAACCCTGAGCGGCAGCCTGCGGGTGGGAAGTGGCGCGGGGTGGGCAGCTGCCTCCACGGCGCTGAGAATGTCTGCGCTACAGACGCCGCCACAGGCAGGACGGGGCTGGAGGGGCTGGTGCTGCCTCGCCCGGGGCGTGCCCAGACCGGAAGGGCCTTTGAAGGGTAAATGACTGAAATAATTGTCAGGCTTTTCGGCCCTTCCTCCCCTGGGATGGATGAGGGGCCCTGAGGTCCTGAGTGCGTGCCTGATGGCGGCACCTGGAGTGGGGTGTGGGCATGAGAAAGTGGGGACACCTGGGCTGAGACTGTTAGAAGAGCGGCGTCACGCAGAGGGGACACCAGCAGAGCAGAGCAAAAGGAGCAGAGAAGCAGAGGCCACGAGAGACGCCGGAGAGCCCAGAGAGAGTGAAGACTTGCTGGGGGCTGAGAGCCTGCCAGCCCCCGGCAACCCTGCCTGCCGTGTACCTGGTTTAAACTCAATAAAAGCCTGCAAAAGCCCCCGAGGGCTCCAGGACGCCTCCATTACCCCATCTGCTCGGATCATAGCCAGCACTGGCCCTTCCTGCCCCTGCAGCTTCGCTGTGTCCCTGAGGTCTGCCGCTGCCCTCTGCCAGCCAGAGCCCTCCCGGCCAGCGCCAGGCCGACGATCTGCCCTGCACAAGGGCCCTCCTTGGGGCTCAGGAGCCAGCCAGGCCCACACCAGTGGAGGGAGCATGGCGGAGGGTGGCCAGGCAGAGGGTGGCCCGCGGGCCTGCAGCTTTGCCTGCTCCTGCACCCGCCCGCCAGCCCAGCCCTCACATGGCCCGGGCCCTAGGCCCGGGCCGGGGCCGGGGCCCCACGCGGGAGGGCCCGACGGCACATCCAGGGCGCGCCGCTCACCTGGCGGCCGGGTCATACTCGGCCCAGACCCGGATGAACTCGTCCAGGTGGTGAGGCCCTAGGATGGAGGAGTCTCGCGTCAGGTACTCGAAGTTGTCCATGATCACAGCCACGAAGAGGTTCAGCATCTGCAGGGAGGCGGGCAGTGAGGCGGGGCCAGCGACCCTCACTGGCCGCACCCGCTGAGGACCAGCCCCCGTCCCCAGGCCGCTCGGCCCACGTGCCCTCTGTGGACCGGCTGTGACTCCCACAGTCCAGTGACTCTCCCTGGGCCCACCCCAGCCCCTCGGCAGGCCTGGCTTCGGGCCCGGAGGCCGACCGGCCGGCTCTGCAGCCCCATCTCCAAAGCCCCGCCTGCGGGTGTCCGTCCCTCCAGCGCCTGCTCCCAGCAGCCAGGAAGAGTGCCCGGGCCATGGGGGCCCGAGACCGCGCAGCCCGTCTGTCCATGTCCGGCACCCACCCCAGCAGGCCCCACTGCCCAGGTGGCCACGGCTCACCATTAGCACAGACCCAGGCACCACCCTCCCCCGCGGGCGGCCCCTCTGGCGCTCGTGCAGACGCCGCTGTGGCCCGCCAGGGACACGTCTCCGTGCGGACGCGCCTTCTCGGGGTGGCCGGTGCATGGCGACTTTCTGCTTGACTTGAGGGGCTCCCAAGCTGTTTTCCAGAGCAGCCGCTGAGTCCGAGCTCCCAGCAGCAGCGAACAGGGCCCTGCTTCTCCATGTCCTCACCAAAAGGACTATTTTCCATTCAAAAAATACCCCCCACTGGGGGAAGCCAGTTACCACGCATCATCTCACACAGTTACCACCTGCTGTCTGAGCACACCTAAGCTCTGGCCTCCGCAAATGCCAGTGACACCGTCACGGACCCAAGGACAGCCCGGAGGCCGGGGCTCACGGCCGCTCACCAGGAAGGAGCAAAGGAAGATGAAGGAGACGAAGTAGAAGTAGGCGAAGTCGCTCCCGCACTCGCTGGCATTGGAGCGCTCGTCACAGGCCTGGTTGCTGAGGCAGGACAGCATGATCTCGTGCCAGGCCTCCCCAGTGGCGCTCCTGGGGGCAGAGAGAGGCGGAGGGAGCTGAGGGGCGGCGGGTGGGCCCCCCCAGCCCGGCCCTCCCCAGGGCGCCCGGGCAGGCCCAGGCGCGGCGGCTGCTCCCACCAAGAGCTCCTGGCTCAGATCTCCACACGGCTGGGAGCCAACATCGGGGTCGCCAGAGCGCGAGCGCCGAGGCCATGCCAGCACCTCCGCCCAGCCCAGGAACCCCGGGCACCAGCCCAGAGACACCAACCGGCTGCCTGCCACGCCCTGCCCCCAGCCGGCCCTTGCCCTTCCCCCTCGGGGGAGGCAGCAATCCCCTGGAGTCGCGCTGGCACATCTCTGGCTCTCCCTGACCCTAACTCGCTGCCCGCTGCCTGCTGCCCACAGCCCGCTCTCACCTGGCCCCCCCCAGCACCGTCCCTGCAGCTCCCCCAACATGCCAGGACACCCCTCGGGCCTCCTGAGGCCCGAGGGCAGAGGCTGGGCCCTTCCTCTAGATGTGGCCAGATGGAGGCGCCCGCGGGGCCACGGCGCCAGGCCGGGACTCCTGGCTGCAGGTCTGGGAGGGGGAGAGCTTGCGCCGCGGGCTGACAGCGGAGGCTGCGCCCGCCGGCCACCACAGGTCTTCTCGCAGAAAGCGGCACTTTAACAATGGAAACCAACATGGCCGTGAAGCCCAGAGACGCACGGCAGGACCAGCGGGGGCCTCGGCCACACCGCTCGGGACGCGGCAGTGGACGCTGGAGCTGCCCAGACAGCGGCCAGGGCGGTATGCCCCACCCGCCCGCAGCAGCCCCCGCACTGCCTCGGCAGCACGCAGAGCAGCCTCTGCGGGCCTCGCAGGTGGACTCCCGGCTCGAGGGACGCCCTGCCGCCAGGTCCTCCTCACACCGAGAGGCCCCAGTCCAGCCTCCCGGGGCCGCCGCAGGCACCTCTCCATCCCAAACGAGGCCCCGAGCCCAGATGGCCCCCTGAGCCTGGGCCCACCTGAACAGCAGCATCAAGGCCTGTAGAAATGTCCGGAAGTTGTTGTGCCGGTTTATGCTGGTCTCGTCATCCAGGGCAATGTTTCCAAAAACCTGAAATAGAGAAACAGCTGCAGGCTGGCCGCCCCGGGCGGTGAGGGCCTGTGCCTCACGTGTAGCCAGGCACACTGCCCGGCATGGCAGCGCCTGCTCTCGGTCGGCAGGGCAACACTGCAGGGGCGGGGCGGGTGGGGGGCTTAGGGGTGCAGGCTGGCTGCAGGGGTACTAAGGCTGAGAGCCCAAGGCCGGGAGCCTGGACATGGGTTAGCGACGCATTCTGGGGTTTCCGCCCAAGCCCGTGCCGATGTTTATGGCCTTCTTACCCACACCGGTTTTCCTCAAGGAGCCAGTACCTACAGTTAGCTTAGAATCTAAAATCCAGCCGAGAAATTTGTGAGCTGCCACGTACACCCCCAAAACAGACTAGTGAGGTGCATGTTCGGTGCCTTCACAGACCCACACAGGGAGAAAACTGTCAAGTGGCGTCAGCGCTCGGTCCTGAGCTTGCAGGAACCCACCCGACCAGCCCGGCGGCCCCGCTGCACCAGAGACCATGGCCCGCGCCAGCAGACACTGGGCCGGGCGGGCCGTGCAGGGCGGTCTCCAGACCCCCGAGGGCCTGGGCCCTGCACCCAGCACGGGGCCGGCGCCCAAACCCGGGTCCACGCTCAGGCACGCGGGAGCTCAGCCTGGCCCACCCGCCCGCCCTGGTCCCGGGCGACCGCACCCACCTGCATGCCGATGATGGCGTAGATGAAGAACAGCATGGCGATGAGCAGGCACACGTAGGGTAGGGCCTGTGGGCAGCGGGACGCAGCTCCAGGAGCGCCCGGGCAGGCCGCGTCCGCCAGCGCCCCCACCCTCAGGACCCCATTCCACTGAGAGGCTGCCCGGTCCACACTCGCCCTCGGCGCCCCAACTGCTGTGGGAGCTCACCACCCCCAACCCGCTGGGGACCCCACCCCCACCTCCTGCCCAACCCCGCACGCCCCTCCACCCTGCCCCTCGGCCACCCACCCACCCACCCACCCTGCGGGCCCCTCCGCTGCCTGCCCACCCCTGAGCTCCCCACGCCTTGGGAGTGCCCACCTCAGGGCCTGCCCGGCCCCCATCTCTCCCCGCCCCCCACCTCCTTCCCCCGCCCCTGGCCGGCCCGCGGGGCTGACCTTGAAGGACTGCACGAAGGTCCAGAGCAGGATGCGGATGGTGTAGCCCTGGCGCAGGAGCTTGATGAGCCGGGCTGCGCGGAAGAGGCGCAGGAAGCTGAGGTTGATGAAGTTGTTCTGTGGGGAAAGGGCCTGCGTGGGCAGCCAGCTCCACCTGCGCCCCCTGCCCGACAGCCGGCCCGGGCAGTGGGGAAAGGCGGACCACAGGCACCACAGGCGGACCACAAGCGGTAACGGCCGCCAGACACCGCCTGCGGTCAGTCGAGCGGCCGTGGCCCCAGGCCCCCAGCGGGGCTCCCTGCTGCCCAGCGGCCAGCGCAGTTCAGCCTCAGCGCCCCCCCACCCCGCAAGCCAGGGCTGTCCTGGGGGCTGCTTCTGCCTCAGGCTGGCCCAGGCTGGGGCCAACCGTGGCCTCCCACAGGCCAGCAGAGCCCCTGCCTCCTGGGCCCCCAGCTGGCCCGAAGGGGCGCCCGCGGGGATGTCGCGGGGCGGGAGTGCTGGGTCCCTACCGTCCATGCCCGGCCTGCTGCAGGGCACCTGAGGCTGGCCTGCCCTCGTCCAGGAGCCGCTCCCAGCTCAGGTGCAGACCATCCGACTCCAGCTCACCCAGCGCACCAGGAAAGCCGGCCCGGCCCTCAGGGACAGTCCACATGGACGGTGCTGGCCTGGCCCGGTCACTTGGAGGGCAGTGCCCACCCTGGCCTCAGGGCAGCTTCCCCAGGCGGCCTCGGAAGCCGACTCAGGGCGGTGGGGGCAGCAGTGAGGCAGGCAGCAGTGAGGCGGGCAGAGGCCAGCTGAGGGTGAGGGGCAGAGCGGGGTGCATGCAGCAGGCTGGGGAGCCACGCCTTGCTCTCTGGGGCTGGCTGGGCTGCCGCACAGTCCCGGGTGGGTGGGAGTTCGGCTTCCCCTTCCAGGGACAGGCCCCTGGCCTGCCCGCCTCGGCCGGCCACCTCTGCATGCTTGGCGGGCATCCCTGCTGCCAGACTGGCAGCCGCCCAGGCAGCTCAGAGATGGGGAGGGGCCCACACCAGCAGGCGGCTGCGGTGGGGTGACCTGGGGTGCACAGGCTTGTGCCGAGAACTGCAGGGCCTGGGTGGGCAGAAGTGCCCTGGGGCCCAGGGGATCCTCTGCAGAAGAGGGGGCTGTGCCTGCTGGGGGGCCCCACTTTGAAAGCACTTCTCAGGGACTGGAGAGGCCCGGGAGGGGCAGCACCCAGCACAAAGCAATGGGCTCCAGCAGCTGAACAAAGCACTTCCCTCAAGATGCCGGGGAAGAACAGGCCCCCGAGACAGGCGCACAGACCCGAGGAGGCAGCGGGCGCCAGTGGCCAGAGCCCAAGCTCGCCGGCCCTACTCCTCAATGACTCCCCCCACCCACCGCTGTGCAGGCTGCTGCCACCCCAGGGAGCTGAGGACCCTGCCAAGCACAGAGAGCGGGCGGCTGCACGGCCTCCTCTGGTCTCCGCCCCGTCGTGGACAGGCCCCTCCAAGCCCACGGTTTCTGTTGCCCCAGGGAGCAGCGACCCCCTGCAGCCTCACCACAGGGGCAGTGCGGGGCCAGGGTCAGGGGGGCCGGCACCCCCAAGCTCGCCCCTCCCAGCTGTCCTGCCCTGTCAGCTGCAGGGCGAGGGAGGGGCTCAGCGGGACGGGCCAGCCAGGACGTCCTCGCACCAGTGGCAACAGACAACCACCCTCCATCATGGGGCCAGGGCCTACGCCTGAGGCTCCTCTCGGGCACTCCTGCCGGATGCAGGGGGCAGGGGCCGGGGCCACAGGGCTCGGCGCCACAGACGCAGGAGTCTGCACCCCACTGTCTCGCCGTGTCTGCAGCCCCAGCCCGGCAGGAGCCGCAGGGATGCCAGGCGAACGTGTCTGAGGCCTCTGGGGGCAGCTACGCCTCCTCACTCATGGACAGGGCCAAGGGGCAACAGAAACCAGGGCTGGGGAGGGCCCTGAAGCCACCTGTCGGGGGCCACTGCCTCTCCCAAGGCAGGGCTGGCCAGGCGGGCCCAGGACCAGCAAGAGCGCGGGAGGCCGGAGGGGCGCGGGCAGGGCAGCAGGCTGGGCTACAGGCGGGGCAGCGGAGGCGCGGGACCAACCGTTTCCTGCACGGTGATTGATGGACGGTGGTTGTGAGTTATGTGAATGGGTGATGGCGCACGACACACACGAGACAGGCCGCCGGCGTGACGATGGATGAGTCGGCAGGCGGTGGATGAATGGGGGGCGGGGACAGAGAACGAGAGATACGGCCGTCAGCGCAAGCAGGGCCAGCCCGCGGCCAGCGCAGCCGTCCAGCCTCGCGGAGGCCCGCAGCCGGCTCGCGCTCGCGTTTTAGTTCCAGGCAGGGAAATCCGAGGCGCCGCCCTGGGCCGTGGGCGCCGCTGGCAGCAGGCAGGACTGCTGGGGCGGCCAGCCCGGCTGGGCCTTCACTGGGGCGCGCGCCGAGGCCACGGGAGTCGGGAGCGGTGCCCCCCACGGCAGCGGCTGCTCCCGGGGTGGGGCCTGGCTGGGCGCCAGGACTCGGAGGCTGCCAAGGAGGCCCGGGACGCGAGGTCCTCCCCTGCTCGGCCGCCCAGTGAGGTCCCAGCGAGCACCCACCCGCTCGCCCCGAGGCCTGCCAGCGGGGCCAGCGCAGACCCCTCCGGGGAGAGGCCCACGCCCACAGCCACCGCAGCGCGGCCCCGCAGCGCGAGCCATCAGCTCAGACGCCTGTATCCAGAGAACAAAGACCCCCGTGTGCAGGAGTGGGGTCTGAAACACGGTTAGCTCCCCAAAACCTCCCGCACCACAGGTCGGGGAGCAAGGGGGGCAGGGCACACCCCAGGTCAGGGGGCCCGAGGGGAGGGCACGGAGAGGACCCCAGGACAGGGGGGAAGGGAGGAGGGCCACAGGGTGGACCCCAGGAGGGGGGACCCATTGGGGCGGGCCCTAGGACAGCAGGTGTGGGGTCACGGGATGGACCCCAGGATGGAGGGGTCCCCCACAGGATGGGCCCCAAGGGGGTGAGCGGGCACAGGGCTGGCCCCAGGACAGTGGGGTGACCCGCTGCTGGCTTTCCTGTGGCAGCTTCAGCCTTTCATCTGGCTCCCGGTTCGGCGACTTCGCTATAGTGTAGACATCTCACGCAGCCCAAGGAACACGGACCTGTCCGCACCCGGTTTCCTCGGAGCCACAAGACACCCACAGGTAGAGGCAGCCCAGCTCAGCCGTGCACCTGCCTGGCCCTCTCCCCAGCGCAACCACGAGGGGCAGGCCGGAGTCCACCGTCCCGGAGGGCACCCACCACACGGTGCCCGGATGCCCGGGTGCCCCAAACAGTGTGGAGTGTCCCTGAGGGCTCAGGGGGCGCCGTGTGCCCCCACCTTCCCCAGGACCTCCAGGCCCGGCCCCACTCAGAGCACGCTCTGCCCGCCAAGGCCCCGGCCAGGCCCAGCCCCCACTCGGCCTCCCAGCCCGGGGGCTCTGAGTGGACACCCCGCCGCTCCAGGGGCGCCCACGGCAGGCCCTGAGCAGTCGGTGCAGAAACCAAGGAGTGTGGGGCAGACGCCCACCCAGACTTGAGCCTCCTGAGGAACAGGACGGGGCAGAACAGCTCTCGGCTTGCTGGTGCTGTCTGCACGGACGGAGCAGCCCCAGCCAGGGCCTCAGAGATCATCTCCTGCGCCAGCTCCAGGAGTTTCCAGTTTGGTCTCAAACTTGTCCTTCCAGCCACTGGAAGACATTTTGGTGGGTGGCGTGAACCGTCTAGCTTCTGCTCTCCCTCTGCTGACCCCCGCGGGCGCAGAGCCCGTCCCCACCGCAGCACTGCGTCAGCCTCTCAAAGGCGCCAGCCTGTCCTGGCTCCTCGGCCCTGGTGAGGGGCTGCCCGTGCCAGCCTGGCCCCCAAGGCCGGCACCTGCGCCCCAGCTCCCCGGCAACCAGGGGAGGGGCCTCGCTCCTTCCCAGAGCTTAGAGGCAGCTTGTCAGGTTCCAAAGCACGTGACAGCAGGAAGGCAGAAGGACGTCACGTCACGGGTACTTTGAAACTGCATCAAACCACAGACCAATGGGAGGGATGCCCCACGGCTGCACCCGGAGGCGGCGCCTTTCAGGGAGCGGAGGCACTTTCCAGACAGGCAACGGTGTGCGGGCGCCTGCCTCCCCCACCTCCGCCTGCCGCCTGCGCTCACAACCAAGCTTCGGCCGCGCAGCTGACAGGCCCCGAGAGGCCGGCGGGCGGCCGGAACACACCAGGCAGCAACTCGCGGGCTCAGGGTCCGCTGGATGCCCAGCCATGGACCCCTCGAGGGGGTGTTGCTGGGGCAGCCTCCCTGGCTCGGAGCACACACTCACATTGGGGACCCTAAAAACCTGGCACTAAACTGGAGACGGGCGGAAAGCAGCAGCGTCCAGACAGAGGGGTCCTGGAGGAACAGAGGGACAGGGAGCCGGACCACAGCGAGGTCAGGGGCATCCCCATCGGCGCCGGAGGCGGTGCTATGCCAAGAGCCTGCCTTACCCTGCCCGGGGCACCCAGCCCGGGGCCAGAGTCCGCGCCCACCCAGTGCGTCTGGTCTCAGCAACGGGAGCAAGCGCCTGAGAGCAACACTCCATCCTCCAGCAGTGAAGAGAATGGCCCTTTGGCCCTGTGTGGCTGCTGGTCCTCAGCTCTCGCCCCGCCCTGCACCACAGTCCAGCCACCGGCAGCACGTGAAGCCAGCTGCAGGCAGCCTTTGGAGGTCACTGCCCCGTTCTTCCCTGCCCGCTGCTCCCAGCCAGCTCCCCAGCCACCTGGACAGGTGCAAAGGCCTATGAGGCAATGGCTGGAGACCCTGGGCAGAAAGCCAGGGCTACACCAAGCTTCTTGCAAGAGGGAATCGAGCCAGTTTACTTGGATAAGGTAAGGAGATTCCCTCTTGCAACCAGTAGCAGCCAAAACAAAAAGATGGAAGAACACACCTCAGATGCTGGGGGGACTCCAAGGGGAACTGCCGCGCACAGAACCACAGCCTGCCGAGCAGGAGCCCGAGGCAGCAGCGCTGGGTAGAGGACGACGGGGCTGACGGCAGAAAGACCATGCAGGTGAGGAAGACGAGCCCGCCACACAGAACTAAAGAGCTAAAATACTGAAGCGAAGTCAAAAAATCACGATGGGCCCCCAGCAGCATGGAGGGGAGCCAGCAAACTCGAACGCCCAGAGGCAGAGAACACACGAAGAAAGCAGCAGAAGGAAAAAACAGGTAAGAAAAAGTGAGAGCTCTTTGGGGTAACCTAAGACAGACTGTGCGTGCATCAGGGAGCGCCAGCAGGAGAAGAGAACCAGAAAGGCAAAGAAACCTCCTGAGAAAATAGCCACTGAGACCACCTCAGCCAGGGAAACAGACCAGACGTCCTGCTCCAAGAAGCCCAACGAGCTCCCAAAAAATTACATCCACACACACACCAGACGTAACACAGAAATGCCGCCGGAAGCCAAGGCCGAGAACAGAACGGTAAAGGCACTGAGAGGAAGGAAAGCGACCTACACGGGAACCCCCGTCAGACTGTCCTCAGACTTCTCAGCGGAAACCTTACAGGCAAGAGGCGTCCGTGTCCAGCAGGGGCCTGCGGCCCGGAACGATGATGCAAGATCGTCGCCCAAGACAAAGGAAGGCGGCGAAGCTTTGCTGAGAGGCCGGAGCTGAAAGAACTCGTCTACACCGCATCAGACACAGAGGCTATCAGGAAGGGGGTGTATAAGCAACCACAGAACAAACCAGGGGCAAAGACCAGAAGCCGAGCGCGTGCGGGGGCAGGAACGGGCGGGCCCTCGGCAGGGGCCTCGGCTCCCGCCTTCCCGTGGGCCATACCCGGGGCCCAGGTCAGCTGTCAAGAACACCAGGAAGATCCAAGCCTGTGCCGGGTTGTCAGAAAAGCCATGGTGTGTTTTTTCTGTTTTTCAAGCAAAAATGCATCGTGGCTTTTCCACAACCCGGCATAAGTAGAAAATGCTAAGACTTCACCGAAAAGCTATTACGTTAAAAGCAAAGCAAGCGGCAGGTCATAAAACCACACAGAAAATCAGTCACATTTTATCCACCTAAAGTGAGTCATGAAGAAAGAAATTAAGAAAATCAACTCCATTCACTATCGCAGCCGGAAGAATCAAACTCCCGGGATTAACCCCACCAGGCGGCAAAGGCCTGACACGAGGAAACCACGAGACATAGGCCGAGGGCGAGGCCAGCCCGCGAGGGGCAGTGCTGGGAGGGCCCCTGCAGGAGGGGCCGGGCAGCACCCGCACGGCGCGGCGGGGAACATGGCCCGGACCGACCCTCAGGACAAAGAGCCGGGGAGCCGTAGGGCCCGGCGATGCCTCTCCGGCGGCCACCACACAAACCTCATGTTCCTTGCACAGAAGCGGCGGGCGCGGCGCTGGCCCCAGGCAGGAGGCGGCCCGGGAAGAGGGGTCTTGCCAGTGACCACGCCAGGGAGGCGGCGGACGGCGGGGGGAGACCGGCCGTGGCGGCTGCAGCAAGGGGAAGAGGGAGGCCAGGGCATCTCAGCAACGTGGGCCGCCTCAAACAGGCTGCACCCCTAAGCCTTGAAGCACTAATTCCCAGAGCCCTGGTCACTGTCAAGTCTCCCAGGTCAACACGAACAACACCCAAGTGGGGCCCTAGAACTTGAAGGTCTGAACGCACGTCCGTGAGGGCTGGGGTCGGCTCTTGGGGGGATGGGACACGAGCGCGCTACCTGAGCTCACAGCTAATCAGAAACACGTTAGTTTCAGATTTCTCCAGATTCCCCCACAGAGAGCAACACCGTGGTAGAAAACAGCCTGTCAGCGCCGTCCCTTTGCCAGCCCCAGACGCTTCCTCCTCATCTTATCGGACAGGCGTTTGCTGACCGTCTGCAGACTGCCCGGCGCCGCTGCAGGCCCTGGGGGCGCTGGGCACAGACGTTGCTGCTGCCGAAGGCTGCTGCTCCACACGCCCACCGGCCTGTAGCTCACTCGGGCGAGAACCGTGATGGCGGAATCGCTGGCCCTTCTGAGCTCAACGCGGGTACACTCCAGGTTTCACCTCTGTGCGTGGCTTCACAAGCTTTTGGGGGGCTGCTCGAGTGGACAGCCCGAGAGCATCACCAGCTTCCGTCACGACAGCACCAGTTCCGCAGGGGAGGAGGGCTGTGCCCGTGCCCTCGGCTGCTCTGGGTTTTAGAGTCAGGGAACATGCGGGACCCTGTACCAGCAGCCCAGCCCGCAGTCAAGGTCGTCTGGGGAGAGGGAGATGCGCCAGGTCCCAGGGCCCACACTGACCCCAGCTGGCGAGGGGCAGGCACAGGCCGGCGACCCCAGCCCGGGCACAGCGCTGGCTCTCGGGGGAACGCATGGCCAGCGGCAGCCAGACCCAGGGTGCCCCAGGTGCTGAGGGCCACGGGGCCAGCTGGCCACTCTGGCTCCTCACCCAGCGGCCTGGCCCTGTGTTGGGGCATCGGGTTCACAGCGCATTTCTGGACGTCCACCTATGACTGGACAGAGGCAGCCAGAGCCACCGGCCTCCTCTCCCGCAGGGCAGTGTGTCCTCGGCAGCAGGATGAGTGGTGGGTGCCCCTCCCAGGACCCCTCTGGGCTGGTTTTGCCAGGAAATGACCGCACTGGACGCTGAGGTCTCCGCTCCTGGCTCCAGCGACTTCCACAGCAGCAAACAGATGAGGGCTCCGCCAGCGAGGTCTGCCCTGCGGCCTGGCTGGCGGGACACCCTTGCGACTCAGACCGCGGCACGAACGGGCTGGGGGTCTGTCAGCCCTTCCAGCACTGACCTCAGCGCAGACGCGGGCACCGTCTGTGTTCGCACATGCACACACACTCGCACTCACGCACACTCACATGCACACACGTGCACTCACACACGCACGCACACGCACATGTGTGCCCTCACACGCACACGCAGACACGCACGCGCACACTTACACGTGAGCACAGCGTCCATCCGACGCCACAGAAGGCGCCCCGCGTCCCTGGTGGCTGCAGCGGCTGCGCCTGGACAGTCGCTGGGTGGAGCGGACACACCCGCCGAGCCCACGGGGGACCACGCACACCAGGCAGCAGCCGCCACCCCCGCTGCGGCTCCCCACCGAGGCATTTACCCAGACACCCCGTTCCCACAGCCCTGCGGCCGGAGGCGCGGGTGGCCGTGGAGCCCGCTGGGCGGGCGGCGCTGCGTACCGCGATCTCGGTCACCAGGATGTCGGTGATGCTCCCCAGCACCGTGACGAAGTCGAAGACGTTCCAGGCATCTCTGAAGTAGTTCTGGAAGGAAGTGCAGCGGTAGGGCCAGCCGGGCTCTGCCGCCGGACCAGCGCGCGCCTGCAGGGGGCAGAGGGAAGCCGCGGCCAACGGCACCTACCAGCGCCCCAAAGGCGACGATCTTCAGCACGCACTCCAGGGAGAACACGGATGTGAAGGCCACGTTCAGGCACTTCAGCATCAGCTCGTACTGGTAGGGCGCGTCGTAGAACTGCCGGAAACAGCGGTCGGCCCAGCCCTGGCCCCGGCCCGCCCTGAGCCCACCCCGAACCCGCCCTGGCCCTCCCCTGCCCCTGGGCCCGCCCGCCCCTGGGCCCGCCCGCCCCAGGGCCGCCCACAGCGGGCGCCCACCCTCACCTTCATCATCAGCACCACCGTGTTGAGGGCGATCATGGCCATGATGAAGTACTCGAAGGGCGGTGAGACCACGAAAGCCCAGGCCTTGTACTGGAAGGACTGCTTGTTCCTTGGCATGTAGCGCGTCAGCGGCTTGGCGCTGATGGCGAAGTCGATGCAGGCCCTCTGCAGGGACAGGCACCGGGCTGGCCGCCGCCTCCCTAGACAGGCCACCGGGTGGGAGGGGCCCCGGGTGCCGCACTGCCCACAGGGGCACAGGGACAGGGCGAGGGGCCCTACCTCGTTCTTCTCCAGGCTGCATTCCGACATGGCCTTGTCGCCCTGCTCCTGGAAGGTGATGATGATCAAGGCCACGAAGATGTTGACAAAGAAGAAGGGGAAGACCACGAAGTAGACCACGTAGAAGATGGACAGCTCCATGCGGTACCCGGGGCTGGGGCCCTGCTCCTCGTAGGTGGCGTCCACGGAGTGCTTCAGCACCCTGGGGGTGGGGCGAGTCAGGGCGCCCAGACGCGGCGGGGGCCGCCTGGCGCAGGAGACCCCATCGCGGAGACAGGTGGAGAGGCAGGGCATTCAGCCCCCCTGCCCGCCCTGGCTGTCCTGCCTACACAGCGCAGCACCTCGCACTCCCCTGCTCACACCCATCTCACCTGTTCACATGTCGCCAGTGAGCTCACGCCAGCCCGCCCACCTTCAGGACCCGGCATGGCAGGGCCCCCAGAGAACTGAGCCCACACCTGAGGAGGGGTCTCCCAGCACGGGCAGGGCCTGCCATCCAGTGTGGGGACCCCACATGGGGGAGCCTGCCTGCTCAGCCCAGCCCCTCCACAAGGGGGTCCCGGGGTACCATGCAGGGCCCTTGGCCGAGCCCCTCCCAGGCAGCCCTCGCGGGGGCAGCTCGCCTGGGGCATAGGCACCTAGGGGTCCCTGCTGAGTGACTGTAGCATGCCCCCCCGCCCTCCGTGCAGGCCAACCGCCATGCCAGCGGGCACTCACATGGGCCAGCCCTCCCCCGTGGACACTGTGAAGAGCGTCAGCAGGGCCCACAGCACGTTGTCGTAGTGGAAGTCATACTTCTTCCACTGCCGGGGCTGGGCCTCCACCTCCTCCTTCTCGTAGTCCAGGTACTGGCCCCTGGGACAGGACACGGGGCAGTCAGAGGGTCCTCGGAGACCCAGGGTCACAGAAGCCCTGAGAAGAGCTGTCCATTCAGAGTAGAAAGGGCCAGCCCTCCAACATGGCTCTGGGGCAACTGGACATCCACACCTGAAAGGATGAAGCTGGACCCAGCCCACTCCACCCCCAAGACTTAGGTCAAGAAGGGTCGGTGCTGAAACACAGGGGCTGACCTGTGTGCGAAACCCTTCAGGGAACATGCAGGCCCCCAACCTGGCAACGGACTCTTAGGTAGGACATCAAAACCACAAGCAGCGAGAGAAAACAAACAGGTAAGCCGGACTTGCTCAAAGTTTAAAGTCTCAGTGCCTCACGGTACACCTTCGACACAGAAGGAGAGAGAGTGTGAGGAGGGGCGTGTCTGGCGCGCAGGGGCTACTGCAGTCAGGAACGAAAGAGCAACCTGACCAGACTGGTGATCGTGCAAATGGTGAGTGAGCCCATGGGAAGACCCAAGCCAGCCAGATGCCCACACGCCCAGCACACCCCAGAGAGGACAGGTCAGCCGGAGCGCATGGGGGTGCAAGCCCAGCAGGCCCCGGCGTGGACAGGTCAGTCACCCCATGAGACCCGGCAGTCCCACTTCTAGGCAGTCCCCGAGAGGGGGATCCCTGGCCTCCCGAAATGTGCCCACTGACGTCCACAGCCGCGTGGCCACAGGCCAAGCTGCCACAGAACCTGGTGGCCTCAGGGGCAGGGCAGCAGCTGCAGCGCTCGTCTCTCCCTCGGCTCCACCGCTAGCCAGTGGGGGGAGGTGCGCCTCAGAGCCCTCTTATGCAACTGTGGGCTTCCTGGACTGTGGGATGGGCCAATCAGGTGTGAGCTATGAGCTGATTGGTGCTAAATGGACCCGTCAGCCACAGGGTTGAAAAATGGTCCGATCAGACTTGTGGGCGGGACACCCCGAGAGGGTATAAGCCAGGGTTGGCGGAGCGAAGGAGAGACATCCCCAGCGCTGGGCCCCCTCCTGTCTCTCCCCCCTGCAAGGGGCCCCAGGGGCCCAGCCTGGCGGCTCGAACACCTGTTGTTGGTGTCCTCCAGCCTCTCACAGAGCCGCGAACTGACACCGCCTCTGGGGACCAGTGGGGACGGTGCCTACTGGCCAGTGCGGTCTGGACTCTGGGTGACCAGTGGCGACCGTCGCTGATGCGATCTGCGTGTGGCCATCTGTGGCCACAGTGAGCCCCTAGCCCCTGTGTAAGCCCCAGGTGTTCATTCCTCGAGCCCAAGACCTCCTGCAGGTGCGCAGGTGAGAGCCATGGACGGTGGCTTGTCCTTGTTGGGCCCCGGGCTCTGGTCAGCCGCAGCCCATAGACCCCTCTATGTGGGTGTTGTGCTGCTGCAGCCCTTGGTTTTGGTTTTGGCTCTTGGGGGCTTTTTGGCAGCTCTTGTCTCAGAGCTCGGGTGGGCGGTCGTTCCGGCCTTGTTGCCCTCCACCCTGGACGCCCATTCCACGCTGCCCACCCCCATGGGGTATGACTCAACGGTGGGATAGCACTGCCCTGGGGAACAGGAGGCACCGGCACTGGGGCACAGAGGCTGCAGCCGCTGGGGCCGGGCACAGGGGCACAGGTGCTAACGGCCACAGGGCGGTACTCAGTCCCACAGTGGGAGGCTGCATGACTGACGGGTGGCGGCCGCCGCACCCAGAACACCGGACACTGAGGCTGTTACGGGCCCAGTTTGGTAAGTGCGCCACACCCAAGCTGCGTGCAGACGGCCAAGGCTCCCGGGGCCGCCCCAGGGCTGGGGCTTTCAGTCACGTGACATGGCCAACAGACGCCACTCTAGAGCACAAGTGGGCCCCGTCCACCCCAGGGCAGCACCTGTCGGGTCAGCTCTTGGGACGCACAGACCCAACTGCGAAGGCAAAGCATGTCTGAGAGCCCAGGAGGACATCTTGCCCCGCCCTGGGCACCCATGCCAACACCAGGGACACGGCGACCGCACCACTGGCCAGGCCTCCCGTCCTGAAAGACAAAGGAAGGGGCGGGCGCCTCCAGACAGAGCCCCGTAGACCTGGCAAAGGGCTCCTGAGCGGGACCACAAAGGAGCCCTCAAAGTCGCCCAGAAAGACGGAGGGGAAGGGACGAAGACCTGCGATGTCCCTGCGGGAACACCGGCCCTGTCTGGGCCACGCATGCCAGCAAGGGCCAGAGAGGCCCCGGCACGCTCAGGGGCCGCCACGGAGAGCAGCAGCCGGGCAGCGCCTGCAAGCACAGCAACCATCCAGGCTCCGCTGCCAGGTCTGCACAGCCCGGGGAAGGCCCTGCCCACCCCACACACGTGCCTGGAGCACACCCCACCGCACCCACAGCACACGTGCACAGCCATGTGCACACACATGCACAGCACACACACATACCCACGCGCCGCGTGCACCCTGCACACACGCGTGCACACACGCACATGCACACACGCACACAGCACACATGCGCGCGCGCGCACACACACAGCACACACGCACATCCACGCGTCGCGCCTGGCCCGGCTCACCTGCAGTCCCGCTCCAGCTCCTTGGACTCGTCGGTGCAGTAGAAGAACTTGCCCTTAAAGAGCTGCACCGCGATGACAGCGAATATGAACATGAACAGCACATAGACCACGAGGATGTTGAGCACGTTCTTGAGCGAGTTCACCACGCAGTCGAACACCGCCTGCGGGGTGCAGCCGTGAGGGGCGCAGGCAGCTGCAGGGGCTCCGCCCGCGGTGGCCCAGGGCCCGCTGTGGCCCCTCAATGGATGTGCCCAGCCCACTAGCTCCGCTGGTCCCCGAGGGGAGCCTCAGGACGGCGGGCGCTCCCCTGGGCCTGCCCCCCGACCCAGACGGGCCGTCACACACCCAGGCCTGTGCCCTGCACTACCCCACAGCCCCCCACGCGCACCCCCTGGAGCCTGCCAGGGTCCCAACCTTGAGCTTGGGCAGCCGCTTGATGGTCTTGAGGGGCCGCAGCACGCGGAGGACTCGCAGCGACTTGATGGTGTTGATGTCCTTCCCCTTGGACCCTCTAGGGGAGGAGCCACACATGTGGATGCCTGCGGGTCTGCCCACGCCCGCCCGGCGCGCGCTGTCCTGGCCCAGCCTTGCTCGCTCCCGCGCCGTGGGGCTCCCCACTGCCAGGCCAGCTCACCTGCGCGGCCGACGGAAGGCCCCTCCCTCCCAGCCCACCTGCCCGCCACGCCCAGCTCCCCGCCACCCCCACCAGGCTGAGGCCAGGGGCCACCGGAGCGGGGCACCGGCGCATGCCCACAAGCAGCCACACCCGCCAGTGCCAGCACCGTCCCCTGCTCTGCGCCCCAGGGAGGGCGGTGAGGGACCCATCTGTGGCCCTCTCAGCTGCCAGACGCCCACAGAGGACTTCACACTGACAGAAGGGGGAGGGGAGGGTCTGGGCAGGGAAAGTCAGTAAAAACAGGCAACACCGGGGATGGGACGTGAAGAGGAGTGAGTCAAGGAGAAAGGAGTGGGGCAGAGCCCCAGAGATGGGAGGGGGGGCCCTGGGGGGGGCGCAGGAAGGCACCCCGGGAGGCTGGTCACAGGGAAGGAAGGGGCCCGGCCACCACGAGGGTCCAGGCCAGGAGAGAGGGAAGGGTCTCCTGAGCTCACTCCTTGCTGCGGGCCCACTCCCAGAAGCTCAGCCGCTGCCCAGGTCAGGGCCGGCCCTACCCCACTTGCTCCCGGGCGCCCAGGGCTGCCACACTGCGGGGGATGCCCAGGCTCGTCCCGAAACCCAAGCTTCAGGGCTGAAACCCGCCTGCGCAGCCCTGTCGGCCCAGCCTCCCTGCCTGGACAGCGTCCTGCAGCTGCGCCCGCGGAGACTACAGCGGGGTGCCCAGGGGAGCCAGGGGCCTCTGGGGCAGGCGGCCAGTGGGGGGCTGTCAGCCCTCGCCCTCCGCCTCCTCTCCCTGGAGCCCCGCCCTGAGGCTGGCAAAGGGGTCTCCCCCGCTCAAAGCCAGCCCGGGGGTGGAGGCCGCGCCCGCAGCGGTCCTGGCCATGCGCAGCCCCGCCCTCCGCGCCAGCCCACCCCGCCCGGGCAGCCGGGCCACATGCAGCCGGCCAGCGTGCTGATGAGATGGCCGCCCGGCGTGGCGCGGGGCGGGGACAGCGTTACCCCATGAGGCTCCTACCGAGAGTCCAGCGGCAGGAGACAAAGAGAGGAGAGTCATTGAGGGGCTGGGCGGGCACTGCCCGGCCAGGAGGGCGGCCCGTCCCTCGAGGGCACCTTCTGGGTGCCTGTCTCAGCAATCCCGGCGCCCCAGCCTCCCGTCCCCATGAGGCCCTGGCGTCCTCCCGCCCGGCGAGGCAGGCTGGCGCCTCCGTGCCCAGCGCAGGCACACTCACAGCCACCGGCCCGCGCGCGGGGAGCCACTCCCAAATCCTGACGACCGTGAGGCAGAGCGGGCCAAGCCAAGGCCGCCCACCACTCCAGGCCGCCAGCGTCAGGCGACACAGGGCCGGAGGCCGCACCCACCCCACAGCCCCGAGGCTCCAGGGCCGCTTGGCCAGCCCAGTAGCTGTGGGCACTTACGAGAAGGCGAAGGCCACCAGGGCCCCACTGACCACGATGAAGTCCAGAATGTTCCACAGGTCCCGGAAATAGGCCCCAGGGTGCAGCAGCAGACCCAGGTCCACCATCTGCAAGAGAGACTCTCTCAGGCCTGAGGCCAGGGCCTCGGGGGAGGGACCCACGGCCGCACCCTCCATGGCCTCTGGGTTCCAGCAGCACCAACCAGAGAGCCCTTGCGGCCACGCCTGGCTGAGCTCACGCTCCACCCAGACACCTCCAGTCCAGAACAGGCCTTCCTCCCCTCCTGGGCCCCCCAGCCAGCTCCCCAGGAGAAGCGAGGGCGTCGCAGGGATGGCCCTGCACTCGGCACCAGGCCAGCTCAGCGCCCGTCTGCAGGCCAGGCCACAGTGGCCCAGGAGACCCTGCAAGGGCGCCATGCTGGTCAGGAGACAGACACGTGCCTGGGCCACTGCACCCCCAGCCACCAACCCCTCAGGCCCCCGTCAGCCCCACGCCCGGCTGGGCGCAGAGCAAGACCAGAGCCCAGTGGGGAGATCAGGATGGGGCAGGCGCTCCCGGCGCCACCCGCCTGTCCACCTCACAAGCCCTGCCTGCCTGGGGCGGCCACTCCAGAGCCCAGCCCACCCCCGAGGTCGGGCCACTCGCTCTCACCTTTATCACCATCTCGAAGGTGAAGACGCCTGTGAAAATGTAGTCCATGTACTTCAGAACCTAGGGCCGCAGGCGGGGCGCCGTCAGAGCTGGCCCCTGCAGTTGCGGCTCCTGCGGGGGGCTGGTAGCCACGGGGGTACCCACCCCACCCCTCCTATACCCTGGCCAGCACCCCGGCCTGCACCCCTACTGCACCTCCCTCCTGCACCCCAGCCCACAATCCGCCCACACCCCCTCCTGCACCCTGCCCCTCACTCACGTTGTTCCTGGGCGAGTCGGCCTGCACGGGGTCCTCGGCAGCCAGGGCAATGCTGCTCAGGGCGATGACCACGAGGATGACCATCTCGAAGTACCGCATGGTGACGATGTAATGGCAGAAGCGGCGGAGCCTGCAGGGACACGTCGGCTAGGCAGGGTCCTGGAGGACAGCTGTGGGAGCCCACACTGCCCACCCGCCGGTCAGCACCAGGCCCTTGGGCGCAGGAGCACAGACGCTGCCCTGCCAGCCCCACCCCACGGCCGCGGGCGCCACCTCTCCCGGACCCACCAAAGGCCGGCCCAGCCCTTGGAGTCGCAGCTGCTGCCCCCTGCCCTCCGCCCAGCCCTGCCCTGCCCTGCCCGCCCTCCACCCTGCAGCCTCACTCTGCCCGGGGGTCCTCTCCCCACCAGGCGGCCACGCCCTCCCTCCACACCCCCAGTACAGCCCCACGGGCCGGCAGCAGCACCCTCGCCCCCGCTCTGCCCACACCCCGGCCGGGCGCCCCCCCCCCCACTTAGCCGGCCCTCCGCTGCCCACCTCTCCCAGGGCAGAGGCGCCAGCGGACCCTCACCCCCCCACCCCACACACCCCTGTGGGTGCTGCTAGCGCGGGCCCAGCGGGCAGAGGTGCGCCGCGGGGGGCCCGGCGGGACTCACAGGTTGGTGGGGCTCAGGCAAAACATGGAGCTGTAGGGCACGATGGGGCGCGGGCCGCTCCTCGGCTCCCCGTCGGCCGCCGCCTCCTTCTTCCCCTCCGCCTGGCTCTCGAGGTCCGCGGGGCCGCCTGCAGGACACCCAGGGTGAGGCGGGCACCCAGCCCACCATACCACCCCGCACACCCGGCGGCAGGGTCCCGGCCGGCAGGACCCTAGGCGGGCAGGCGGCGGCTGACCACACCAGCCACCAGGCCCGCCTCTCCAGGAGCCCTGGCCCCGCCATCCAGTTGCGCCAAGGACACCCAAGCCCCTCTGCAGGGACCAGGGTCAAGGCCACCCTCACGAAAGGCAGCAGGCACCTGGCAGGGCTCCCTGGGGCCTCTGGGTAGGGCCCAGACCAGGGGGAGGGAGGGCAGGGCAGCCTTGGACCACAGACGCTGGCCCGCAGCCCCTCCTTAGGACCCAGCGCAGGCCCGCAGGCCGGGGCCTTCCCGGGGTGCCAGGACCGGCTCCCCAGCAACCCAGCCGCTGGACCGCCACCGAAGGCGCTGCTGCTGCCTTCCAGGCACCAGCCCCATCCGGGCGCCATGGCTGGGGCCCTGCTCTTGTCTAGACGCGACGTGCCTGTGCACAGCTTTCCCACGGGGCTCCCGCCTTCCCGCTGTCCTCAGGGGGCCTCGGGGACCCGGGACACGTGAAGGGCCCTGCGCCCAGCCACTACGGGCTCTCAGGGCCTGGGAAGGGGCTGCTCGTAGGTGAAGTGATACAGAACACACTGATCCCACAGGCGCCTGGGGGCGGCAGCGGCTGCGTGGGGGGCCTGTCTGGGGTGGGCTGTCCCGGGAGGCGCTGGCCAGCAGAAGCGGGGGCCAGACTCACAAGGAGCAAGTCGTGAGGCAGCCCCGGAGGGCCCCGCCCCTTCTGCTGGGGCCAGGCCCTCCCCTGCGGGGCACCGGGCACAAGTGGCCACCCTGGCAAGAGGCAAAGCAAGCTGAGCACCATACAGCCCGCAGGGTGGGGCACCCCAGGTGCACAGAGCAGCCAGAAACTCAGCTCCCGGGTCTCACAGCCACTTCTGGGGCGCCTTGAGGCTGACTCCTCACTTCAGAAGTCACACTAGCCGGGGCAGACGCACCCTCTGGCGCAAAACAAACATGAAGGGGACATCCTGGCGGTGAGTGTTCTTCCTCGCGGTCTTCCCTGGCGTGATCGTCAGGCCAGCACCGCAGGAGGAGGATAGGCCAGGGCTCCGGCCTCCCCATGACCCCACCCGGCGTGGCGGCCGCGGGCTCAAGGGGCCTCAGAGACATGCAGCTCAGGCAGCCCGAGCCACGCAGCCGCCAGGAAGCTCCTGGAGCTCGACCGGCTCTGCTCGGGGCTCGGGTCTGCTGCCACCGCGCTCCATGTGCTGCCCGTGCCGGGGTGGCCGAGCCGTCCCCCTCGGATGCCTGGTGGAGAGGCCGCGTGCACAGCGACAGGCACCCTGAGGACGAGCCAGGAGCCACAGGGCAGCGGCCTTGACGCCGGAAAGCCCAGGCCACAGCGAGTGGGAGACGCGGACGAGCTCGGGCAGGCATGGCCATTGTTTGGTCCTGATTCAAACAAAACAACTCTACGTTATTTTCGAGAGAATCATAAAATCTGTGCGCAGCACAGACATTAGCTGTTACGTCTGACGTCGTGACAGCACGGTGGGGCTGGCGCGAGCACGGCACGTGGGCCCCAACGCCAGGGCCGCCCGGACGTCGCCACCAGGAAGTGCCGCGACGCGCAGCCACTGAGCAGGGTGCGGCCAGGGCAGCGGTGAGGGCTCGCGGCACTGCGGGCGGGTGGCAGTAGCGCGCCCCACACCCATCCCTCCTCCCCACGTGCCTCATGACAGGAAGGGTCCAAGGGGACACCGAGGGGCAGAGGCGCCAGGACCTGGGGCAGCAGCAGGAGGCAGAGCACTGCCGCGGGGGAAAGTAACAGAAACTGGCAACTCGACAGGACTGACTGTCAAACGTCACTAGAGGAAACTAGAAATCCTCGTTTAGGGGCAGAGGGTGTTCATGGCCTGAGGTATGAGGAAAAACATATCCCAAGAGAGAATGGTGAGCCAACAGCAAAGACACTCCCAAAATTAAACAAAGAGGAAAAAAAATCACAAAACCCGCTGCCATTTGGAATTCTAAACCAGAGGTGTAAATGCCTCAGGTCAAATAAGAAATCCTAATGACACTTGGAAAAATGATTTAAACTAAAAGAATTCAAAATTTTAAAACTAGTCAAATACACAAAGTATCTCCTAGGCTGAAGCATGGAGGCTCCGGCCCACAAGCAGGCGGAGCCGCGCGCCATGGCTGGGGCCTCCCGGCAAAGGGGCAAGAACAGACGATGAAGACAAAGAACAAATAAAAGAATTAATAAGTAAGAATGGGAATTAACAAGGCAGAACGCAGAGGTGCAGCAGGGAAAGAGAAAGCCTACGACCGACACTTTGCTCGTCTGTTTCAATCAACAAGCCTTCGGGGGAAGAAAGTTTTCCCATGAAGGAGGAAGAGCAGAGGAAGGCGGGCTGGTGTGGGTACTTGAACATGCAGAGGCTATAACTGCAGCTGCAAACCAAGGCTGCTCCCCCGCGATGGCAGCCCCAACATTCAAATGCCCCCACAGCGCACATGAAACAATGAGGGGGCAGGGTAGAGCAGCCCACAGGCCAGGCCTGCAGCCCGTAGGAACTGGAAAAGTGCAGGCCTGAGCTCACACGCGAGTTACAGAGCAGACCAGGGCCCAGTGCCCTGGGCGGGGACACCCACTGCTCACCCTGCAAGGGGCTAGCCCCCCAAGGAGGGTGGAGGACGGTGAAGCCTGTGGGGCTGTGCTCTGCTCCCACTGGGGACGGGGCCCGGAGTCCACGGTCTGGAAGTAGTGACTCAGGAGGAGAGAAGGCTGTGGGAAAGGCACAAGGCGGTGATGGGGGGAAGAAAGACACATGTGGCAGAGGCCTAGATGCGGCACAGATACACAGTCAGACACAGACACACTGCCCAGGGCCACTGGGCGGTCATCATGGGCCGGCCGGGAGGGCGCTCACCACTTATGCCGAGTCACGCCAGAGGGCCCTGTGCTCCACCAGGCACAGCCTGGTCCAGGGAAGTGACCTGTAGTCATCCCCAGGGAAAGGAGCCCAACTACACAAGAAGAGAACACACAGTAAGGGTGGAAACATTTCAGCTAATTAAATCAACACACACTCACACACACATCAACACACACACACACACACACACCTGCAAAGCAAAAGAAAACTTTAACTCAAGTGTCCAACAAAAGTTAAACATAATCAAACAAGCAACTGCTACTAAAAAAGACCACCACACATCCAATTCAAAAGCTCAAATTAAAAATCGATAGACACGTGGGAGGCAGAAGATGAGAGCTCACCGGACTCTCAGACATCTTCATTTGAGAAATGAAGTAAAAGAAAAAGGCAAAATTACCTCATAAACCAGAAGGAGCCCAAGGGAGGAATCACAGCAAAGGGTATGAGAGAGAGGAGAGACATGAGCCAAGAGGAGAAAAAATGAAATAAAGAGTGAGTGTGAAAAGGAACCAGAGAGAAAGCCACACAGAAGACAGGCAAAGCAGATGCAACACCTGTATAACTGGAGGTCCTGGGAAATGATAGCGAAGCAACATAACCTACATTTAAAATTGTATTCCCAGAGATTTTTCCTGAAATGAAGTAACATCAATCAATTTTTCCAGAAATGAAAAAGTAATTCCATGGGGAAAGGTTGCCTTTCAACAAGTAGTGATGGAATACATAGACACCAACAAGGGAGCAGATAAAAAGAACCTCAACCCTTATCTCACGCTATATAATCAAAAATAACTTGAGACTCCAGCTTCTAGAAGATGGAATAAAAGGATTTCCCCCGATTGTGCCATGGAACCCTGGACATCAACACAGGCAAACATGAGAAGACACGAGGCAGCAAAAGGCGGGCCGGTGGCAGGGGCCCTGGGGCCAGGGGTCGACACAGCAACAGGCTTCTCTTTATTGGGTTTCCCTTATGCCTCGCCAATCACTAGTACTGGAGAAGCCAGCCGTGCAGAAATGCCAACAGGCACATTTTCAAAACCCACAGCAAGAGCCAGCGCTCCCTAGTGACTGGACAAGGTGCAGCTCAGCAAGACAGGAGACTCACAATCATCATCCACTCCAGACAAATGTCACGGAGAGGGCAGGCCTACCCCACTCACGTGAGTGGAGGGCAAGTGGAGAGCCCGCCCTGCCTGCCTGTGCTGAGGCGCCCCGAAGCTCATGCAGGGCGTGTTGGAGTCAAGTGGGGAACAGGGATTTTCACCTCCCCGCAATGGAAACAAGACTCCAGCCTGCTCACTGTCAGTAAAGGCCACACAAGGAACAGCACTTTGAGTGCCACCCAGAGGCCATGGAAGCACAACGTCCCCCTGACTTGCCTGAGAGAATCCTAGTGAAAAGCCAGAATTTTCACCACTGCCCAGAGGTGATGCGGTCAATGCTACTGTGTTGGGGGAAGCCAAGTAGGGGTAGCTACAAGGCAATCCCACATCTCCTGGACAGAAGGGCAGCAGTGGAGACCTAGAGGGCATCAGGAACAGGGAGTCCAACCCCATTGGGTGTCCAGGAACTGGACAAGGAACAATGTGCCAGGAACAAGACTGCTCCCTAGCCTTGCCCTGACAAAGGTGTATTACAGCTGACCACCTACAACAGAAGACTTGAGAAAGACTCAAATACTCATCACAAAACCAACTAAGTTTCATTCAAAAATCGCTCATCAAACCAAAAACCAGAAAAATCACATTTTGAATGAGAAAAGACAATCAATAGACACCGAGATGATATTCCTATTATTTTAAGGTACCAGTCATAAAAATGCTTCAACAATTAAAAATATATATGAAACCCATGAAAATGTAAAAAAAAAACTCAGTAGTTTTAGCAAAGAAATAGAAAACACAGAAGAACCACACAGAAATTTTAGAACTGAAAAATACAGTAAGTGAAATTAGATGGATTCGACAGAATGGAAGGCACAGAGAGAGAATCAGTAAACTTGAAGACGGGACAATTGAAATCACTCAATCTGACAACAGA